ACACCCCTGTGACCTAAAGGGTCTTTTGAAGTTCTGAGGGTAAAATAAACTTAGAATACAGAAGACATTTCTAAAGACTCACATCCTGTGTTTCCCTCTGGCTTGTAACCCAAATGCTCAATTTGCTTCAGCGGCACCTATGGGCAACGGGCCCCTGAAATAGAGCATGAAAAGTGAAATGGGAATTGTTCTGGGAACGGAACCTTGGAAGAGCCAACCTTTGGGTGCACGGGAAAGGGGGAGAGAGGTCATCCTACGGGCAGGCTCTTGTGCCTGGGAAGGCAACGGGGCCCATCGGAGCAGCCGCTCTAGATTGATTGCTGGGGGTCTTTCAAACAGCAATGGACGTTTTTCTCTTGAGAAGAAATAACATCTTTACCATTTTGCTTTTTAAAGAGAATGGACGCATTTTCCCCTAAAAGAATAGAATGATACTCTATACCCAGAGGACACAATTGACCTCATTTTCTCAAAATCTATCTTGTCCATCCCCTAAAGCATCCCCTTCGTAGCCCAGATGAAGAGCATCTGAGCAGTTTTAAAGTTCATTGCGCCACTGCTTAAAGCCCTTCAAGGACGCATGGGACCCAACACACTCTACGGTCGGCCACCATCCTCGCTGCGCCCCCTCCTGCCCCGCCACCCTGAAGGTCTTGTACACATATTTCCCTGCATGTGCCATGCTAATGTGTGCCCCTGGGATTCTGTTCATGCCACCCTCTGCCCGGGACGCTTCCCTGTCCCCTTCTGGCCATCGGACGAATGCACACTTGCCTTTGATGTCCTCTCTCGGCCACGATGTGCCCATGGCGCATCCCTGACTGTCTGTGGTAAGTTTGGGGGAGCCTTCCCCTTCCCACAGCCTGAAAGTAGGTTTGCTGTGGTGTACGTGGTCCACCTCCCTAAATCCTATCACCCTGTGCCTTTCTCCTGACTGGAATGTGGACTCCTACCTTTGCGATCAAGACCTCTCAGCTGCACCCTCAGAACGCCTCCTCAGGAACTATGAAAATCCCGAAGCCATTCCCCGACGTGGCTGGCAAACCCCCATTCACTGAACTGAACACAATCGAATTGAAAGATGGTTTGTTTCGCATTAACGCCTTTCCATACTAACCCGCCCTAGAGCTCACAGCCACTTTCCCACCCACTCGCCCGCCCCAAGAGTTACAAACCCAGAGTGAAGGCTCTGACGCCGGCCTCGCGCTTGGCTGCAGGGCTTTTCTACGGCTCCTCTGCCGCACCTAACTCCCCAGTCTCCGAGTTCATGCCCCGGGGCCTTTGCCCAGGCAAAACACTGTCTCTTGAAAGACTTTCTGAAACTTGCCCGTTTGACTAACTCCTGCCGTCTTCAAACCAGCCAGTGTGTACTGTGTTAGAAGCCTTCTCTGCAGCAACACCAAGGAAGTGGTCGGAATAGTTTCAAGCACGTGGTTTGGTACCCTGGCCTGTGAGAGGTCAGCAGTTTCCCTCCTCTTCACACCATCCCCATTGACCAATCAGAGCATCAGAATCGCCTCTCACACTAGGCTTTGAAGGGGTGGCTTATACACACACTATAAGAAACAAGGCCCAGAGGTTAGGTCTCCAGACAAAGGCAAGGACTCAAATGTCCACCTCTCTCACCCTTTCCAGAAGCTGAGACCAAATATTCTTCTCTAACTCGGAGGGGCCAGAGACATGCGGGTTCATGTCCCAGCTCGGTCACTGCGCCTCAGTTTCCTGCTTTGAAAAACGGATCTCGCTACCATCAAACCTTCTTGTGAACATTAAATGATTTATGAAATGTTTGGTATTTAATAAATATTTCCTTTTTCCCCTGAGTAGAAACGGCATGAAGATGAGCATTATACATATGCAACGTACACACACGCGCGTGTGCGCATGCTCCATGTCACAGCCACGCCGACAGGCCCATATCTTGGAGGCAGAACTGTGCCCTCCTCCAATTCACATTAAAGGCACGTGCTCCAACTCCTAATTCCAATCTGGGAACTCTAAGCACAGATGGAATGTCAGCTCTGATGTCTCTCCTGCTTGCAAATCACGCTTGTCAAAGGCGCATTTAAAAATACTGTGGCAGCTCATTCTGCCTTGGAACTATCTGCTTAGATGCACAGCTCTTGTGTGTGTGTGTGAAGGGGAGATGGGCTGTATCCATCCTTTTTTTTTTTTTGTAGGTAATTCACATCTCAGCAACACAAATGTTTAGGAAAAAAATAGAGCGTAGGCACATAAATCACTCCAAGGTATTTACATTTTGGTTGATTCGCGTGTCTAGCAATGCACTGCTAACATTTAGATATCACAGCACTTTTTACCAATAATTTTAATAAATAGCATTTTTAAGGGATAATACTTAAGGATTACCAGGATGTGGTGGAAAACAACACTAACAACAGCTATTTGAGACTAATTTTGGCAATGGAAATCTAGACTCATCAAATATAAAGTTCTCAAACACAGTAATCTCACTTTGGAGAATGTGGCCCCAGGAAATAATCTGGACACTGGCAAAAGCATATGCACTAAGGTATTCAATGTAGTATTTTCATGATGATGAAGAGTCCTAAACAATCAAATGTCCAAAAACAGAGGCATGAGTTTGTGGACTGCAGCGTGTCTACCTCGTGCAATACTGTGACAACTGTTGCTGATCACCCTGCGCTGTCCTCACCTGTCTCCGCCACCAGACGGGGAGCATCGTGAGAGGAGGAACATAGAGGAACGAACGGATGAGTGTCCACATGCATGTGTGACTTACGAGGTACACGGGGGCGGGGGGCACGAGTAGGTGTACAGTTGTGAGCATGCAGAACACAAAGTTTACTCTTGTATTATTATGTATTAATGATTGTATTACCTTCCATATGAACCGCTGTGAACCTACTTCTGCCCCACTCTGCGTAACAATTTGGAAATACACAAATAATGCAATATTAGGGAAAAACAAAGAGAAGCCTGGCTGACTGGAGCAACTTCCTAACAGCTCTCTGGCTTTTCCTTCCGTGTCTCACACTGTTTCAGCTTGCTGTGAGCAACGCGTGTTAAATTAGGAGCCGTCACGAGGTTCGTGTGAGAGCACATGCTTAGCACAGCTCTGAGGACAACACAAAGCTTTCATGAAAGGTTGAAGAGTTGTTTTTTTAATAGGATATTCCTGCTTGTAATTAAACATGGCACATCGTTCTTCTCTCCCTCCACAAACCCCTACAAACTGGAGTAATAACTAAAAAGTCTAAACCCACAAAGGGAAGAAGACAATGGAAATGAGCAAACAACAGCTCAGGGATTTTAACCAAGGCCGAGGTGAAGAAAAGCAGAGTAAGGTGCACTGACGGACCCAGCGGCGTGGAATACCTAGTGCCCCAGGGGGCCGCAGAGCAGGCTGCGGACGTGGCCTGGCTCCTCCAGGGATGGCCTGGAAGCCCAGGGCCCCCAGGAAGCCAGAGGGGAGCCTGGGGCCGGAACAGGGAAGCTCAGCTCAGATCCCTTTTTGGTGGCTGGTAATAACAGGTGCTTGCCATTACCCTGTGGGGCTCCCCAGTGAACCATGTTTACCTGGTCATCACAATTAAATATGCTTGTTTCAACCCCATGTCTTGATATTACTAGGTTTGGAGAATGGAGGAGGAAAATTGGAAAAGGGTGATAAAAGAGAGCCATAAGTCCTCATCGATCAAGGCAGGAACTCAACAGTTCCTTCCAAAATTGACAAGTCAAGAAACAGCAAGAGTCATCTATTATTTAGAAACACAGAGGCCAAAATGAGAAAAAATAGCTTCAAAAGTTGAAGGTGGTAGCCTCGCGGGGTACAAATGACAGGTAGGGAGATGTGAGACAGGGGGCAAACTGACTAAAAATAAACTATAAACCTTTGGGGACTATTTGATTATTTCAAATGTTTGTGTATTGTCATGATAAAACTCAGAATCGATTGCGACCACAGCCTGGCTTGGACAAGCGTTCCGTGTTTGGCTTTGAATGTGTTCCTCTACCCCTAAGCCCCACCTCTGCCATCGTGGTACGGCAATAGTGGGACCCACCTCCCAGCATTTCAGGGACCTAACCCCGGATCGTCCATGGAAGTGTAGACCTAAAAAGCCTTGAAGTGCTCAGACACCGGCGTTCTGGGCAGCGTGTACAGAAAATACGTATGCACATGATCTCCCAAATAAGCCGTGTTCACTGAGAGGAGGAAATCGAGCGCGTGGGTTGAGGACACTTAAACTTTCAGCCACAGCCTTGACCATAAATGACTGCCTCCCACAGAAGCTATATTCTGTCACTTCAGCCAGGACCATAATGACAAACGTCTAGAGTCCCTCAGACATCATGTCACGGGGCAGGAATTACGCTGCTTGGGCTCTCAAAGCCTCTCATTTCCTGACTCTGGGAAGGCGGCGAAGGGACGTGCCGTGAGGCCCACGCTGACCCGCCCCGCCCCCACCTCACCCCACCCAGAGCAACCGCCTCCCCGTACCTCCTGCTGCCTCGTGGCCAGACAGGGGACAGCAGCCTCAGGCCGGGCCGTGCTGCCAGGCTCAGGGCCTACGCCTGCCTCCGATGTCACAGTGCCACCCAGCGTGCCGACGGCTGGGAGCCCGAACTCTCATGCACTAGTGGAGAGCAGAGCTCTTTCCCTTTGGGTCACAGGGGCCGCCATGGCTGACGCTGCCACCGGACTGTGCAGAGCCAGCCATTCCTTGATAGGGTGAAGCAATCCTTGGAATGAAAACCGGAGAGCGGGGCTCGGTCCCACTTGGCTCCCGGCTAGCTGCGTCGTTCGCCTGAGTCACGGCACTGCTGTGAGCCACGTGCCTCATCAGCAAAATGGGCTGGGATCTGCCCCGTCTCTGCATGTGCGTGTAATGGGTCGGGGCTGGAATTAATGTGTGGGAGGGCCCAGCGAGTTGTAAACTACTGGACAAAAGGAAGGAGGAAGAGGAGAAAGAGGAGGTGGCACCGTGGTCAAAGACATTAACAAGACAAGGACTCACCTTTCTCGGTGGGGGAAGGCAGCACCACCGAAGGGCAAAAGCTGGGAGCGTCGTTTTGAGCGACTGTGAAGAAGAAAAAGGCAGCCTGTTAGCTCCTCCTCCCTCTCGGTGTCACTGAGTTCTGAGGGCATTAACAGAGGAACAGTTTGGTGACAACAAAATTGGCCTCGGAAGGCAGGCAGCACATCTGACCCCCAGCACCATCCCAGGATCCGTCAGGAGGGGCTCGCATATGCCCAAGGGACAATCGCAACATCTCAGGGGCTTAAAACAACAAAGCGTCGCCTCTCCAGCACACCGTGTGCCAATGGGGTGGGGCCTGGGACTTGACATTTCTAACAAGTTCCCAGGACACACTGACTCTGCTGGTCCTCGGACACACTTGGAGGACCACAGGCTAAGGCGTCTGGCATCAGTGCGCTGTGAGGCCCTTCAGGCAACACTCAGACTTCCTACCAGCCACCTGCCAAGCTCCACTGCATCCTGCCTGTTTGTTTAAATGTCTGTCTTTCCTGGGAGACAGTGGCCCTCAGAGCAAAGACCCCAAGCATCAGTGCAGCCTTCAGGGAACAACCTGGCCCTCTATTAAGGGTGTTGAAATGTCCACGCCCTGGAGCCAGTAACTGCGCTTTTGGAAATTTATCTTGCAATTCACAGTAAGCTGGGTTTGCACAGGCACATTTAGGCAATACTGAGGCAACGCTGGAAAGGGTATCACACTCTAACACCCTGAGAACAGTCAGGCAAAAACTACCACGCAGCTCACCTCAGCGGAGAACTGACCGCCTCATTCTGCTGCTGTTGGTCACTTGCTCTTTCTCACCCACCATCAGTGTTACACGACAGGGTGTTACCCATCCTTTGGGCGGGACGTTCCTCACTGCATGGGAGTAGCTGAGCTGTGAGGGTTCTCAGCTTCCCTGGGCCCCGGCAGCACTGAAACCGTCAACACCCCCAGTCCCTGGAAGGGCTGATGCTGCCCTGGGGAACCTCCCACAGTGTCATGTCACTGTGTAACCTTGAGCAACTCGCTCGGCTAATTCACATTAACGAATGAGCACTAACCTTTCTGCTTCTTCCCAACTGCCTTCTGGGACAGCCAGTTGGTAGCTTGAAACTAGCCACGGTGGGAGTATTTATACCCTGGCAAGTGGCAACCACTAGAAACCAGGGCTCCCCTGCATCTTCACTGGTTGTAAAACATTTGCCAGCACAACATTCAACAGGGCCTAACAGCAGGTGCTACCTCGCAGGGTTGTCTGAGGACTAAATAAGATGTTCTCTGCAAAATGCTAGCTTAGGGCCTGGAGCCAGCTCTGTGCTTAGTACATGTTTTGCTAGGATGTGAATGATGATGAAGAGTGGATTGCACAGAAACTCGACCTATATGTGGCAGCTTCAATGCAGGCTGCAGACAGACCTCATTAGAAGCACTTGTCACTTCTTTTCCAGGTTATGTTCCCATATCTAGTATTGCTACAGGGTCCAAGTGCATTTGCTTAGCAGTAGAAGAGCAACTGTGAGGTTGCCGTTGTATTTTTAGAAGCCACCTTGGACTTTGTACACAAACCAATGACCCTGCCCCACTTGCAGGCCTCATGCAGCTGCGGACAGAACCGGCAGCCCTGCTTTCTTCAAAGAGCAGAGAGTGCCCAGGCCATAGGGCCGCACCTCTCCCAGGAAACCCAGGTCTCTGGCGCGACGCTTGACCACAGGGCTGCCCTTGGTCCCCCCTGCCCTCCTGCCCCAGAGGTAAGAACACTTCCTCTCTGGGTCCTGCTGCCAGGAACGGGCAGCAAACAGCCTCATTTGCATGTCCAATTGCTCCTCTGGGCCCTCAGTTCTGCGCTGCGACACGTGGGACTTTGTGTTCACTGTGGGCAGCGAAGTCAGAAAGCACGTCCCGGCAGGTTGTGCGGGTGCCCCCTGGGCGCGCCCTGCGGTGGGTGCGCGCCTCTTCCCTCCCGGAGTCCACCTCAGCCTCGTCTCTGTTCTGTGAGTGCAGCCCGAGCATCAAGGCCACGCGGCCATTGCCCGCGGGACGCTCCCTGAGGGCCTGGTATTTCTGAGCGAATGGATTCGGTCTTAAGCCTCTTTTGACCCAATTCACCCCCGAGCAGCATAAGGACAGAAAATGATATATCATGGCATTTGGTGGGATGAGGAGACTGGGAAGCGATGGGGGAGGAGAGATGTGTTACATTCTAACTGACAAGACGAGGAATCCAAGGGAAGCCGGCGGAGGGCGCATCTGTCGCTTCCCCGGTCCCGAGACAGCACCTTGAGGACACCGTGAGGGGCCTCCTCCCACCAGCGCCAACAGCCGCGCTGGACTTTCACTCCAGCTGCCCCTCCTTCATTGATGGGCTCCCAGCCCAAGCCCGGCCCAGCTCACCCCCTCGAATTTAAAGCTGGAAGGCAACCACCTCAACCTTCAGGACGAGAACAATGACAACAGCCACACACGGGAGGCTGCCCGTTCCTTCCCGCTCAGCCCATCCAGGCCGCTGAGACTCCCTTGGTCATCTTCCCTCTGGGTCTACGCGTAGACTTCCAGTGAATTCCTTTTCTGTTTGAGTTAAACAGAACCCGTTTCTGTGGTTTGCACCCAGTGAATCCTAAATAACCTACTTCCAGGCCCCAGGACATCACCCGAGTACACGGCTGGAACCCAGGCAGCTCACGATGTCCCCGAGCTGTTCTGGGCACACTACTCACCAGGCTTCTGGTACCACCCGAAGGGGTAGGTGCGGACCTCAGTGTCGGGGCGGCCACAGTCCCAAATGCGCCAGGCGCCCCCACTTTCCTCACTGCAGGTCTGCAGTCCCAAGCTGTTCAGCGTGAGGCATGTCACCTCTCCTCCTGGAGCAAACAATAACCAGGACCGGAAAAATGATCAGGGCAGAAGATTCTAATTGAAAGAGGGGAACGCTGCCAACTCATTCTTCAGCAGGCATTTGGGGTGCTCAACTATAGTCTAGGTATGACCTTAACCACGGAGGAAAAACCTGGTTCTTTGATGACCTCTGGCCCGAGAGGACAGGAATGAAGGTCGCTAAGGCTCAGGGAGCACCGACCTGTGCCCAGGGCTGTGCTAGGGCTGCCTGCGCCCATCCCGGGCCCTCACACAGCCCTGCGAGCAGGCAGCACTGACATCCCTGCTCACAGTCGAGGACACTGGGGCTCAGAGATTCAGTGACTTTTCCAGGACCGCACCACCACCAAGTGACCGCCTCACGTTTTACATGCAGATCACACGAAGGGATGAGGAGATAGCGAAGTGGGGTGTGGAAGGCGGGCCGTTCCGATCAGGTAGACGTGCCGTGTAGGGCCGACCGGGTACTAGACCAGGAGCTGCGCCCCGGCCGCCACATTTACGAGCCTGCTCCCCTCTCCAAGCCCCCGCTTCCCACGTGTGAACAAGGATCACCCCTCCCCACCCGCCAAGCGGAGATGCTGAGGATTAGATAAGACCATAGGTGTGAATGCGTTTCCAAGACTGCCAGGTGCCGTACGCAGGCGAGGGGCTGTTACCACTTTTACCTTTTAACTGGGAGACGTTTAGAAAACCAAAGCCGGTGCAGCACGGGTCCGCATCGCACAGCCGTTCACACTCGAAGAACCTGGGTGCACAGAGAAAGCGCGTGCGTGAGGATCCCACTGGCGGCCCGGGCCCCAGGGCGGCGGGCGTGGGGAGGCGGATCGCAGTCACTCCTACTTCTGGGGGCCTGCTTTCTTTAGGATGGCCTCAATTGGGGGTGCTCTGGCCAATAAGCATGAGTGGATTCCTAGCTTTGAGGGGTTTCTGAAAACAGTCTACTGTTTTCTCGGGAGTATTTGTATTGCCATCCTTCATTCATTCCCTGAACATAAATTCCACGCCTGTTACATGCCAGGCTCCAAGCCAAGGCAATCCAGTATCCGGAATGTACTTCTACAATCCTTTCAGATAAGGAGAAAGTCCCAGCTGTGGGTTCTAGGAAAGGGGAAAAGTGGTAGGGAAGGCATCTCAAGAAATGGGGGGAGAGGGTCCCCTGGGCTTTCAGTGGGAGTGGCCCAACCAGGTGCCTGTAAGGTGACCAAGAGCTGTGCTCTGCCCCCGCCCTCACCCTTCCGCCACACAGGCTGGCCACACTCCAAGGACAGACCTCCGCCTGCAGGGTCACTGTATCCAGGCCCTGCCTCGGCACCTACTGGGCGTCACAGCTCAGTGTGGCTCCTGGACCCCACGCTCAGCTTCGAGGACCCGTCCTGCCAGGAGGCACTGAATGGTTCCGAACCAGTGCTCGGGCTCGGTTCTGAGTTCCCGCTGCCCCAGCCCGATGTTCCGGTGCAGATCACTCATTCCCGACTCCCGAGAGCTCGCCCACCCGAGCCCCTCTGCTGTGTGGGAGCCCCACCTCGTTCTTGGCGTTCTCCTTCTCTGCCTCAGAGCCCCGTGAACCCGAGTCATCCTGGTGGATGAAGCCGCATCTCCAGGCACCCCCTCAGACGCTGCGACCTGCCCACTTCCTCCCCCAGCGCCCTGCCCCCTGCCCCCTGCCCCCTGCCCCCTGCCCCCTGCCCTCCCACCTCTTTGTCGACCTGCGTTGGAAGCTCACTGCTGAGCCCCGGCCTGGATGCTGTGCTTTCCCGTGACACTACCCTGCTCTGAGGCCCCAGCCCCTGTCCCCACAGCAGGGTCGGGCCAACCCTCCTTCTCTTGCCCCCGCCACCACATCAGCACAGGTAGAGCTCAGTCCCCTTCCCAGAGAGACTATCTTCTATCATCTTTTTATCTCCATTTTCTAAAGTAGATCTTAAAAGCTACGAGACATGGTTTTACAAAACAGCACGTCCCAGATCAGCGGCTCATCCATTGATGACCTACATCCTAGAGTATGAAAGCATCACCAGGAGGGGCTCCTGCAGGATCCAGGGATTTGAGCCCCACCCCAGGACAGGCTGACTCAGGGCTGTGAAGTGCTCAGGCGTGGCTCCTAACAGGCCTCCCTGCAGATTTGACGGCAGGCTCTGCCGCCACCGAGGCTGTGAGCAGCGTCGCCTCCGGTAAAAACAGCTGCATCACAGCTAACTGACTAAAACAATAATAAAATACGTTTCTAAAACACTAAGTAAAACAAATGGTAAGTCCAGAGAAGCCTACGGTCCTGTGAAAAGTCTGATTTGCTCTCTCGATTCTGAACACAGCACAGTGAGACTTTGCCGATCAAGTTTATTACAACATCAGATAATTGTTATTGATAAGACATGTCTTCTTATCTTTCATTTTGCATCCACTGACTGGTGCCAGAGCTCAATTTTGTGTTTAATATCAGTAATCTACCTTAGCCACGGTTCTGAGACATGGTTGCTTTCTTACTATCTTTTTCAACCTTTGCTTTAAGCTTTACAGTTTTTATAATGCCTGTGCCTTTAACTGGTACCATGCCGCCTTCTTCATGCAAGTGAAGAGCCTTCCTAATAAATAGCAGCTGCGGGGGTGGGGGTGGGGGTGGGGGTGGGGGTGGGGGTGGGGGTGGGGGTGGGGGTGGGGGGCCGGATGAAGCCGCTTACCCATTAGAAACAGGCTTGTCAGACATGGACACTTTGTTTCGGATGGAAATCCCCTTCAGCTTTTGGAATGGCAGGCGGGTGTAAAAGTTCTTCACTTTGTCTTCCAGTACAACTAAGCAGGGGAAGAAAGAAATTATATCATGTAGGGAGAAATTGGTTGTATCCATAAAAATATGAGGATGAAGGGGTACAAACCAGACTGAGAGCTTCCAACAAAAGATGCATATTAAACTCCCATCCCTATCTCCCTAGAATAACAGTGAAGGGACACCGGCAAAGTCACGCTCACGCTCACACAAAGACCAGCGACTGGGACAGGAGATATAGCGACCCAATTTTCAAAGCTAGAAAGCAGAGAGAAAACTAAAAAAACTGAGTTAACAGACCTAAAAACTCTTAGGCCTTTTCTGCGGGAAGAACCAAGAAGCAACTCTCTACCCCTTCTAGAATCCCAAAAGGGTTAAAAGTAGGGCCACAAGAGGATGGAGGCGGGATGAAACGGGCGGGCGGGGGGCACCACATCCCTCCAGGAGCCATTAGGTCTCCTGACGCCCCCCTCGGCTTTCTGCAGGGACGACAGACCTTGTCCCAACACGCAAGTAGACAGAAGCCTTATTTCCTGTAAGGAGAGAGGGTCTCGTGGGTGCAGCAGGTGCAGTTGATGGTGGGAGCGCTACACGGAAACTAGCAGGTTCTTTCGAGGCAGGGTACACGGAGAACACGGAGGCCCTTTCTCCCGGCCGTATTTGGAAGCCAAACCAAGAGCCCCCAGCTTTACGCACCCCCAGGCCGGACGGTGGGAGGTTCCCCTGGAGGGAGGACCTGCCAATACTGACACGAGGGGTTCCCCAGAGGGTGGCCCAGCCAGACCACCCTACAGAGGGACCCAGGGTCAGCAAGCTCCCGCCGCACACGCGGAGCCCCGTCAGCTGTGCGGCCCTTGTCTTATATTTGGGTGGAAAACCAGGGGTCACCAGACACTTGAGAAAGGCCTCCAGCAAAGACAATAGAACAGAAAATGAAAGAAACGGAGATGGTCTCATGTGGAACCCCCCCCCCCAAAAAAAGAGTCATTAATGCCCTCAGAGAGGAAAATCCACTTCTATTTTGTAGAGCCGTGGTTGGTGGCATCTCCTGCAATCAAGTGGCATTCTAACCGGTCCGGGCACCGACAGCAGCTTTCTCTGAGGGGCAGGACTCCAGGGCAGAGTCATTCTCAGCCATCAACCTGATGCATTTCTGAGTGGCTTCCCATCTCCACAAGGAATATGAATAACTTTATTTTTCACAGAAAGAAGACTTGACCCGGATACTGCAGCTCACCAGTCTATGCAGCTGCCACCAAGTGCTCACCTCTCCTCCGGAACAGGGCGCCCGGCCTGTAGGGCAGGGTGAGTCTGCAGCCCGTAGGACGCGACTCCAGGACATCGTCACACTCCTGGGCCTCCGGGTAGAGGGTGCAGGTGAAGTACAAGGGGGCACTGTCCCTTATCTCCGCCAGCTGACAGAAAGAGGGCTCCTGGACACAGCCTACAGGTGAGAGGGCAGCAGAGCTTAGTGCCTAGGAGGCTGTGGGGCAGCTACCTCCACGGGGCCTTCTGAGAAGCCAGGACTCCTCGGGATTCTTCCTAGGCAGGCAGAGGCCTGGGATGGTCAGGGGTCTCTGGTCTGGAAGGCCCAAGAAAACCCCTGGGGCTCCGAGAGCTGGGAGTCTGTGGGGCTCTCCACAAAGGCCAAGGCTGATAGGGAGAGCGGTGAGCTACATAGGAGGAGAGAGGGCAAAATTCCACTGGGTCTACCCAGAGCCACCTGAGAGACAGTCAGGGTCCTTGGACCAGAAGCCACAGGACTGGGAAACGATTGTGAACGCCCTCCCTGTTCCCGCTCCCACACTGGGCTTTGCCACAGGGCATGCGTGAGCTTTCCGACAGGGCTATTCCCCCAGGCTAAACACAAGGCCTAGAACTATAGGTTAGACCTGTTGAGTAAAAGGTAGACGAAAGGGTGGGTGTGTGGATGGAGGGGTGAATGGGTGGGTGGATGGATGGGAGGATGGATGGATGGGAGGATGGATGGATGGATGGATGGATGGGAGGATGGATGGGAGGATGGATGGGAGGATGGATGGATGGATGGATGGATGGGAGGATGGATGGGAGGATGGATGGGAGGATGGATGGATGGGAGGATGGATGGGAGGATGGATGGATGGATGGATGGATGGATGGATGGATGGATGGATGGATGGGAGGATGGATGGGAGGATGGATGGATGGGAGGATGGATGGATGGATGGGAAGGTGGATAGGTAGATGGATGGATGGATGGGAGGGTGGATGGATGGGTGGACGGGGGGTGGGTGAATGGGTGGATGGATGGGTGGACGGGGGGTGGGTGAATGGGTGGATGGATGGGTGGACGGGGGGTGGGTGAATGGGTGGATGGATGGGTGGACGGGGGGTGGGTGAGTGCATGGAGGGATGGGTGGATGGATGATAGGTGCTGGGGGCAGAGTGGACATTAGCCACACCATAAGACTCTTGAAGGTGCGGGTTATGTCCTTTCTTCCTGTCACCCGTAGTACTAACATGGAAGTGGTCTGGGAGTTATGCCATTGAGTTTGATCCTAAGCGAGGCCTGTGACTCCCGACTGCAGGGTCAGGAAGGAGAAGGATGAGGTCTTAGGATGCTTACGTGACAAGCACCACAGGTTTGCCTGCTGTGGTGAAAACAGGTGTTTGAAAAGCCAGTGCTGCTGGCTGGGCAGGGACCTGTTTCCACTGACAGTGACCTGGTTAAGGTCCACAGGGGTGAAGAGCTCCGCTGTCACATCTGAAAGAGAAGGAAGGCGTCAACTGCTTTTCCCTTAATCTCCACAATCAATCAATCAGTCAATCTCTCCTCCGCTCTCTGTCAAGTCAGTAGAGCTGGGAGCCTGAACAAGCAAGAAAAGTTCAGAAGGCCCCATAAAGTTCTAAAAATTACATAGTTACAAAAATCCTAGAACCTTGGTTTGGAGGAAACCCGGGGAGCCACCTGGTTCAACTATTCCTCCATGACAGGGTTTTTTCCCCGGGCTGTTTCTGGCCGCCGCCCTACAGCCCCGCGCGGCACGCCTGGGCTGACGACGCAGCAGCCCATCCGTCGTTCGTCGTTCGGAAGCTGTAGGGTCCAGCCTGACTCTGTAACTTTGAAGCACTGATGCCGCTCTGTCTTCTGTAGCCACAGGGGAGTCCCTGCTCCCTCCCAGACGGCAGCCTTCCTCTGTGAGGACAGCTGTCGTGCCACTCAGCCCCAAATCTGAAAGCCACAGCAGCCTATCCATTGGCCAGGGCTCTTCTTGTGCCTTCAGACACTGCGATCCACGCTCAGGTGCCTCCTGGGCACCCGGTCTCCTGAAGAGGAAGCCCAAGCTTCCTCCTTGGTCTGGGCTCTCTCGCACTTTGAGCCTCACCCCAGGAGCCTGAACTTATGCCCCCGAAGCATGCAAACCCTGGTGGCCCCAGCTCGTCCCCACATTGTTGTGGCCACTGTCTGTGCTCCGCCGCACCTGCGCCTCCTTCCTCACCCACCTCCTCCCCCTGGGCTTCAGGGACCAGGCTGCCTCTCCTACCCTGATGGTCTGCGGCTCTACAGATGGGTTCTACAGAGCCGGGGGGAGGGGGTGCTCCCGCACCTCGCGAGGCTCTGGCGTCCCAGGGGGCTCGCCCTGGGGGCAGGAAGTGGGCTGTGGACATGAGCTGGGGCCCAGCTGCCACGCCCCTGAGTATGCAGCTCTGGCGTAAGGGGCGCTGCCTCCCACGCACACCCCCACCGGGCCTCGGAGCTTCCTCACCAGCAACAATCCCAAATGGGGTAAAAGATTTCCAAGCGTGTCCGCCAAGGCCAGGAGTTCAGTGTGGGCAGACCCCACAGGGACCACGCCACCCGCCTCTCCTCTGGGCCGCCCCAGCCCGTGGGTCCCCGCATCTCGTGTTCCGGTGTAACAGCCCATAGAATAAGGAAGGGGGAATGAGGTAGCAGGCCTAAGGGCGCACCTGAAGTTCCCTCCCTCGCACTCAGCCCTCAGAGCCTCTGCACAGGCTGTGCCCTGGCCTGGGACATCCTCTCCCAGGTGTCCCCCAGGAGTGCCCGGCAGATCCTTCCAGGCTCCTCAGAGGCTCCTGACTCCTGCAGGTCGCTTAGCATCCTCCCTTCACCTGTCCCCATCACAGCCCTTGTCACAGTGTCACACAGTGGCTGGCATGTGGGACTTCTCCTAGTCTGCGAATGTCCCATGTGGCACAGCAGTGTGCCCCAAAAAAGGTCTGGTGGGTGACAGAATGAACGCTGAGCCACCCCGTGTTGCCAGTTTACACGCTGTGGTAGGAAAAATCCATTTTCGTCCTGTTCTCTCAACACCTGGCGCTCCCCCTGAAGGCTAAAGGCTGTTCTCGTTAAGTGCCCCGCGTGCTCGCAAACTCTCAGCCTGGCTGCAGGGCCCCGAGCAGCAGAGAGGGGCAGATCCCTCACTGCGCTGGGAACCGGGAGGCCAGGGCAGCAAGCCACAGGGGCGCCCCAGCACAGAGCAGCGATCAAGGACTCTCTGCTGCTGGGCCTGGTGCTTCTGAGACCAGGAGTGCAATCAGCTGAGAAAGGAAAACGGAGCAGAGCTTTGTCTATTCACTCTGAATTCCTTCCCAGGTCTGGGGCGGGGGGGCAGCTCCCCTTCCAGTGGGGCTCAGGGGCGGGAGGGGGGTCCTTCTTCTTGGAATCATGGATAGCTTTGTAGATTGCAGATGTGGCCCTGGCACAGTGTATAATGATGGATTTTGCAGAACATTCTCAAGTGCCACGAAGCCATTCACACTGACATTACCACGCGCCGTCTGTCCACCCTCAGCGGCTCTGCCAAGGCCGGGCACACCACCGGGGCGGCAGGAGTGGAGGGTACGGGGCGGGGCCAGGGCAAAGGGAGAGCCACAGCCTGATGGGAGGGGGGCTTGTCTCAGCTCTTAGGACTTCAGTCACCAGGTGGAACTTTGAAGCCAGTGTTACCAGAGCTTTTCCTGTTTTTCTCTACAGAAGGTGAAAATCTGAATTTTTGTATAAAACTCTCCTGATTTTAAAATATTGGCTTAGTTTAAAGAAAAATAGTCTGCCCTGCAAATCACAGAAAACCCTTCTGCTCTGTCCACTCAGGAGTCCCTGGGACTCAGCTCCCAAGCCCACGCTGTCTGTGCCTGGAGCAGCGGGCGTTCTAGGGGAACCCCGGCTTCAGCGTCAGCCGAGCACAGTCTGCAGCCTGGTGCTGCTGCTTGGCTAGCACTGGACCGGGCTTCAGCGGGGCCCGCCTTACAGCCTCACATTCCTTTCTGGGAAGGGGGCGGGGGCGTGGGGGGCAGAGCTAGGCAAGGTGATGTCTATAAAGCACCAACGCCCCCCAGGCGGAGCTGGGATCCGAACCCTGCTCTCCTGACCTGAGAAGCCGCTCTCTACACCAGATACAGCCCTAAAGTCCCACAACTCCATGGATGCAGGATGAAGCCACAAAAGCCCAGCAACTACGATGGGATGAACCCCGTTTGGGGTGGTTTATGTCCCTTATCTCATGTGGTTTTCACAAAAGGCCTGGAAAGGGGAAGAGACCACCGTTTGGGGGGCACATGTTAAGTACCAGGCAACGCTCCAGGTGTTCCAGCTGGCACATAACCTGTAACAGGAGGAGGAGAGAGCACAGCACATTCTACACATGAGCAATCAGGGCTCTCAGTAGGTGAGCAAAGTACTCACCGCCATGCCCTTTTTCTACCTGCTGCGCAGTGTGGCTTCCCTCCCACTGAGCCACGCGTCCTCCCTGTGCCAGCAGACTGGCCTGCTGCCCTGTCCCCTCTCTTCCCCTCCCCTGTCCTCTTCCTCTTCCTCTTTCTCTTCTCCTTTCTCTTCCTCCTTCCCTCCTTCTCCTCCCTCCCTCCCTCTCTCCCTGAGTCCTGGCTCTACCTAAGGAGTAACAACTGTAGACGCTGGAGACAGAGAAGGCTCAGGCATACACACCTTCTGCCCCTACCATCGCAGGCGTTGGTGTCCTCCTCTGCAGAAAATGACTCTGTCTCAGAAGGCTCCCCCAGATAGCTCACTGTTTAACAATTCCACGATGTTTACATTTTGCTTACACTCTTCAGGGCTTATGCAAGTGAAGCCCCTGACCCCAGTCAGATGAAGCTTGTTTTTTAACAAATTTTGCTGGTTTTGTTCTTATGGTTGCTTTTTTCCCCAGGAGCAGTGGAGACTCTGCAACGATTTCACCTCCTCCCTGTGCCAGCTGCCCCTCGGAGGAGCTGTCCACAGTCATGGTTACAGAACTGCCCATCCAGTCCGGGTACAAGGCACAGGGTGGAGCTATGTCAGCGGGTCCATTCCTCAGTTCGACCCGTGGCATCAGCACCCTGTCTCCACGGCTGGCACCCCAGTTTGTACAAAGGGTTTGGGGTGGATACCTGTTTCTGTTGGCGATGTTGACCTCGGTCCCATGTCCCTTCTGCATCCCATAGACTCGGATCGAGAACCCATGTCAGAATCTAGGAAAAGAAAGAGAATGGTTGTTTCACTATTGGGGAGGAAAAGAGAGGTCGACCAATGGTAATGTCGAGTGAGGAGTCCTCCGGGTCTGCGGCCAGGTGCGCGGGACGAGGTCTGGGACGGGTCCAGGGACCCCGTCTGCACTCTGGCCTTTGGTGGAATGTCAGCCAACCTCTCAGTAACAGAGCTATTGTTTGTTCTTGGTATTGAACTTAGTAACACTTGCAAACCCCTTTAAAGTTAAGGAATTACGTTCATAAATACTGGTCTTTACAACACCCTGTGCAGGTAAGGAGTGAGATTTCCATTTTACTCTTGAAAAAACTGAGGCTCATAGAGGTAAAATCACTTATCCCAGACAGGTGGGTGGCAAGGAGGTAAAACATCCAAGTTGGGAAAAGGTCTTCCGTGGAAGCGGGAGAGCCAACGGGGAGAGTGGGGTATAGACAGGTCTGAAGGGGGGCTTCTGTCCAGGGTGGGAAATATCTTGGGGGGGATGCAATTTCTTAAGTTTTTACCAGCTGGTGCATTATTTACCAGAACTTTCTGGTAACTGGGAAGCGCTGGGCTTGCAAAGAGTATCTGGGTCCCACCCCCAGAACCCCCCGTGGGCAGTTCACTCAGCGCTCCAAGTCTCATTTTTTTCTGTCTGAAACACGAATAAAAATGTCCTCCCCTCTGTATGCTGACCTTATAGGTAGGTCTCAATGAGGAAAGAAGTGTATAATCTCATATCATTTTAAAATAAAAAGGACGGGCACTTTTTCTCTTTTCCTTCCCCTTCCCTTCCTCCTCTTCCTCCTTCTTCCTTCCACTCCTCACCCCCTCACCCCCAACCCCCGACCCCGCCTTACTCCGCATGTATTCTGTGCCGGGCACAGTTCTAAGCACTCGGCACGCACACCTTGCCAGGGCTCGCACCGCTCTACGGGGTAAGGACTGTTTTTATTGCTGTAGTAGCCGTGGGGAGTCTAAGCTTCGAGGGGCTCATTTATGCGCTCGAGGTCGCACGGGTGGTAAGTGATGGAAACAGAGTTCATACCCAGTCAGTCTAAGACCATACTCTGTGCTCTTCACACCACTTCACAAGCACAGAAACAGGTTGCCAGCTCTCTCTCTCTCTCTCTCTCTCTCTCTCTCTCTCTCGGGCTGGAGATGGGCAAGGAGGGCCCATGGGAAGAGAGAGGAAGTGATACGGGAGCCAGGGGTGCTTTCCTCGTGCCTCTCACCCGGCACCGAGGGCCGGAGCGTGGAAGGGTCCACTCCTTGCCTGCTCTCTCCTGAGGCTGGAGAGCCTTACAAGCCCAGGCTGCACCTTCCCCATCGCTTTCATCCCGTAGTCCTCAGACTTGCCCCAAGTGCCTGTCCCACCTGCTCTATGCACCTGCAGGAGCCCATGTATCACCCACTGGGGGCTTGTCCCTTCACCCCGGCCTCGGGGGCAGAGGCACCCGACCCGTGGCCAGGCCCCCAGAAGAAACGCCTCCCACAGCTGGCCGCGGCCTCAGAGCCCCTCCCAGGGATGAGGGCAGCTGCGGGCAGTGCACGGGACCTCACAGGAGCCAGCGCTTCCTTCCTCCGCCCTCCCTTGGCTTCCACACTTTCCCTTTTCCTTTCAGACTCTGGTATCTTACGGGATGCGAGCTGTGGCCCTTATCACACGCAAAGCATGGACTTGGGAAAGACAGTCTCTACCGCCTTCTCTATGGGGGCGGAACGCCCGTGAGCGAGGCCGAGGGCCCGCAGGCTGGTGTCATCGGTGTCCTGCTCTCCGCCCGCGCCCCCACCCCCGCCGCCTCCTTCGCCACCACAGAGCTTACCTTTCCAGAGATAAACCTGCTGGAAACTGGTCAGCGTGTCCTGAGTCCCTTCCAGGGGTCTCAGGCCTGCAAAGGAGGATGTTTATGGTTATGGCCTTGCGTGGGCTTGCTCTCACTGGGGACCCAGGTGACCTCACTTCCTCAGTCCCCCCACGCTGCCCTCGCCTGGGTGCACCCCCAGCACGCAGCACCCCCAGGAGGGGCTCTCTTCCAGCCACCTGGCACAACTCCAGAGCTGCCAGAGCCCTGGTGTCTTGCTCAGGGCTCCAAAGAGACTGTTGTGCTGAGGGGTCATGAACCTGTGACAAAGAGAGTCACTTAAGGAACCAGAGATTGACTTAAGAACAAAACACCCAGGAAACTTGAGAACTGTCATAATTTTCTGTCACTTAGGTCCCCTGAGACTCTTGCCTCCCTGGTCAATGGAGATGGCAATTGTGAGGGAGGGACTAATGCACAGAAAATGTCTTCTGCAGTATTTGGCATGTGCCCTATTACCCGTAGCTGCCATTATTTAGTCTATTATTAATAGTGTCACATTCTCCTTTCCGCCCAGCTGCATTCCCCTGGACACCGCCCGGGACGCGGCAGGACTGGCCACGCCATCTCCTGCTGTCCCTGGGTTGCCTCTCTCACCTCTATCCGGCCCCAAGATGCCGCCCAGTCCCCCTGTGACCTTGAAGGCGCAGGAGAGAGCTCAGAAAGCGCCGACTCTGCGGGCCACCCACCCACACATGGCAGGAGACCGCTGGCTCCCAACTCGAGACAATAAAGACGATCACTTTTGACCTTTAAGTATTATTATGAGCCATGGATTACAAGAGCCAGTTGCTATTAGGAACTTTAGCCAGTGACCCAACGCCATAATAAGCACCTTGCAGGTCTTGTCTGATGTCAGCCTCATAAGTCACCATTTAATTTCCAGGTGAAGAGTAAAACACCCGGATTCAAATCCTATCTCTTTGGCTCCACATCCCATGCTCTAATCTCCACACTCGGGAGAAGATAGCATGCTATTTTAGGATCTTGTCCATCTCCGATGGCCAACGTTCGTAAAGGTCCTTGTGTTTAGAGAGGGGTGTAAGGAAGATTAAAGAAGTTCAGTTAAACACTGAACGATTTGGAAAACTCAGCTATTGAAGTCATGAGTCCCCACCACAAGGAGGGCCGGGCTCTCGGGAGCGAGCCCAAATGAGGGAGCTGGGCTTCCATTTGGTTTTGCTTCTGCAACGGAAATAAACGACGATGCTGGAACCTCCCAGGCTGGCAGACACTGGGATAGGAGGTCTCCTTAAACGGCCCGCTCACAATTCTCTTCTGGCTTTCTTGAGGGTATGGGAGTTGGTTATAAGAAAGCGGGGAAGGGAAAACCTAAGGTGTCTAGGAGACATACGCTTGGACCTCGGGGCCTGAGGACTCACTTGATGCCCCCCAGGGGAGACCTGCCCACATTCTCCTATGACGCCAACGCAGAGCGGGCCATCTGCTCAGGTCATGTCCTGTTTCCACTATGTCCCTGTGATAACATCTGCTTATTATGAATGTCAGGCTAGGAGACCTTGAAACTTTTCATAGGGAAAGTGAAGAATTTTTAAAACGTATATTTTTATACCCCAATCTATTTGGAATAACTTTTTCAAAACATTATAGATATAGAGTTTTTTTTTGGAAACATAGATGTAAAATAAATAAAACTTCAGGCCATGCATCATGATTCTTATTTAGCCCATGAAAGTTGGAGAAATGACATCTTATCTCTAGGGTGCTTTATTGCTCTGAAATCTGAGACTAAAACCAATAACCTCTTGGGGTAACACTGAGCATTAGATTATGGGCTCCCAATAAAAGTTCAGATCCCCATTCCTGGCCCTGCCCACGAGCAATGACCCTTGAGGGAATTCTGAGAGGGCGCTGCACCCCTCGGCAGTCCCCATTTCTGACATGGGTGGGTCGCGGAGCCTCCCACGTGGTCCTGAGGATCTTAACTTCATCTGGCATGTGTGGCCTGCTTTACATGGAGGGGAAAGAAAAGTCATACGTGCCCTCCACTGCCCAGAGAAAAGCAGGCGCTCCATACAGAGAGGCGCAGATATCAGGGTGTATTTTGGTCCAGAATGCACGGCACTGCCTTAGGAGCCTGCTGCCGTCGTACAGTTTTGGTCCATCTCAAGACCCTGGGGCCCTGTGTCTTCCAGCCTGGTGAGCCTTAACCTCATCCTTGGTTTTGATTCATTTCAACGCAATTCAGTCCAACAGAATTCAGTTAAATTCTGCACATGAATGTCAGCACCTTGGTAGAGACAGAGATCACTTGACCAGCATCCATCATGGCTACTGCATCCTGAGAAGCATCTTTGTAAATCCCCACAAGGAAGTCATTAACGCTCCCCACCCCGCCTTAGTGGTTCTAATTGTCAACGTGATTTTCTCGAACAGGATGGCTATGAATGTAGCCCAACACAAAATCATAAATTTCTGTAAAACCTTTTTCTTCACTCATCAGTTTTTGATGGTGTCTGTATATTTAATGTGTGGCCCATGGCAACTCTTCCTTTTCCAGTGTGGCCCAGAGACGCCAAAAGGTTGGCCACTCTTGGCCTAGAACCTTGTCCCCTTCTCACTGGGTCAACGTCTGCTCATTGCTTGAGCACCACAGTCTGCCACGCCTCCTTCGGGAAGGCTTCCCGGAGCCCGCTGGCTGGGTTCCACTCACAGCACTAATCAAACACCTCTCTCTTTAAGCTCCCACTTGACGGTATCTGCCCAGCTCCCTGAGTGCTCCAGAGCCCCCTGGGGCTGGGAGCTGGTCTCACCCCTCGGTATATCACCCATGCCCAGCATAAGCTCTGTCGGGCACTGGTCATCACCACATAAATGACGACGACGGGGAACGAATGAGGAAAACAAAGCCGTCAATGATAGGCAGAGCCCAGCAAATAAAGCAGAGCTTCATCTGCCCAAGTACAGCCACTGGCCACCAAATTAGTTTTCCTGACACAGACTCCTGACCCTTCACTCCATCCCCCAAAACTTCCCAGCTTCAGTGCTGTGGACTGTGAGAAGGTACATGGAACCCAAGCAAACATCATTCCTCCCCTTCCCTGCTGAAGAGTATTTTAAGGTAGACTGTTTGGACTGTCCAAATGCCTGTCGCATTCCTCCCATGACAGCTGGGTCAGAATGTCCCCGTTACACAAACAGACCTCCAGGCTGACTCACCACCCCCTCCCTCTGTAATCAAGGCTGCAGACATCCACGTACACATACATGTAGGGCGTGGGGGGTTTGGCATGGAGCCGGTTCTCGAGGGTTGATGGGTATCCTGTGGTCTTAATTTACTTCAGAACAGTTCAGCATAGGTCATGGGTGCTGTCTGGGTGGTCAGCTGGCATCCACAGTCTGGGAGTGGGCAGGACGCTACGCCGGACTACCCAGAGTTCAAGGTCACCTTTCGCTGGCTGTCTTCTCCTCTCTGCATCGCTTCCTCCACGTCAAGACTCGTATTTCTGGCCTTCCCTAAATACACTGTGCTTCTGAAACCTTGTCTTAAGCTCTGCTAGAGCTCAGCACAGGGAAACACATGATCAGTGAGACCTATTGTAAAGAACGGACAGGGTCATCCTGTTTGTAGGCACTCAGCAGACATCGACTCCAGGGGCATCTGGTGACAACAAGCAATGTGGATGCACTGGCAGTTTCTCCATCAAGCTCCCAGCACCCCAAGATAATGACAGTCACTGATGCAAAACAGACTCCTGTGCCGGGAACACCAGCCGCCAGGCTGGGCCTCACCATTGCTCAATACAAGAAGCCTTTGAAACTCAAGATAAACCTGCAGTGGTTCTGTTTATCCTGTCAAATGTTAAGTCCCTGTGGGCATTAGGGGACATTTAATCTGCCTGTTTTTCATTCATTTACACTCCAAGACATTGTCAGAAATGAGACACATGCAGTTCCAGAGCCTTCTAAGCCTTTTTTCTTCGTAATAGGAAGGTCAATACAGCCAACACCTAATTATTGAAAATACCCAGAGATGCTCCCCTGGACATTTAGGAGGTGCAGACCCTGCCCAGATTCCCCTTGGGTCAACCCAGGCACAAAGGTCAAACAGAAATGGATGGCTGAGCCAGCCCACCCTCTCCCCTCTTCGCGGCTGCTCCCACACCTCCCAGGTCATCTCTGCAACTCTAGCCCGGCCCCTGGCTTTCCTGTGTGGTCATTGGTCCCTTCCTCCCCACAGCCCTTTAAAATAGGCTGGTAGCTCCAGCCTCCAACTGGGACATCTTGAACTTGCCTCAGGCTGCTCCAAGTCCCCATGACACGATCTCCTTCTTAAAGTTTTGACTGTACCCCAAAATATACACATACACACAGGCCACAAAACAACCCCCAAACTTCCAAAGTCCTTTGGGAATCAGTGCTCAGGGAGGCCAGACAAGGGCACATTCTTTGTTTCTTGGGCAGCTACCAAACACATGCTCCAGGTCAAGCTATTCACTGTAGATTTATTGCCCGTGACTACATCATACGTCTTTCGTCAAGTGCTTGTTTTCACCCTGGGCTACCTCTCAGAGTAATAGATACCACATGTTTAAGATCCGTCATGTACATCAGTGCTTGATCTTACTGATCCCCAGAAGAAAAGAAGCGCCATGGAACACACTCACACACATTCTGTCTGTATTCTCTGTGCCAGGTCTTGCGCGCCATGGTGTAAATCCAAAAACTAATGAGACACAGTCCAGTTCTTAAAATATAACAAAAACAATGACAGATTTTTAAAAGGATAATGTTGCCTAATATGAACACTGTGTGTCAGACCCTCTGTGAGTCCTTCACGTATGTCACACACAAGTGCCTGTATAGAGATGCAGCTAAGAACGTCACCTTGGAGCCAGACCGCCTGCTCCCAGCCCCCAGCCCCTCTGCTCACAAGCTCGGAGATGCCGGGGGGCCTCCCCTCTGCGGGCCCCCATTTCTTCTGCTGTAAAAGGGGCACAATGGTGACAACAGCACCTCCCCCAAGGCATGGTGCTGAGGGTTTGTCAGTTAACAAAGGCGACACCTTAGAACAGTGCCTGGCTCACAGGGAGCCCCACGCGAGACATTTCTGTCATTATTACTGTCGTCACTATGTCTCCATTCATCTTCACACAACGCTGTGAGATAGGAGCTGTTGTTACCCCATTTTTGAGGACAAGCAATGAAGCCTCATTAACTCACTCAAGGTCACACGCTGGTGTCCAAAGCCAGTTCCACAGCACAGGCCAATGCTCTGCTGGGCCAGGAAGGGACACAGACAGGCGAGACCCAATTCCACTGCCCTGGCCGCTGCCCTGCCCGACAGAGCGATGTATGTGTGGAGCAGGCGAGAAGCTCTGCCAGGTGGTCTGGGAGGGCTGCCAGAGGCGGGGACCATGAGTGGCCCCCCGTGAGGACCCCGAGAGCTGCAGTCTTGGAAACCCCTCCGGGAGGCGGGGAGCCGGTGGTCTCTCCCAGCTCTCCGAGGGCTCCGTCCAGCCCGTCCCCTCCAGCCTGGCTGACACCTGCACGCACGCTCACCCTCCCCAGCCCAGAGGTGCAGCTACGGCGGCGAGTGCTGGGTTCAGGTGCTGGCAGGTAAACAGCGCAGAGAGGAGGTAAGATGAAGCCGGGTCGCCTCCCACCTCACACCGGAGCCAGAACAGGTGAGTGAGCAGCTGGGCCCTGTGCGCACCATAAACTCAGACTCCTTAGGCTGGAAGGAAATTTCCAGGCTGCCTAGTCAGTGCTTCTCTCAGCTCCCAGGCCTAGCATTATCCAGACAGCTTGTTAGAACTGATTCCTGAGGGTCTGGGGTCCCGGCACCCCATGATTAGAATGGACCGTGAATTGTTGCCATAGAGGCGAAACGAGCCCAGGGCATTGGCTTGGGGACACATGGCATTTTTGCCATCGCACATTTTTCACAGACTGTGCAGTGCCGGCCACTAAAGGGCGAGTGTTTCCCCGTGCACCTGGACTTCCAGCCGGGCACGCGCTCTGCCGTGGCCAGTGCTGTCCGATCCAAGCACCAACCATCAGAGGCCCAGCGTGTCTTTCCTGGTCCTCTGCTGACTCCACCGCCCACAGGAGAGTGTGCTCATGCCAAAGAAGGACAAGAGACCAGGACGCAGGGCCAGGCCACCCCGGCCACATCCAGACCAGCCAACTGCCATCCACTCCCAGGTGCACGCGTGAGCTGGGCTGCGGTCGGCAGCGCCCCACCCCTCACCGAGCCAGCCTCCCTCCGGCCAACTGACAGCCTAGAGAGCCACACCGGTGCTCCCTGCACAATGCTGCTGACATGCTGTGGGTATGTTTCCAACAGCATCTTTGGCACAGTTTCTTTGCCGGTGTATAAGCTGCTCAGGGTAAGGAGAGGGCGCCTAAGAAAGTGGCATAAAACCTTGGCAGACAGGAAAACTAGATCTGAAAGACCATGGACAGAAGGCAGAGACTTACTCTTGAACTCCTGGCCTCCCAGACGCAATGTCACCTGGCGGCTCCCCTGCTCGTACGTCACACCAGGACACGTAGCATTCGCCTTGGCTTCGGAGGGGTCCCTCCAGTCTTGGACGCTGCAAAGCAGGACGTCAGGGGAGCTCAGCAGCCCGCAGACGATGGGACCTGCAGGGTCACACGAGAGGGAGCAGAGGTTGACGTGATGGGACAAGCAGAGCCCCTGCAGAGCCTCACCTGGGTGTCCAAGGGCTTGTAGGATGGGGACAGGAGATGGCTCCTCGGGGTAGACAGGGACCCTGGGGCTCAGGAGCCTGGCTTTAAACTGGGTCGTCCTTCCCCGAGAGTCGCGCCACTGTCTTACGGGCAAACACCGCCATGCCTGCTGACCCTTCCCTCCTTCCTTAGAGCCCTCCTTCGCAGGCCAGCAGAGATCGCAACGCCGCGTGTGCCACTCGGGCCTTACGGCCGGAGCCCGCTGTCCCCGTTTCCTAACACCACCCCCCTCCGACACAGTGATCTTTCTGAGGCTTCAAGGAGCTGAACGGCAGCTTCCCTCTCTCTCCCTCTCTCTCTCACACACACAGACACACACAAAGGAAATCAGCCTCACAGGGACTCAGAAAGGAGTGTTTAGGCTCGAAGTGAGGAACTACGACAAACGACGAGCTGTGCACCGTTGTCTCAGGCTTCCCTGGTGGGCAGTGAGCTCCTCGTCCCTGAGGCAGCCAAGCAGCGCCTATGGGCCCACCAGCCTGGGACGCAGAGAGAGAAATCGGTGCCAGCGGAAGCCCTGGACTCTTTTCTCTTGAATATGTCTTCTCATTTTGCATTTTAAATATCTGCCCTAAAAGGATGACTATTTAGTATCAGGAGGACCATCCCCCGGTCTGATTGAATTTGTGACTTTAGTTACATGTCTGCAATGTGCCAGTTACTAGGTTAAGTGCTTTAAATGTATTAATCCCCTTAATTCTTACTGACATTATTATGTTCCATTTTCTTGATGAAAAAGCTGAGTCTCATATAAGTTTGTGGCCCAAATTTATGTAGACCTATAAATTAAATAATTTATACATCTACTCAGATGAATAATCTTCTTAGGTGGTTCAGTTGTTTAGATTCTCCTAGGAAAAAAATATACTACTCCACAAGGCCTAGTCCCTCCCTTTCCCGATTTATGTCCAAATCCAGACACAGCTTCAAACTCATCTCTCGCCAAAATTTGCCCAAAGTGGTTGACTCATGCACACCTGGCCGAAGGACTTGCCATTTGTCTACCTGCCTCCCTCCAGCCACTCTCACCTGCAGTCTTTTAAAACTCACTATCTACCACAGCAGCTCTGTCTCTGTGTAAAGAAGTCTACCTTAGGGCTCCTCTAATATGGTGGTTCTCAAGCCAGGGTGCTCAGACGGATATATAACAAAACAGGGAGAGCCCTGGCTGCTGTGGCTCAGTGGACTGAGCGCCAGCCTGCGAACCAAAGGGTTGCCGGTTCGATTCCCAGTCAGGGCACATGCCTGGGTTGTGGGCCAGGCCCCCAGTAGAGGCAACCACACATTGATGTTTCCCTCCCTCTCTTTCTCCCTCTTTTCCCCTCTCTCTGAAAAATAAATAAAAATTTAAAAGAAAAAACCATAGGGACAGTTTTAGAAATGCTCGTTCCTTGACACCCACCATAGAGTTCCCGATACGTTGTGGCGGGGTCGGGAGGCACTGAGGAGTTAGTGTTTGTAAACAGCACCACAGAGACAGATGGTTCTAGCACACAGACAGAGCCCAGATGCCCTGACCTGGAGGGACCACTTCGCAGATGAGGAAATGGAGACAGGAAAGCGAGGGCGGTCCAGCTAGTGATGAGAAAGGGGATGGCCAGCCAGCAGTGGTGTGCCCGCCACTCCTGGACAGGGGGCGGCAGGGGCCCGCTGAGGGCGTCTGAGCGCCGGGGCGGCCCCTCTCCCCAGCCAAAAATCAGAATCATGGAATCAAACGAGTGGCAGGTGTATTGTCCGTCTGCTCCCAGACCTCGGAAGAGAAGCCCATGCAGCTTTCTTCTCCAGATGCGAGAGGATCAGTGGGGACTCCGCGTATCTGAGAGGTGGGGCCCGCTAGCGATCAGAAGCCACTTTGCTGACCCTATTGCCAGCTGCCATCACACTCCCATGGCCACAGGAGTCCCCCTGAACCCCACTTCCAAGTAGTCTTGACTGAAACGCAGGTCTGGAAGCATCATGAATTTTCATTTATAACTACCAGTGGCAATGAAGCCCTTTAGGGGTTGGAGGCAGGAAGAGGCTGGAGGGACTGGAGGGGAGAGGGGAGGAGGGGCAATCTGCCTGAAAGTTAAATGACTTTCCAGACTTCAGGGAAAGGATGGTGCAGGAGTCTGTTCCTGGCCGTCGGCAGATCCAGCAAAAGCTTTAAAGTTAAGACTGCAAATCGGCCCATTGGACAGGACTGGGAAAAACATCTCCCGATGTTTTATGTCTGTCTCAGAGAGAGCTTAACTTGCAGCCCAGTGAGGCGGCCATTCCAATCCCCAGAACTCACAGATCACCGGTGACACTTGCAGGGAAAAGCAATCAGGCCGCCTGCCAGAAACGGTGTGGAAAAAGGGTTTTGTGGGCTTGCTGCTCCATGGAAGAAAATAACTCTTCCATATACGATCCTAAGGAAAATGAAGTCAACCTTTCCAACTTGCAAAACCATACGGTGTGGTGAGTAATCAAGCCTCTGGGGAAACTGGTGTCCACAGAAAAGACATGTAGTTCAAGGAGGCAGAAGGCTTCCTGGATTTGAACCACAGTGTCTTTAAATTTATGTATACATAAAAGCATGCTATCTACATGGGTGAGGGTTCTGTGCATGTGTGTGTGTGTGTCCATCATCTCTCTATCTTCTGCTTACCTAAATACCGGCATGAATGCACATCCTATAATCATAGAGCATTAAACCTACAAGGAACGTTCGGACGCCCCTTATTCCAGCCCAGCTTCCTGCCCTACCAGGCCAACATGGCGTTCTCATTTCAGCCACCACGACCGCTGTCAGCTAAACTCAGCATTTTTCGGTCCTCCCCCTGGGGCCAGGATTAAATGGCTATTACATCCTGCCAGAAGTTTTAATCCACCAGGGTGCTGGACACGTGAGCTTGGATACAAAGAGAAGAGACAAAACACTATTTCAGGGGAAGAAAGTGTGAGAAGGATTCAGAGTTGTACAGACTGAGGTCAAGGGTGGGGAATCTAGTTTGGGGTTAGGTGCAGTTAAGAGATTAACACATTGGACAAAATAATAATAATAATAATAATAATAATAATAATAATAATAATAATACAGTCCAGATTATAGACAGATGTGAGGATGAACTTAATCTCCATCCCAAATACGGTAAGAATGCGGCAACAAGAAATGGGAGTGACAAATCAGTGCAGGGGAAGGAAGGTCGGAAAGGCATTCAGCATGATTCCCAGATTCTTGGCTTGCTTGCTCTTCCCCGAGATGGGATTTGTAACAGAAGTAGCTCATTTAGGGTAAAAGCCATCTGTCTCTGCAGGGACACGTTGACTTTGAGATGCCAGCAGGACACCCAAGGGATCTGTGCAGACATCAGACGGGGGAGGGCACCTGGACCCCTGCGGAGACCCAGGATGGGTGGAGGCCGAGCCAACCGACAGCTGAGCTCAAAGGAACGTGCTGAGGATGCTGCGCGAGACTGAGCCGCCTGAGTAAGAGGAGGGCACCTGGAAAGTCGGGAGAGGTGAGTTTAAAGAACTGGGGAGCGGTCGGCAGTGTCGGCAGCTGGAGACAACCCGGCCAGGGAGAACGGGGAGGTGGAGCTGTGACTGGCGAGGAGCTGTGGTAGAAAGGAAAGAAACAGAACCGGAGCTGGAGGAAAGACCCCAGGTCACGAGCCCTGTGGTGGCGCACTCCTCTTGGCTTGTAAGGAGGCTGAGAGTCTGGGAACCTCGGGCGTGCAGAGTGAGAGCTGGGGAAGGGCAGTGGCTGAGGGCAGGAGAACAGGGCTGACGGAGGGGCCAGGCCCCTGAGACGGGGGAGGCAACGGCACTAGCACCCACGGAGTAGGCTCTGCTCTCTCAGGAGGAATGATGTGCAGAGGCTGGGGTTCATCGCAGGTGATGAATGCGTGAATGAAGCCAAGGTACGAATGTCTGCTTACTGAGAAGCCCAATGTCACAGTTAACGTTCTTCCAAACACACGGAGTCTCCCTGCCTCTATCTCAGCTCACACGAAGGCCCGCCCTGGGCCAGACTGTCTCTCTCCTCTCGCCTTTTAAACACTACCCAACCCACAAAAAATATCCCACGTGTCTCCTCTTCCAGGAAGATTTCCCCTGACTACCAAGTCCTGTTGGTATCTCCCACCTCTGCATTCCAAGGCTCCCATGGTCTCAACACTCCTGCTGCCTTATTTACCACGCCTGGTGCACAGCAGTGCACAGCACATGTTGGCTGGATGGCGGCACAGACGAATGAATGAAGGTCATGGTCCTTTCATGGCACCCCTGCCCTCCCAACCAGACTCTAAGCTCCTTTTGTCTATTTCCAACACCGAGCACGCTGGACTTCATATAGATGGTGGTCACTGGAAGTGAGGTCATGAAAAGACATATAAGACTACACATTTTTTTTTTTTATCTTCAGAATTCTCCACAAACTGAATGCAACAGCCTCATAAATGGTTGTAGTTGTGTCCCTCTGTTACTAAATTCCTAGCATACGAAAGGCCAAATCCATTTTGTGTCCATTGCGTTTATAGCAAAAGCCCAATAGGAATGACCATTTTCTATATTATTGCCTATATTTCATGGACAAGGAACTGTGTCTTAGTTTAAGCAACTTGTCCAATAGTGCACAGCCAGGAAGTGACAGAGTGGTGACCAGAACCGAGGTTTGTCTGTTCTCAACCACTAGTCTACACAGCTAAGAATATGGATTTATTCCTATAAACAGAAGTCCATCCCACTGTTGAGAGACAACGGAAAATTCCAGCCTAACAATCACAGAGTCTGGCACTCTGCAGGCACTCAGCAGATAATCATTGAATGAAGATTCTGGATGTTGGGAATGACTAACCTTTTTTGACCAGTGTGGCCAGTCTGGGCTCCAGGGCCAACAGTGAGATGCTGTTGAAGGTGCCCATGGGCTCAGACCTCAGCTCTATCGCTTGGCAAGTTCTGTGTCTAGGAGCAAATGGCTTAAATTCTCTGAGCTTCAGCTGCTCAGTTTGTAAAATGGAGCTCATAATACCTTCTCTGAAGACATCAATAAGGGAAAAAAAAGGTTTTACAACGTGAGGTGGCCAGCACGGCATATGCCATGTTGAAAGAGGCACCGTTTGTCCCTGACTTTGTGTACGTGAGTATCCCCTCCTACATGCATGTGGTCACCACATGCCCAGGAAGTCTCCGTGCTGTACATCCTGGCTTCTGTGACCCCGCACATTTCTTTTGTAGACCACAGATGGTCATCTACATTACCTCCTTGGACTTGCACGAGGATGAAGCCGTCACAGCACATGTCACGGTCACATGCAAGAAGGCAGAAGAGATGAACGTCTGTCAGATTGGTCCCTGAGGCTGCGAACACGGTGGGGTTGTACATTCCAGAGAGCGTGTTCTGGAAACCAGTTGGTTCGAAGCTTTTCTGACTCCGTATGGTGAATTCTTGGCCTGGGGAAAAGGCAGGAAAAAAATGTTTTTAAAGATTGCAAAACAATGCAGAGTTCTCTGTGCCATGAAACTTGTGGACATGTCTGTACAGGTGGAGCGTGAAGCCAGCAGACCTGGACAAATGCCCATGACCCCTCAGCGGGTCTAAAGGTGATGTATGGAGAACTGACGTTTGTTACTGTTTGTATGATGACCAGCCAATAGTGAGCTACAACCATACACACAGAGACCACGCCACGTGCTTCACCTGCACGACATCATCGCGCTTCACGGCCCTGAGAGTTACGTTCCACCTGCTCTGCTATCCCGTGTGTTTCGGTAACGCTGCGTTTTGAACACATGTTGGGCCGGAAGCTGGGCCCCTGTGATGCTGAAGTCTTGTTGGATAGTCTACCATTTTCCCCAGCACGTCACTGTTTTGCGCCACCAAGTAACAGGTGAGTGCAGGGCAGCAAATGCAGAGAAATGGGCCCGGACACGATGCTCGTCGGCCCACGTTCTTCCTCTTGCCTCAGATGGCTGCTGGCTCTGCCTCCAAGGTGACAGCCGCGATGTCCCCTTCGCTCTGTGCCTCTGGCCCTCGTCTCCGTAACTCAGTAACTCAGCCGTCCCCACCCTTCCCCGCACCTGCCCCCACCCAGCTACGTGCCTTTGTGTTTCCTGAGCTGGGTTCAGTATGTCTCTTTTTAATCTGTCAATTTTCATTTGAAATGGAATTGTTAGTTTTTGCCAGCCCTCTGGTTACAAATGTCATGGCTTAGGTTCTGTCTGTCCTTGTCCCAACTCTAATTCTCCAATGAGCCCTGTTATTTTTAGAGCATCATTTTGCAAATGTGAGATTATATATCGCATTGTTGCCAAAATGCCTGTCCTATTATTATGTCCTTTGTGCCTTGAGGGAAGAGAGCCTTACCCAGCTAACGGTCTTGCCTTGGTCTACACAGTCGCTGGGTGGCAGAGAGAACACCAGAGCCTGGTCGTCACCACCCCTGCCTCCCACCACCCAGTGTTTGCCAGCTCTTAACTGACTTGTGCACCTGGAGCCAGGGCAGAGCTTACAGTGTGAGGCCCAAGTGCACAAGCTGCAGAACAAGGCAGAGCTGAATGCAAACTTCTATAGCACCCTGGCCAGCAAGTTCCTAATCCCTGAGAGCCTCAGCTTACCCATCTGCACAATGGGATGACCACATGTAATACTCGTGGATGTTGAATGGGTGAAAAGCTAGGCTGTACGTAAAAGGCCGGGCCATGAGCCTGGCCCTCCATGGATGCTCAGCGGCTATCTTGCAGGTCTCCAAAGGGCCGGCGTCTTCTCCCCACATGGCCTGGCTCGCTCCTCCCTTCTCCCTGACTAGCCCCCGCCCATCCTTTGCCAAAGCCCAGCTTAACGTAAAGGGCCGCTCCCTTTCAGTTGTGCCCTGAGGTCCGGGGTTCCCCTTGCATCCTCTTTGTAGACCTGCTCTGTGAACGAGTGGATGGGGTTACACAGTCTCCATGGAACCTTTGAGCACTGCCTTCTGATTCTGAAAAATCACATGGCCACTCCTCCGCATTCAAGGCCACAGACTTGAGTGCATAGAGACAGAGGGTGGTTCTGATCGCCAAATCAGGCTGTCGTGTCCTCTAGGTCAGTAGTCCCCAACCTTCTGGCACCAGAGACCAGTTTTGTGGAAGACAATGTTTCCACGGCCGGGTGTGGGAGGGGGATGGTTTCGGGATGACTCCAGTGCATTACACTCAAACTCACCTCCTGCGGTGCGGCCCGGCTCCTAACAGGCCTGGACCAGTACCTGTCCACAGCCTGGAGGCTGGGGACCCCCTGCTCTCGGTCACGTAAGCTCAGGCATGTGAGCAAATGTGCCTGTCTACCTACCCAGCTGCCACCGGCTGTGCTGGGGACATTCAGAAAATGTGTCCTTTACCCCTCAGCTATGACATTTTATTCCCGCTGTACAGGAAGACACATTTAAAAGTCATCCCTGGTCAGAGCAGGAGTCTGAAGCCACATCCAGTGACTCTGACTCCCTTCTCTTCCCACCACACCGGGGTCCAGAGTGGCTGGGTCTCCGCACGTTCTGCTCAAGAAATAGAATTTTTTTTAAAAAAAGCCGAACAGAGACAAAAATAAAAAGAAAGAAACAGGCAAAACACAGTGCTGCCCTTGATTAGTTTGGCAGCAAGGAATCTTCACCGCTTCCTTTGCAATTTCCCCCAAAGTATAAACTTTCAGGAGAGGAGGAGGGGGAAAATAGCAAACACTTAAAAACAGAAATACAAATGTGTTTTTTAAAGATGGGATAAAAGGCCAAGGTATAGTTTAAAATAGAAAGTTGGGAGGGGCTCCTTATTGTATTTGTTTTCCTTTTCAGAGAGTAATCTCTATGCTTTGTTGTTTTTTAAAATGGAACAAACGCTGGGCAGGAGTGCTGGTGGCCCTGGCCGCAGATCAGAGAGCTCTGGGCTCTGTGGACTCCGCTCCCCCAGCGGGACCGCCCCCAACACAGGACGGAGGCTGTCGGTGGAAGAAGGACCAGAGACAAAACATACAGACGCTGTCCCTGCTGAGGACCGAGGTCAGATGAGGCTCCGGGCGTGGGCGGCGTCACCGTCCCCACCTGCTGCGAGCTGCTTGCAGTCCAAGTCTGAAGCTGCCGGGAGCCAGCCCCCTGCCCTGAGTTACAGTCCTAAGAGAAGGACATCCTGTCACCTTTCATCCCAGCCCCCAAGTCCCTGTTCAAGGGCCCTTGGCTGTCCTCAGGTCCCCAGCCTTAGCCCCGGGTCATCAGGACACTTTTCAGCGAGAATGCAAACAATCGTACGAATCTCCTGCACTTTCTATTTCCATGTGCCAAACACAGTCCCAAAAGCCTCACATGGGTCCTCTCATGACTAGCGACACCTGTTTTACTAGGGAGGAAACACAAAAGCCTAGAACGTCCGGGAACGCGGCCCCCAGATCTCGGATCACGCAGCTGGCGCGTGGCAGAGCTGGGACAACCCCGACAGGCGGCTCCGGCATCCTCACCCTGATCCGTACAAAGGGCGACCCTGGGGAGCAGTGACTCGCGGAGGCTTCGCAGCTCGCAGGGCGGCGCCAGCCATGGCCCAGGGCTCACGCCCCTGCATCATGGGCACCCTCCTGGCCCTGGCCGACAGGAGGCAGGAGGCCGGAGGCCGGAGGCCAGCAGCACAGGGCACAGGCTGCAGGATTCCAGGAGACACCGGCTGCGTCTCCCACACGGGCTTCGCCACCCGGAAGTGTTTCCCTGCCCGCCCCTCCGTGAGCTGTGCGGGGGAGTTCACACTCAGGGTCAAACCCCGCGCCCCATCTACTAGCGGTATGACCTTAGGCAACTTTCAACCTCTCTGAGCCTCAGTTCCCTCATCTCTGTAGAATGAAGATTATGATCCCCTTTAGCCCTTTCTCCAAAAGTTTCTCTTAAGGGTGGAATGAAAAAGTGTCCGGGCAAGCGAACTGTGGACTGCTGGACACGGAACGCCCTGGCTGCCGAGAGTGTGGCCCGGCCGCCAGCCGCCCCCTGATCCCTGGGAGGTTCTCGGAAGGGCAGGTTCTGGCCCTGCCCTGATGCGGAGGCGCAGAAGGTGCAGTTTTCCAAGCCCCCAGGCAGCGCTCGTGCGCGTGCTGCTGGAGGAGGCCCGAGCACGGGGTGATGGCAGAGGAAGGGCCTGGAGTTTGGACGGGCTGTGGCTTTGGAAGGTCTGACCACTTCCCGGGGGGTGGAGACGACAGGGCAGGAGAGCGAAGCTCCACGCGCAGGAAGGCCCAGGCGGGGCGGCTGCAGGAGCCTGGAGCCCAGGGGCTCCCGTGTGGCAGGCAGCCCCACAGGGTCGCGTGGGGCACACAGCCTGGACCCCACTGGGCGCTGCCGGCGGCCTTTGCGTCGCGCTGCACTAGAGCTGTCCCCCTGCGGAACGGCCCTCCCAGTCCCTGTGTGAGGCTCAAACAGCAGGACCCCAGTGCCAGTGACATGCACAGTCCTTCGCCGTAGGCTGTCTGAGGAGGACGGCTCAGACGTGCCTGCCCGAGGAGGACAGCGGCGAGGGGAGGGAAGTGGGGCTCCGCATGCGGAGGGGTGGGGGCGCAGCCTGGCTCCTCCCCGGGCACCTGCTGGCAAGCGGCCCCGAATGCCAGCCGTGAAAGCTACGGGGTTCAGAGCCCCCGGTGTCCGCCCACTTACCCTTTTTCAGATACACAGCCCGAGAGTCCTGGCCCCTGCTCCTCACTCTCAGCTGGCACCCGAGACTGCCAACGCCCACGGCCTGGGCGTTCCCCAACGTGTCCTGACCCTGGGGATGCAAAGAGGCTGCGTTGTCATGTCCCGTGATGGCCGCACCGACAAGTATTTATCAGCCTTAAAGATGGCGAGCCACTGGGCTTACAAAGGTAACAAAGAAAAGATCCCTACTCGTCATTCCCGCCCCGCCAGCCGGAGCGCAGACAGTAAGCAGGCAGTTCTAGTCCCGAGCCCCGCGTGCCAGCTGCAAAGATACGTGTAACTTCAGAGAGGGTGATGACAGAGGAGGGACACAATACTTCTGCTGAGGACAGGGAGCTAGGAGAGTGCCGAAACTTAGGGGCCCCCTCATGTGCCCCCAGAACATCGCTTATGAATACACACTCACACGTAAGCACAGGTACATGGACAAAGCGCATGCAATGTACTGCTATTGGTGATGTTGCAAAACGGCTAACCAAGGCCCTTAACGAGTGTGAGCTCAATTATGTACATCCATCGAAGGGGCTGGTATGTGCCATTAAAAAGAACAAGGTTCATTATCAAGATAGAAGGGAGAAAAAAAATGTGTATTATAAAATGTTAGCATGTAAACAAATGAAAGAAGATGCTTATTAACACCCAGGAATTTTCTGGAAGGGTCCATAAGAACTGGAGAGTCACATGGTGGTGCGCACGCGCTGGGGGTCAGGAGGCGAGGAGGCAGGAGCGTGGCTTTGCTGCACACCCTCCTCCCCTCATTCTTGGTAACAATGGACTTGTCCATAATCCGCCAGCTCTGACTCACAGAAGCAGCGGTGTCATGTGGTTCTAACTAATATGTAGCTTTTTTCTTTTTAAGCCATAGTCACACTTCTACGAGGGTAAGTAGTGCCGACGGGTCTGAGGCTCCGAGGGACAGAGGGCGTTTAGGGCTCTGGACAGCGGCCAGGGCCCCCAGTGCCTGGCCTGCCCGGCGAGTGGGCTGGTGGGGAGCAGAAGGCGCTGCTGGTCCCGGACATCCTCTCCTGACTCCGCTGTCGGGAGGTGACACTGCTCAGGGGAAGGCTCCTCGCCTCAGTGTCACCGTGAGTCATCGCAGGTTTACTGCCGGTTCAATTTTCCAAAGTCTCATCGCTTTGAAGGAACAGAGGTAGCGTGGGATCAGGGCTGGACGATCTCATTCCATCGTCTCGCCAGCCTGGTGTGGATTCGATCAGAGCCTATCTGACAGGCGTTTAAGAGGGAGACATGCCACGTGGTGGCCACGACTCACCTGACCAGAAGCTGTGCAGGCGACGTTGTCACTCGTCCAAGCATAGAAGTCACATGAGACGTCTGGTCCCACCCCAGCCACTGTAAGGAAGCTGCAATCCTGATCCGAGGCACAGTCTGCAAGCACCATGGGACAGTCACCTGTCTATCCCTCCCAGGTAATGCTGAGGACAGGTGGACACATAACCCCGCAACCTGCTCCCCAAACACCCAAACACACACACACACACACACACAAATACACAAATACACTCACCTGCAACATGGGACAACAATGACTATTCATAGGTGATTGTGGGTTGTGAGATAGTCCTTATACAAATATATGCTCAGTAAACAAACAGTAGCCGTTACTGCCCCGCTCTGGCCTCACTGTTAAAACAGACGGCTCTATCACCCAACCTGCACAAGCAGCTCTATAAGGAATCAGCGCCATGCGTTTCAGCGCCCTAATCTTTGGCGTCACATTGTCCCTGGCCTACCGTAGATGCACTATAAACTCTGAAGCGACATTAGGAGTTAACTGTACCTTTGGGGGGTCCACGGACTGCAAAGGGTTTTGATAAAGTATATTTTTCATGATAGTTTCAGTGGTTTTGTGTATTTGCCTTGCGAGATCAGCAGAGCGTGTTTTCCCACCACCCCCTGGGCGCCCGTCTCCCCACGTCCCTTACCTGCCAAGCACTGCACCAGTGCGGATTCAGAGCCCAGAACCTTGGACCTGACTCCCACAGCCACGTCGGCACTGAACATCACCTTCGATTCCGGAGCCCGCTCAAATTTCTGCATCACTGAAGGATAATGCGAAACTCATGAGACCTGACGCTGAAGCGTGGAAGCCAAAAAGAGTGCTAGGTCAAGAAGTCACCCTCCTGTCACAGCCCTCGGTCACACGGATGTCCCAAGGGGAGAATTCCATTTAAGGTAGGCCCAGCATGCTTCCTCGTGTGTGTAAAAATGAGAGCTCTGACTTCTGGCTCCATTTTCTATCTCATGAGAAAATTTAGTGTTATGTTAGTCCTTACAGCTCATTCTTTCTCCTGGATAGTGATTCTCTATCTAAAGTGATATTTCCCCGTCCTTATCTTTAGGAGTTAATTATAGCTTATAATTCTTTTGATGCAAATATTCTTCCTATAAAACAACCTGACTTCTTTCTGGAAAGAGGTAAGTTGTTTTTAAAAAGACAACTAGAACATATACGTACGGGGTTTATGTAAATCCGAAAACGTAGCTTGTGGCTCGAGCACTTTTATGACAGCATTTGTTTAAATGATACATTACACCTGTTTTTCTATCTGCCATCAACACACCTGAGCTCCGATCTGGTAGGACTACCATAGTCACACGCTCTTGGAACTACACATGGGAGGAAAAAGAAATACAGTTTCTCAAGGCTACAAGACTTGGAACTCACCCTTCACCAAGTGAAAAAATCACTGTGGTGACTCTCCAGGAATGAGCCTTATTTTATAAGCCAGAACACCCAAGGATGTCAATATTTTGCAAAAAAAAAAAAAAAAAAAAAAAAAAACAAGCCCTAAAGCGCACCAGTACTAGTTTTTCTCAAATATGTAAGTAATTATAAGCCTGTGCATAAGCACTCATTCTCATACATATCCGTTGCTTTATAAAAGCGACTTGTGTCTAGGTTGATTTTCATTATGTCAATAAATTGAGGGTCGTGCGAAGCAATCTTTTCTTGGCTTTCGTAAGACGTGCAGAAAAACGTTTATTCCGTTTGGGGTCAGGTTGGGAGCGGGGATAATGTTCATATAATAGAAATGACACGCTTTACATCTTCAAAATTTTTGATCAAGAATCCTAATTTTACAAAGTGGTTCTTTCACACTGATTACTGAAGCTGTCGCTCTCATGTGCTCAACTCAGACTGAGCCCTCTGCTCTGCTCTCCCCTCTCTCTCTTTCTTTTTTTAAATTTTTATACTCCTTGTTCTCATTTGTAGAGATGGCAATTTCCAGTCCAGCAAACACCATGCTATACGCACTCTGGTGTCCCTATGGCTCAACTGGTATAAACCAGAAGCTCACAACGTTATAGAAGACTGAATAAAATTTGACAGGTCTTTCAGTTTTTAATTAAAGGCTTCTCAGTAACTAAAAACACCATGAACTGAATTCTTCAACTGGAGAGCCTCTGGTTCTCAGCAAAGGGGCACCTTGGTGATACAGAGCCTCACGCTGCAGCGCTCTGTGAAGACACGCGCAGCCAAGCAGAACAGAAACAGCCCATGAGCGGGTGGGGGGGCCAGGGATTGCGCAGAGACCTGAGTTAGCTTGCAGACTGATTGCCCTGCTGCTCCCATTTCCCACGCATCCGATTCCTGCTCAGTGCCTACGTACAGAGGTCTTGGGGAAAGCACAGAGGATCAACATCACAGCACATTGGCTCGCGATTCTCAAAATGTATGCGACTGCTGCTTTCCAAGACGAGGACAACATTCTGAGAATATCTGAACCTCCACTGGCGAGGAAGGTGACAGATACTAGTTTCCTGTTTATTGGATGGATGGATGGATGGACAGATGGAAGGAAGGACAGACAGACGAACAGATGGATGACTGCCAAAATCATCGCAACACCAGGAAACCTGGAAAAGACGTTATGAGGATGTCCTCTGAGCACCTCAGTTTCCTGGTTGTGAGGATTAAACAGCATAGCATGGAACGCCTGATACACAGTTAACAACTCAGTAGGTGCCAGGTCCCTGTGCCACCTGCGAGGGCACCTGCCTAAGTGCCGGGGCTTATCAACTGGCTGCCGGAATTCAAGGGACAGGAACAATTCATTCATTCTGACAACAAGTGCCAACTGCTCTGGAATAGAACAAAAGGCAGGATACAGCTCAAGCCCCCAAGGGGAGTCCTGTCTTATGGGGCCAGAGGCCAGAGCAGAGGCCGAGGTGTGCGGCTTTGCTGTATTCGGGGAGCAACGCAGGGCCTCGACAGTCTTAAGGGGCATTGCGTAAACAGAATCGCCTTTTAGGAAAATTGCACTGGGCACGTTAGAGGAATATCCTTGGCGAGACCGGCTCTGGAAGGAGTTCGCAGGCTGCAGCTGCAGTGCCTGTGGGTGACAGCCCCGTCCTGAACTCTGGGGGCAGAAAAGGGGTAGGGGGGAGGGGGAGGGGGACTTTTCCCTCTTGGGTTGATATCTGCTTGGGAAGTTACACAGCTAAATTCTATGCCCCTTGCTTTTTCAAGAAGACAAAAGCTCCAAAACCAAGACTGCAATTTCACTTCCAAAGACAAGGTCCTCGCGAAGGCACGTGAAGAGGATTCTGAGAAAAAGCTTGTTGATGCCCCAGCGGGGGCCCAGCTCCTTCACATGGAAATCCTGCTGCACTGCCAGAGAGGGGAGCTGAGCTCTGAGCTTCACACGCTGCACCAGAGGTGCGGAGGCTCGGTCCGCGGGCTCTCCCTAAGCCATGCCCGAGGGAGGCGTCACCGAAGCAGGTGACACGGAGCTGTTCCTCATCGGGGCTGCTGGTGCCTCTTGTTAAGCTGCTCTTTCTGCCCCAGAAGAAGACAGGGCAGAACAAGAGAGGTGTGACAAAGCACACATTGCCATCCAAGAACAGGGACGCGAAGGGGGCTGAAGTTGAGAAGCAAGCACTTCAGTGACACTCCCAGTACGGCCAGGAATCACGGGGCCCGCGGCTGCGCAGGACAGCAGAGGTGTGCTGGCCTGGCCTCTCACAGCCTTCCAGCTCTCACTCCCACGGGCGCTGCAGCTGCCCAAGTGGGGGAATAATGGAAAAGACTAATGACTTTCGTCGGATCTGCACATTCATCCGTGGGGAGAGATATGCACAGATCCTTGGGATTCTGCGGTGCTTTGCTAGAGAAGAGAGATGATTGTTCTGGGCATTAGAAAATGAAATTTCCTCACTTGGTTTTCTCAGGTGTTTTATGTTATCAGCTGCACCAGCTTCCCCAGACAGCAGCCTGGCTGCGTGCACAAGCGTGCGCGTGTTGTATGTGTGTATGAGAGTATGCGTGGGCAAGTGTTTAATAAGGAAACAGATGAATCCAGGTAGAAGCAGACTGTGTAACAGAGAGAATGGGATTGAGAGTCAGACGCACACCCATTCAAAAGTCACTGAAACACTCTTTGCCCCATTTTCCTCAACTAAGTGATTGGGGATGATAATATCTGCCCCTTGCCCCACCCCCACCCTGTGGAGTTTCCAAGTGAGAGCCTAGAGAAAATGCCTGGGACAGGACCGAGCACATCATGAGCCCGTGTACATCCCCCCTCTCCTTACACAGAAACCTAAGTGACACCAGCAACCAGGGCTGGCTCTCAGGTGCGCCAAGGCAGGCCTTTGGGCAGCAAGCGGCGGCTCAGGGGAAGTAGGGCAGAGATCTGAAGGCAGAGGAGGGCAGAACTAAAGGACCTCGTGCATCGTCTCGGCCTGTTCCCTGGTTAAAAGGTGAGGAGACGAGGCAACCAGTGCTGAGACTGCTAGTCACTCTGAGATATGTATTACCTCTGTTAGGCACGTCATTGTGAACATTCTCAGCTCCCTGATGAGTATCTTTCATATCTCCCTTTACAGATGAGAAAACTGCTGAAGGCAAGTGACCCGCCCAAGGCTACATCCCAGCCAAGGGCACCGTTGGGATTCAACTAGTTCTGACCACACACCCATCACACTGAGTGCTGGAGGACATGTATCAGCTCCCTAGGACTTTCCTACCCACTACCTCACTGAAGACATGGCCTGGATGCTGCTCAGTGACTACTGTCTTGGTAGGATGGTTTGACCTCCTCAGGGCTTCCGGAGGCAGGCAGGAGGCCACTGTGGGGACTGAAGATCAGAGGAGTTGAGCAACTTGCTCTGGGTCGCCCAGCAAGTAAATTATGGAACCAGGCCTGGCCCTCGAGTCTTTGCATCGCATCCCACTGCGGGAAAAGTGCTACCAGCTTTTTGGAGGCAAGCTGCCCACAACAAAGGAAGCCTCATCAGGTTAAGTTTCAAAATTCGTTTCTCATGCATTCATAGGAATTTAGGGGTGAGGTTTTATGATATCTAAACCTCACTTTCCAATGATTAAAAATAAGAAAGAACAAAAGAGCAAAATACTAACGATTGTTGGATCTAGGTGATAGGTCTTTGTCCATCCTACTAGTATTCTTTCAACATCTTCATAGATGAAAATTTTTAAAATAAAAATTGGAGACGAACACATCTCGCCTGTCTGTCCCTTTCTAGAAAGCCCTGAGAGCACCCACCCTCCCCGAGCACTGTGGCTCATGGCAGGGCCCGCACGTACTCAGACACTGGGAATCCGTGAGTGGGGCCTCCATTTCCGACCACGGCAGCCTCCGCCCCTCGTTGTCCACACAGAAGGCCTTCCCACTGTCCCTGTCCCTCTGGCTGGCTCGGTACTGGCCATCCTGGTCACACTGCAGGCCCCTCTCACTCCTCTGACAGCCAGTGACACCTGGAACCAAGAGAGGGGCACATCAATCAAGGATCAGCGATGCCTCTGGGATCCCGGCCCCTCCGGACTCCGAGGCTCCCAACTGTTGATCAGACATCCAAGTCACATGTCTGAGCCAGCACCCTCTAGCTTAAACTCATTGATGACTCCACCCTGACCAAAGTATGACATCCATTATACTATTAATTACACTACATTATATTTAAATACAGGAATGCTTTCTTTTCCTATGAGACTCTAAACATCTTGAGGACAGAGAACATATCTTTGCTCGTGTTGATTTTACAGTACATATTTGGCATGAGGAAAGCATGTGAATGGTCAAAAGGGAGGGCCTTGACTGGTTCTCTGAGGCTGGGAGGCAAGTGGAAGTTATTCTTTCATGGCGGCCCAGGAACCTGGCTAACATCTACTTCGCTGTATCTTAATACTGTTAGTTATATGACTAACAATTGACTAACAACAACGTGTTTTGTAAAAAGATACAAAGGCTACTTTTTAAATAACATGCTTTATATGCCATACATGCTATACATGAATCAATCAATCAATCAATCAATCAATCGATAGCTACTTGGTTGTCACCAGAACCTCAAAAATCATCCAATGGACCTGCAAGGTTAGGAAACACAGGACCAAAGTGTTTTTAAGTGAGAATTATAATACAGACCTTAACTATGCAGAGAACCTGAAATCCCCAAAGCTATCCCAACACAAATGGAAATTCATGAAACACAGTCTTGGCATCATTTAAAACTGGGAAGGCTCTTCACGCTGTGCTTCTCTTTAATGTGATTCCACCCACGGATACAGACCAGGCAGTGGAGCAGGCAGAAGGGCAGAGTTAATGGGTCCCAGAGACATTCTGAGATATCTTCTTAGCACAGGCCCCACACATGGCCCGGGAGATCTGTCACTGAAATCTCTTCTGTGACTCAAGACGTCTGGGAGTATAATCATGTGACAGCCCTCCCCTGCTGCCTGGGAATTCTACCACAGCTCATCCCCAGAGTGGGCTGAGAATGGATGCTCATTGTTCACTGTAAACATATTAACAGGTTCCACTTTGCTGCAGACTGAATGTCTCCTCCAGTTCAAAGGCTGAAGCCATTAACCACGTGATAGTATTTGGAGATGGGACTTTTGAGAGGCTTAACTGCGGTCATTAAGGTGGAATCCCCATGACACAGTTAATGCCCTGATGGGAGGGGAAGACCCGGGAGGCCCCTCACTCTGCACGCACGCACCCCTAGAACCTGACTGCGCCAGCACTCGGGCCTGGGGCGTGCAGCCTCCGAAACCGTGAGCAAGCAGCATTTGTTGCTGAGGACACACGGCCTATGGTAATTTGTGCAGAGCAGCCCGAACTTGACAAAGACGTGTTTCATAACCACCCTGTGAATGTCGTACCACTGGCCTCGTCTAACAAATGAGGAAGCTGACCTTCAGAGAAGGGAGGTGACTTGGCCTATGTGACAGCGCCAGGAGCGGGGAGAGTAGGGGATGAAATGGGCCTGGCTGGTGCCTTGTCTCAGCCGCCTCCGCTGGCCCCTGCTGTGTTGGTCCTGCCCCTCCATTAGCAGGTGTCAGCCGGTACGCTGATCCCCTGTAAGAAGACAGCGCTCGAGCGATGGGACAGCCCCGCACGTCACCCCACACCGGAGGCCGGAGTCGACGTGTGCGCACTGGGGGCGGTGCCCAGGTGTCGGGGCAGGGCGTACCTGCTGAGGAGGGTCTACCCACAAGGAGGGTCAGACACCGGCCCTAAAACTCCTCTTGCTTCCTCGGAATTACCATGCTACGTCCACTGCTCTCCTGACCAAGGAACCTGCCTTCATCAGAGAAGGTGACTTGATCTCTTTTGATTATTTTCAAATTCTTTGCACTCTTCCATGTTTAAGCATAACAGTCTTCCTCTTGTTGACACAATTTCAGGCTAACATGAAAAGGAACACACAAGGCAAGTTCTGAGTCCCAGCCAGGAAAAACCCAACAATACCCACGTGACTGTCAAGTAAGTAGGCCAAGAGAAATCACATGACATCTGGGAAGACCACAAGTACACACAGTCCTGACAAAAGTACAGGGCATAGGGTATCTGAACCGCACAGTGGCAAGACCTGGAGGTGGAAAGTATCTTCCACTTCTCAATCTGATAAGGTTGACACGAAAATCAGAAGTTTCAGAATCAGACAACACCAAGATCAAAGGCTAGCCATGTCGCTCACTAGCTGAGTGACTTCGGCGAAATTACTTCTCTGAGTCTTAACCTTCTTATCTGTAAAAGGTCAGCTGATGATATTTACCTGGAAGGGGAACTGGGAAGATTAAATGAGGCAACACAAGGAAAACACCTGGCCTAGCCCCAGCGGGCCAGGCATTCAAAGACAGTGAGCCAATGGCCCTTTCGACGGCCGTGCTGTATGCTGATGGTTTTCAATGGTGGATGGTTTTGTCCCCACCCAAGACACTATGGCAATGTCTATCTGGGGACATGTTTGGCTGACATCACAACTGGGTGGGGCAGCTGGATACCACTGTCATCTAACAGGTAAGGGCCAGTGATGCTGCTAAATACAAGGGCCAACCCCCCAAAATGAAGAATCATCTGTCCCAAGTTTCAACAGTGCCAAGGCTAAGACATTCTCCTGTGTCCCCACTGCATTTCAGGGTTTCTATTTCGAAGTAGGACATTGCAGAACTTACAGTGGGTCCGACTGAAAGCTCCAGCATAAATGGTTGTTCTGCCCCTGGGACATGGGACACAGGTCAAGCTCCCTGCCCGTTCTTGGTAGAATCCCACAGGACAGGGAACACATTGTCCATCCTGAAAATAGCTTCCTTCGGGACACTTGACTAGAAAAGATAAACAGAGAAATGATGTTAATGATAAGACACTTGCTTTTCAATTAGAACCGCACAACATGCAGGGTATGTATGCGAAATCCCCAAATCAGTACAAGACCTCATTCATTGAACACACATGCATTGAGGATCAGCTGCAAGCCAGGCTCTAAGTGCCAAGGATAAGCTCTGAAGAAGGTAGACAGGCCATGGGATGAGAGGGTACCCGACAAGAATTTCAGAGATGGGTAGGATGAAGTAGGGAGGAGGGCTTGCTAGTGAGCAAGGCCCCTCTGAGAGGTGACACTTGAGAAACAAGTGATGAGAAGCACCCCAGGCAAAGGCCTCCGAGAAGGAATTTCCAGGCAAGTGCAAAAGTCCTGAGATAGGAATGAGTTTGGATTACTCAAGGAGCGGAAAGGAAAAAAGCCAACCAGAACCAGCAACTGAGATAAAGCTTAGTAGATGAAGAGAAGAGGTGGCGTTGGAGAACAACTTGAAATATGAAGTCCAACCATAAGTTGCTATGGGAACATTTCCCAAAGGTAATGACATGGTGGAACGCAGTGAAGGAGGGCTGGTGTGCAGATGACTGGATTTGAGCCCCACTCTCCCCAAACTGAACCCTTTTCTCCATCCATCAATTCAACCAACTTCCTTTGACCAAGTAGTGAGCACAGATGTGTGGGACAAGGTAGAACGAAGCCAATGTTGACTTAACAACTCCAATCTCCTGTACGCATTCACCCCAGCATTTCTGAGTAAATCAGAAACTCCAGATACCCCCTGGAAACCGAACAACGTGTTTTCCGGCTTGCTCTGAGCAATTAACAGCCTCGCTCAGAGACTGTGGTTTCATTACTTCTATGAGTCAGGCTGTTGATCATTTCTAGTATTTTAACCCCAGTGCTGTGACTGTTTTTCCAAGTGGTCTCCAAATCCACGGTCAAAGGAAAACAAAACCTTTTCAGCCTGCCTGAGCTGCCCTGCCCCCCGACCCTAGGTGCAGGGGAAGGGGCCGCAAGCTCAGTCAGTTGCAGGCCTCCGGACGACGCTCAGGGAACGTGCATTCTGTTTCTCTCCACCGAGGATGCTGACGGTCTTATCCACCCAAAGGAACGCTTGGGTAAGTCAGAATGAGACCGTGGCTGCATTACCATCACCCTTCCCTGGGCAGGTGGGTCCTCTCAAAGACCCCTGAGTCCACAGCAACAACTGGGCATCTCTCTTTCAGTTCACTCCCCCTGCAACGATCACCGGAAACCCCTTTGGCCGCAGTTCCCTCCTCCATAAAATCAGACAACATGCCTCTTTGTGTTGGCGAGTTTCACAAAGCTTTTTGTCATGCCAGCTTGGTCCCACTGTCCTGCAGCGATGGCAGCCATGTTTCTACTACAGGGACATGTCTGTGAGGAACCATAATGGTTCTTCACCCTTTAGCCCGCCTTGCTCAGTGCCGTGGCTGGCCCTGTCACTTCCCAACTGAAAATTCTCCCAGGATGCCTCCCCACCAGCCTCAGGCCCTTGCTGTGTCCCAAGGCCTGCCCCCCCGCTGGCCCCTGCCTGCCTCTCTGGCCCCAAGTCCTGCCACATTTCCTGCACACCCCATTCTCGGCCATAGAAGTCATGTGCACTGTCCCCATGAAGCCACACCACTTCATGGCTCCCTGCTCTTGCACAGATGTCCATTTCTGGGATGTCTTCAGTAGCACTGACATAGGTGGGCGCGTGCACACACACACACACACACACACACACACACAAAACATGTGCAAATGCGTCCTGCCTTGTCTGCTCTCATTGAGCAGCAATTGTAACTTGCCGTTCAAGTTCACGCTGGCCTATGTTCCCCCAACAAGCCTTCTCTGGCTGCCCTGCCTGGGGCGGACAAAGCTTTTTCACAGGATATTTTAGCTGTCTTTCCATTCAGCTCTCTCCAACCAGACTGTCAGTTCCTTGAAAGTAGAGCTATGACTTCTGGTTCCCTGAGTATATAACATGGTGTTTGACACATAATCATATTTTGAAAGCTTGGATGGATGCATAGAAGGAAGGAAGAAGGAAAGGGTAGAAGGAAGGAAAGAAGACATATTTCTTCAGAAAAATTCCATGGAGAATTAGTTCTATTGTAAGAACCTGCAGTGAATGAATAAAATGTAATGTGATTCAGAATGGAAACAGAAAATCCAGACAATTTCCCTGGGATTCTCCTTAATGGACCAGCGTGGCACGAAGGCTGCCAGCAGGTAATTCCAAGAAAAACCACAGGACTGGCCTTAAGGCCAAAGTGCGAACATAACTGACCCGCTGGAGCTACAAACAAAGCCCCAGGCCCCCGCAGTCTCCGGTCACTGGATAAAGGCCACCGGGCCTACATGAGTCATGGAGGTGGATATTCCCACCACCCTCCAAGGAGATCATCCCGATCAGCCCCCTGAGAGGGTCACAGAAACCCTGCTCATCTCCACAGGACAGTGTTCTGCTTGTAGCCTCACAGCTGTGCTCCAGATGTGCTTCAGGAGGAAAAAGAGCCAATAAGAACAGATACAAGAATCGTGGCATGATCTCACTGAGAAACCCCTGGCTGAGTCAGGAGACATGTGCTGCTGAAGACAGAACAAAGAATTTGGAATCCAAGACAGTGAGTTTAAATCTCAGCTCAGCCTACTGACCGCAAAGCCTATCTGGTCTTTGAGGGAAAAAGATCGCCAACTCCTGCCCTAGAGGTAGTTAGTGTAGCCCAGGGAAACTCTCTCATTCAGCCCCTTCCCGGGGTCCTCCCCCACCGTACCCTGCTGTGGCTCCCACTCTCTCCGAAGCCTGTCACCTGGGGGCCAGTTCTGACTGAAACACATGCGGGTGCTCCCCCTTCAGGGAGCACTGTCTCCGCTTCCCCCCTCACCTCCCGGCTGAGCTGGGTGACCATCCTGGTAGACAGGAACTAGTAATCTCATAGTCCATTTCCCTAGAGGGAAGCTTAGGATCAGATTTCCAAGCCAACCCCTTTATTGTACAGGAAAGAGACCCCTACCTCCCACCTCTCTACCCTCCTCTCCCCCTCCAGCATCCCCGAGGGAGTGGGACTTGCTTGAAGGTGCAGAGGCAGAAGAGGTGCCTTGACCTGACCCTACTAGCACCCGTGTCCTCCACCTCCTACTGCTCCACCCTCAAGAGGGCGCACCTGAGTCAGTGAGCCTCAGTGAGGCCCCTTTACCAGCGCTCCCCGGAGTGACTATAAGAGCAGACAGACGCTGCCCGCACACACCGACCACTCCTAACTCGGAGTCTGGCAGTGGGGCCCAGGGCTCTCCGTGAGGCGTCGGTGAACACAGCGACAGGTGTTTGGAGCACCCCTTTGTCCCTGTGACCCTGTTTCTCCCACCCCAGCAGGTGGTGCCATCCACTCCCTCTGCCGGTTTCTTGTCCAGTTCTGTGTCTGGGCAGCGCTGCTTCCAGAGCACCTGGGGTCAGGATTGCTCACTCACAGATCACTGGTGTCGGGAACCTGAGTCCCTCCTTTGAGTCACCCCTGCCCTGGGCTCTGCACGTGTATGACCTCATTTCATCTGAGCCTCAACCTCTTCATCTGCCACATGAGGACGTGACCTGCGACCAGGGGTTTTGTGAGAGTTAAATATTTGTGAAGGTGTATTTAAATGACAACATCCTCTATAAAAGTCGGTGCAAAGTGGTTGTCTTACTGGTGTCTGTGTTAAGACCTAGCTGCATCTTAAGTTCAATGTGGAGTTTAGAACTTAGCGTGGATTTCATGAAAGGAAAGGCCATGTAGCTTTTGTGTTGCAACCAATATAAACAAGTAACCAAGAACCCCTCCCCCCCTGCTTCAGTTCAATAAAAATGCCTCTGTGTCTCATGTCATGTGGGAGGAAGGCTTCTCTTCGTGAGACCCTGGAAGTTCCTGTAGCAGACAGAACAATGGCCCCCAAAGCTGTCCACATCCTAATCCGCAGGGCCTGTGACGACGTTAGGTTACGTGGCAAAGGGAAACTCAGGTGGCACAGGGAATGGAGGGCGCTAATCAACGGACCTTACAATAGGGCGGGTGTCCTCGGTCATCAGCAGCCTTTAATCATGGGTGCTTAGAAATGAAAGGCAGAATCCAAGGGAGCTGTGACTATAAAAGGATGGTCAGAGCACTGTGACACCGCTGGCTTTGAAGATCAAGAAACAAAGCCACGAGCCAAGACATGTAGGCAACATCTCAAAGCTGAAAAGGTCAAGGACGGCCTAGAGCCTCCAGTAGGAAGGCTGCCCAGCTGACACCTTGATATTAGCCCAGTGAGACCCGTGTCTCCAAACCTGCTAAACTCTAAAATCATAAATGTGTGCTGTTTTAGGTCCCTAAGCTTGTGGTGATTCATGGTAGTAGCAACAGGAAATTCTCACACCTCCCATTCAAGGAATTTGCAGCTGCAGTCTAGTGAAGACAGCTCCCAAGGCTGTTGACGTGCAAGGCCAAGAACAACCCCAGCCAACCTCCACCAGGAACACTCCCCTGAGTGGTCAAGTCCTGGGCTCATCAAGGGCCATCTGGGGATGCAACACATTGCTGCAACCAGACTAAGAAACATCATGAAGCACACAGGGTAGACATTGGCCTTCATCACAGAGACAGTGCCGCCCAGGGTCCAAGCTTGTCAACAACCAAGGGGAAGGGGTGTTTTCAATCACTGGGGTTCTTCCTTCTGTCCCATTATCTGTGCCTCTGGTTTCATCTACTACCTATTGGGCGATGACTATCTGCCCATGCATAGCGGAGGACTGGAAAACATTCCATATATAAATGAAGGATTCTCCACTCTCTCAGAGCTTTGGTGGCCTTTCCCGCAGCCTCACACGGCTCAGTAATAGAAGTCCAGGGAGGGGGGTGGACCTACCACACCCCAGTGGGTCCTGACTGGCATTGCCGGCGGCCGAGGCTGGGTGGAATCCTTCCAAGCACCCGTATTGTGCCCTGGGAGAGGTGCCGAAGCCGTCCCCGTGGAGGAAGCGAATGGAGGTGTCTGCGGTGAACGTCTTGGAATCCAGGTAGAGCTGGAACACCCCACTTCGGATCAGATCTGCGAAGCGCCCCACCAGATTCTTGCCCACGAAGGCTTCCTCTGTAAGACACGAGGCGGGGCAGGAGTGTTATCTTGCTGTTCTCTGCAGGGGCCAGGGAGGATCCAGGCACAGAGCCACCCAGAGCATTCACAGCAAAAGGAGACACAGGCATTACCCAGGACTCCACTGGAGAGCAGGAGAAACTGAGGCCACAGCAGGGGGCTGACTGGCCCCAGTTCACACAGTCAGAAGCCCAGCTAGCCCTCCAGCCGACATGTGTGGCTCCTGCCCTTCCTGTGGCAGCCACGTGATCCCCGCTGGCCCAGGACATCATGACTTCAGTCACTAATCTAAGACGCACCATCCCTGAGCCTCCGTTTCCCCACCTGCAAGATGGAAATGCCCCTCCTGCCGCCAGTGAGGATGATGAGAGGATGTGTCACGGGGTCACCCACACAGAAGACAGGGCCTGCAGCGGATGATGGAGCCCTCCGACTCCATGTTGGCTGAGAAGGCCCCCAGCTGCCTAACTGCAAGTGCTTCCCAGGGGGAGAGAGGACGAGCCCCACATCTGGAGCTGGGGGGCACCCCAGCACACAAGGAACATTCACAGCTCAGGGGAAGCACCTCCGCCTTTTGTAGCTCCACACACCCAAGAAATCCAGGCTCTTTCCAGAGGAAGACAAAGGGACCCCTAATTCATAATGCTTGGGGCAGGGGGAGTGGCTGCAGCCCCCTTCTGCTTAAACCCTGGCCACTTCTTCCCGTCACAGGACAAAGGTGAAGCTCCAGCCAGTCCCGACCCTTGGGCTAACATCAACCCCACGGTGCTTCTCCTTAGACCTTTCTACTTCCTCAGTGTGTCCTTATGGAAACCGCCCTGTTTAGACAGCTGTGGGTTTAAGCAGCGTGCGTGGTCTGAGGGGGTTTATAACTGGAAGTGGGCAGGACGTGGATGATGAACCAGTAGAAACTCTTCCTCACCAATCCCTCCCACTGTTTCTTCACACCTACATCCCCTCTCTGTGCCCAGAAAACCAAGAGGGGAATTAGAATCTGTTCATGGAAACACAATCAGGTGATACTATTTAACTCCAGTAGACTACTGACCAGAAATCTATTGATTTTTACGTACTGTTTAATACTTCACTCCTCCCATGGACCAGGTTGGTAATTCTCACTAGATACTCACAGGAAGGCATCGTGGCTTCACCAGCTCCCTTTGACAGATGGGAAAACTGAGACTCAGAGACCCTACATCGCTTCTGCAAGGGAGTAACGCAGGAACACATACCAACGTCATGCAAATCAGGGAGGGAGGCTGGCGGGGCGTCCTCGAGCCGCAGTTTCCACGTGACGTTCACTCCTAAGCGCTCACTGGTCAGACACCCCACCTGCACCGCGGAGTCGTCGCAGACGGGAATGGAAACAGGGGTCCCCAAAGTCTCCACCTACAGAGACAGATGCCTTCCGTTCAAGAACACGGTAGGGAGCCAGCTTTGTTAAGCCCACAATGGCCCCAAAATTGGTTTATGTCCCTGCCAGAGGAGGTCAGTGAGAGCGGGTGACTGAAGGGCCGCCCTCTCACCCCTCAGTCTTCGGCGGGCCCCTCTCTCAGGTCTGGGGATTCTGGAATATTTCTCCCCTCACTGTGTGAGGTTTGATTTCCTCATCTCAGTAAAGGGCAGCACTGCATCTACACACAGCCGTTGAGCCAAAACCTTGCACCTCCCAGATGCCCCCTCCTCCACGGTGCGTTATCTGCTAACCCATCCTGGGGGCTCTGCCTCCCCAGTGGGTCCCAAGTCCTCCTGATTTCAATCTGGTGCAAAAGAGTCTAGACAGACCTGGACTTGCTGAGCAATGTGTAATGCTGGGTGACTTACTCTCTGTGGCCTTCAGTTAACCCTGTGTCCATTGAGGGTAAAGGCACCCATGGGTCAGGGTGCTGAAATAATTAGAGACAAGGAAAGTACAATTCCCCACACAGCTGGGGCTCCACAATTGACAGAGAGGGCTGGGGTTTTGTCAAGTGCATTTCTTTGGAGCAAAGGGGGCAGTATATGTTTCTATTTGTTTTAGAATCAACTCCCTGGGTTTGGTTTTGTGAAAATGTGTGTTCTACAAAATTTTTAGCATTGGGTGCTAAACATGAGTTGCTCTGATGAGCTGGCAAACTTTGAGAAGAACAAGGACTTATTGAGTTGAGAGACTTTGAAAGACTCACTCTGTGAATCCTCATGGCTTCAAATCACCCACGCCTATTACACGGGTAAAAAGCGTGACATGCATTATTTATGGTCCTATATCTTTCCAGCTGGCATGCACGGACCTTTTCCCAGGGAGGACCCCTCATGCCTCCTCACTGATCTGTCAAGAAACACATCTGTTCCGGCAGCTCAGGGAGTGGGTCGCGGCACCTCAGCCTTCCTGCCCCACATTCCCAGGCTCTTTCCCCACGGCGGTGACAGTGCTCCACGGCGATCACAGCTCCGCCCTCACTGCAGCCAGCCAGAGCTCTGCCATTTCCCAGCCCTGTGCCTCTCGGGGATTACTTAACCCTCTGGCCTTCACCGTGCCCCGCCCCCACCAATCTGCAAAGCAGCAATAATAAGATGGCTGTGAAGACTGTGTGAGCCAATCCATGCCCAGGGACGCACAGTGCCTGGCGCACAAGAAGTGCTCAGCCCATGTCTGGTTTGACATCTGTATGTAGCAAGAGGGGCCAGGGAGGAGATGGCTTCGGACTCCACCTCCGCTGCTGCAGAATTGGCCATGGCCAAGCTACTTTCTCATCCTGGGCCTCAGTTTACCCACTTGTAAAGTGAGTGGGTGTCAAACTCGAGGTTTATTTGAGCCCTGGGGGTTTCTGACACTATGACCCCGAGCTGCATCCAGGCACCCACTGTGGGGAAGGCCAGGCTCATACCTGGAGCCGGCAGAAGCCGCGGGCTGTGAGCTCGTCCAGGATGAAGACCTGGAACGCCAGCAGCAAGCCTGCGTAGTCGGCGCTGCACACCTTGCCCGGCGGGAGCTGGAGCTGGAACTGTGCGTGGGTCTGGAGGGTCTGCCACAGCTGCAGCCCTGCAGGGAAGTGTCAGAGGTCAGCGGGCGCTGGTGACGGACCTGAGGGATCCTTTGCTGTTCCTTGCTTGTTTTTTTCCCTCTACAGAAATAACCCTCCTTCATTTGGTTTGGAACACGCCAGCACCGCCATCTTGCATTGTCATCCTCGGAGCCTAAACACTTCCTGGCATGACAGCTGGTTCTGGAATCACTTAGCACTCACAGCCGGCTCAGTCCTGCCTCAGTCTCTACAGCAGGCTGCTTTCCATGTTGGCGGGTAGGGGGGCCGATTCTAGTATTCTCCTTGGAAAAGCGACTGCCTTGCATTCAAACAAGGCAACGCTATGTGGTTTGGCCATTTAAGACATCAGACTATAGGAAATACATGCTCTAAGGTCATCAGGGCACACCCTGCACAGCTGTACACAGCAGCGCCACACTCAGCCTGTGGAGTTCAAGGCCCACGGCTCCCTCCTCCCATACCCCTTGCTCTAAATCCACTTGTGACCAGCCTGGTCTGGATTTCAGCTTAGGCCATTTTGTCACAGTCAGGTTGACAACCCACTTTATTTGTCCACATCTCATTTGAACATTTTCTGGATAACCATCTCTGTCCCAGAATGCTTTGCAACAAATACTGCCCTTTGACACTGCCAGCCACCCAGAGCCTGGGGTGGTCCCAGCGCTCGCCCCTGACCTGCTTGGCTGAGCAGCAGCACCAGCCTTTGCCAAGGCGGATGCAGTCAGAGCCCAGTGCTGCCTCACAGCCCGCGCATGTGGACATGGGCTCATGGCTGGGTGGGACAGGAGCCCTGCCGGTACCCACGCAGGGCGCAGGCCTACGGCTCGGCTAGGCATTGGCCCTGGAGCTCCATGCACACCCGGGGGAGAGGCTGGTGTGGCAGAGTCACGCTCAGATGCCAGATGAGCAGCCTGGAGCTTGTCAACACCACAGATGGCCCTCGGAGCACCTGCCTGCTGAATATAGTCCTATACCCAAGACACCCCAGCAGCACCTGACATGATGGCGGCTCTCCAAGGAGCCGGTGGCTCCCGAGACGCCACCAAGGTGTCCATGGAGCACACCGGCTCCTTCTAGCGGCCCTCCCTCCTGCTCTAGGTGCCTCCTGGCACATGTGGAGAGGCTACACGGGGGTGGAAAACGCGAGGCCACTCACGCTGGCAGGCCTGGGCCTGAGGCGGCTGGGACAGCCAGCGTCTGCTCTCCGGGCTGCACACCAGCGGCCCTGCTGGGAACGCGCTCCGGTAGCCCTGGCGGCACAGCAGCTGGCACTGCTGGACGGTGGCCCCGCCGGGGCCGGAGGCTCGCTCACACAGGATCACTCCACCAGCCACGTCCGACGTGTTGAATGGCAGCGGGCACTGCGGGCCTGGAGGAAGGAAAGCGGTCGGCTGGGGGGCTCTGTCCAGCGCAGGGCGCGGTGCATCCCTGCCTCTCTGCTCCCTTTCCCTGACTGCAGGTATGCGGGGGCTCCTCGGACCCTGGCCTGGGCCCCCTCCCTCCCTCTCTGCCCTCCCCTTGGAGAAGCCCGTCCTCGCTCAGCTTTAAAAACACTGCTGCGTGGATGACACTTGGCTCTTCATCTGCAGTCAGACCTCTTGAGCTTCTTCCATCTCTAAATCCAACCACCGACCTGTCCCCTCCACCTCGAAGCCAACACGTCATACTCAGTGCTGCCCGCCCACGCCTGTTCTTGCCTCAGTACCTGGCGCTCAACACACGGCACCTCCAGCCACCCAGCTGTCCCAGGCAAGAAACACGGGGGCCCTCCTGGACAGCCCCCTCTCTTCTGCCCTGGCATCAGCGAAGGCTGCAGCTCCCCGCTTCTCAACTGCTCTGCGTTTCCACTGCATTCCCTTCATATTTCCCTTGACTGTTCAGGAAGCTTCCTCGTCCAACCCAGCCCCCACTGCCAGCAAAGGAATTGCAGCGAAGCCAGACATCAGCTCCCTGTTCCCCAGGTACTTGCTGGCCCCACCTTCTCTCCCACTCTCCTGTCCTCCAGCCCCTTTGGCCCTGGCATGGCTGTCTTTCCCTGACCAGATCTTGGCTGCGCACCTTGCGCCCCTCCCTCTGCCTGCTCCTCTGCCTAGAAGGCTCCTTTTGGACCCTCAGTTACCAGCTCGGCACCTCTAGCTTGCTAACACCTTCCACTGCTCTCCTAGGCCTTCTCAGGGCCCCTTTCCCCAAGCTTTCTGGCCAGATGGTGCAGCCCTCCATGTAATTAGTGAGTCAAGAGTCCAATCACCTGCACACCAGTCTCTTCACTGGATAGAGCCCCGGAGGAAAGAGGGTGGCTTTCCTCCATTCACCCAGACCGCAGCACAGCGCTGACCATGAATGCGGGTGAACCAGGTGGGCGAATGAGTAAATTAAAGAGGAGACACACTCAGTGGGATAACGCCACACCTGACGAGAGGCTTAGCTAATTGTCTGACTGTCAGGCGCAGCCGCCCTGCCTGTTTAGGCCTGGCTCTATGACTGGCAGTTCACGTGTGATTCACAGGTACTTGGGGCCCTCAAAGATGGAGGACTCATTCTGAACTCCAAGGGGCAGCCTTGACTTCTCCCCAATGAGAACGACAGAGAGAGCGCCTCTGGCCAGGACTTTGCGTTGTGATTTGCAGGGGGCTGACTGAGCTGGTTCTTACCTGCAGAGTCAGATCATGGGACCAGTCTGCCAGGCTTTGAGTCCTGGCTCTATCATTTACCCATGGAGAGCCATAGAGCAAAAGTTGACTAGCTCCTCTGTGACTCCGTTTCCTTGCCCATAAAATGGTGAGGATAGCAAGAATGCCTACCTCCTAAGGATGGCGTGGCTCAAAATTAATTAAGGCATGCGAGGAGCTAAGAAGAGTCACTGAAATGTAATAAATGCTCAGTAAATGTCAGCTGTCATTATTATTATTAACAGCAAAGGGAGTATATGTTATGGCCTGCAATGGAAGTTTTAGGATGTGGGTGTTCACGTAGTTGTCACTGGCTGAGACCCTTTATTCCACAGATGTGGGGGCTGAAGCCCAGGAAGGTTATGTCCTCTGCCCTGAGGCCCACAGCAGCAAGTGGAGAGCCAGGTGCGGCCCAAGAATCGGTGCCACCAGGCTACGCCGTTTACAGAGACTGTCTGAGTTAACCCTGACGATGACTCTAAGAGCGAGCCGTGATCCGGCGTGTTTATTTCACAGAGCGGGAAACTGAGACCCAGAGAGGTTAAGGGACTATCCCACGGTCACCCAGAAGAAAGTGGAGAGCTGACATCCAGTCTGTCTGTCTGGCTCCCACCCCTGGGCTTCCTCCACCACTCTGGGGGGTTCGTGTTAATGCTGGCTGCTCCGCTTGCCAGCTGTGTGGCTTGGGACGTGCACACGAACCTCGGAGCCCTGGTTTTGCCATCTGTTAAACTGTTGGGCTGTTCTATCCATTGACTTGCATGGGGTAAGGGGCGGGAAAAGCACCTTTTAGCAGGTGAATCTCTGCACATGTGAGCTATGATCATGGACACCCGCAGGACCAGCCACATGGGATCTTCTCAAACCCCAGGCGAGCTGTGCTCCCAGACCTGCTCCTGGAGGAGACACTGCAGTCTGTTCCCCGGGCCCCAGGCCGTGCGGAACGCCCTCAGGTGCCCGGAGATTGAGCGCTGACTGTTTCCATCCCAAAGCTGGTACCGCTTCTCTCAGAAGCACACGGCAGGGAATCCCACTCCTAACTACCCACTGAGCACCTGCCCTGCGTGTGCCCTGTGTGGTGGCAGCTGCTGAGGGCGCGGGGGTGAGTGTGGCAGGGTCCTGCCTTGACGAAGGTCCCGCACAGGGGGGGCGACGTGGGGCTGTGCCGTGGGAGTGGGGGCTCGTCCCAAGGCAGGAGCGGGGGAGGGAGCGGGCTGCAGGGGAAGGGTCCCCACAAAGGGGAGGGAGGTTGTCCCTCCCATCCTTTCCCTTTACAAATACAAATGCAAATTTACAAACACAGGAGGTTCTCTTTACACACATAAATCACTAGACTTAATCATATGTCTCTGTAGTTCCCAAACGTTGCTTAGAGACTATAAAATTTAAAAACAAAGCCATAAAACAAGAACAAAAGAAAGCTGCTTCCAATAAAATCAGAATCACTCGGTGCAGTATCTCCTAACCCCACCAGGCCCAACACCCCAATTTGTGAGAAATACTTTGCAATGTCTGCATTTACGGCCCTGAAACAAAATTCAGAGAGTCTAACCTGCTTGTTCAGATGAATTTTAAAATGATCATAATGCCCTGTGACTTGAGTAGATAGGGGAAATAAAAGGTAAGTAACTGATAATTAAATAAGTTTGAACATATAATAATCTATTTCAATATTCTAATACCTATTCGTATTATTTATAGTTTAATATTTGATATCCAAATAATTTTTAAATTAGAAATAAAAATAAACACATCAACACCTGCACAAGTTCCCACAGCTCCCGGCTGAGACGAGCTCCTCCCCACTGAGAAGGTGCTCTCGGGCCCCTCCCCCCTCGGCACTGGGAGACCGGGACCCGGAAGCCCCAGCTGGCCAGCCCGAGCTTCCTGGGAGCCAGCTCGGAGGATCCCGCGGGGGTTCCCCCAGGTCTCAGCCCCGGGGCTGAGCGTTCGCCGGAAGTAGACACCAGTTTTGACCTCATGAGAATCAGCGGCAACCCATCCTCAGGCTCGTCCTGTCTCCCCTCCCACCCTGACTGTCCTAGTCCGTTGGAGTCCCTCCCACCCCCCCGCCCCCCCAGCCCAGTCTGAGGGGAGGAAGAGAGGGGCAGGGCCCACGGCTCACTCTCACAGGCCGGCTGGCCCCCGGCCACGCGCGTCCCAGGCGCCTCCTCTCCGCTGCCCAGGACACACCAGCAGCTGCCCTGGCCCGGGTCGCACTGCACTGGGGAGCGGCCTCCGTCCTCTGCCCTGCAGGCTGGGGTGTCGCCCGGGCCAGCTCTCCTGGAGAGGACGCCGCTCTGGAGCGATTCACAGAGGCCTGGGCAAGGACACAAAGACAAGCCAGGTGGAGTCTTTGCCCACAGAGCCACCAGAGCCCGCACCACACACAGGCGCCACCTGCCACCACCTGCCTGCAGGGCCCTCCTGGGTCTGGGCTGCCTCCCACTGGGGCACTGACCCAGGGCCGGGCAAAGGCTGGGCCGCACTCAGCTGTGCCCCCTGCCACGCACACACGCGCACACACAGCCTGCCCACAAGGAGCGAAGAGTCTGCAAGGAGATTTACCAAGTGAGCAATTGGGAGCATTCGAGCTCTTCCTTCCCAGCACACGGCATCAGTGTGGCTCAGATAAACTCTTATTTAAAAATATAAATGAGTGAGCGAGCAACGAGGGTTCAGAGCACTAAGGGCAACAATGGGGGATGCACAGGGCTGTTTAGGGGCCCCGAGGAAGGCCCTGACCTCAGCTACGGAAGACAGGCCTGGGGGACTAAGAGTCGGCCAGGGAGGGTGGGGGAGGTGGAAATACTGCAGGGCGCAGAACCACCACACAAGAAGGCCCAGGAGAAAGAGTGTCGCCTTCTGAAAAAGCCTGACTATAGATTATTACACCCAATCCTGGACAGTGCGAGATGGAGAACAAGGGACCCAGGAGCCACGCTCACAGGGAGGGGCCGGGAGCCACGCGGGGCGCGCGGGCCTGGCCTTCAGGACCATGGGGGCTGTGGCTGCCTTTCAGGCAGAGGAGGGACATCAGCACATCTGCCCGTGACGGACAGCACCTCAACCTCCCCGTGGAAATGGGGCTGCAGGGCCAGGCTTGGAGCGGAGGGAGCCGGCGGGGCTGGTTGTGTCATCAGTGCTGTGCATCCTGTCACCCCACAAAAGCACTAGCACCCACTTTAATCAGGACCAGCGCCGGCTTGTGCTCCCCAGTTGCAAAGCACATCCGGTTCCCTGCCGTGTGCACTTCTCCCAAGAACCCGCGGAGGTTGGGGAACATAGCTCCTAGTTTACAGGTGAGACGGCTCTGGAAGCAGCAGAGCTGGGACAGGCAGCCAGCTCTTGGGACGCCACACCCAGGCCCGGGTGCACGGGAGGGGCCGGGGGCACCGGGGGCGGGGCGACTACTCACACTGGTCACTGCCGTTCGTGCCGGGTGCGGTGCCGGGCGCAGTGCCCTCTCCCGAGGCCTGGTCCACGCACCAGACGCCAGCCTCCGACACCTGCCGCCTGGCAAACTCTCCTGTCTGGGACAAAGCCGAGGTCACGTCACACGGGGCAGATGCTTTGGCAGCCCCCGAGCCAGTGAGCAGATGGCAACATCCCTTCCAAAACCAGCAGAGACAGCTTCGGCACATGGAGGGAGGTCACGTGGGAGAGTCTCCATTCCAACCCAGACCCTTCCCACACGTTACCGGAGCTGAGGGGAGAACAACCCCATGAGGCGGGGCCACAGGTATCCCATTCCAGGGATTCCACGGGACTTGGATAAAGCCCCCGGGGGCTGAACCAAGCAGGCGGTGGTGTTCGTGTCAGACTATTTTAGGGAGGGGAAACAGGCACAAGGACTTCACTTGGCACGTCAGCGATTAAGACTCCAGCATGACTCCTTTCTCTAGGAGCTTTTATTCCTAAAATCCACTGCATTGAATTATTACAGTCACCCAGAGAGCCGGGTGCCGGGGCGATATTAGGACGTCTTCTGTGTGTATTGAGGGAAACAAGAGAGAGAATGTGCATTCCGATTCGGCCGAGATGACTTTAGGGAAACCAAGATGACTTTTAGGGAAAGCAAACGAGTTTTAGGGAAAACTCGTTTAGGTAAACAAGTTTTCAAAGAGTTGTCATGAATGGTATGTTCTTGAGCCCTCAAAACAATCCTAGCACCAGGCAGGATAAAAATGTGGTCTGATCATATGATTTTTAAAAAACTGAAGCAGAGAGAAGATAAGTAAATTGCCCATGGTCCCCCAGCCAGGCTCTGCCAAGACTAAGACAAAAATCCAGACCTAGTCCCTGTGAGTTTTTAGCAAAAACAAATTTATTGAACACTAGAAAATGTGTCCTTGCCCTGTGGGAAAAAGTTCTGGCTTCCCTCACAGCCACCCGGGGCCTTCAGAGCCTTACCTCCAGGCAGGTCGGGATGAACAGGTCTCTTGGTGAAGGGCTTCCTTGGGATCCGGCCTGTTTCCAACCAGAAAGCAGCGCGCTAGCCCGAGCTCTCTCGCAGGTGCTGGGGCCTGCGAGGGAGAGAGATGCCCTCAGCAGCCCGGCGAGGGTCTCAGGGAGAGCGCAGAGCCCGGCTGGCTGCATGTCAGAGCCAAGGAGGGGCCCCTCGCAGAGCGCGGGAACCTCACAGGAGAGGGAGGCCAAAGGCCTCCCTTTGTTCAGGGCGAAGGCCCACGTGGATGTGCCAACTGTAAGACCCAAGTAAAGTGGGCGGCTGACTTCACAGGTCGGAACCCGGGAGACGCTGCACGGCAGAACAGAGGGGAGCTGGCCGCCGAAACCACAGAAGGGGACAAAACTGCCCGGGAAGCAGGTGTGCAGGGGAGCCCAGGGCCCTTGGCTTCCCTCAGCGGCCTCCGTCCACCTGGGAAACTAGGAAGGACCAAGGTCTCCGAGGGGTCTTCCAGGCCTTGGGACTTGGGAAAATGTCGTCTGGCTGCACGCGGGGCAGGCACACAGATCCTCCGTGGGTGGGTAACAACAGCGGGCGCCACTGGCCCTGTGTGCCCACTGCAGGGCTGGGGCAGTGGGTCCGCAGGCTTCACTTACACCGGGGGGCCTCGGGGGAGCGGGCCGTCAGCGAGGCGGGGACATATTCTCCTTTCCCATCCACACACCAGCAGTGCCCTAGGAAAGAGCCACAGCTGACGTTCAGGAAACGCTTGGGGCTCGTCCCCTGGGGTCCCCCAAACAACTATCCATCTTTCCATTCCTAGCAGGGCCGGCAAGGTCCCCCGTCTGTCCCCCTGCCCCACATCATTTACAATCACAGGCCTTAGCACCTCAATTGCCCCCAGCAATCACCCACTTGACCTTCAGGCTGGTGGAAGGTCACTGCTCCCCCTATACAGATAAGTCAACCGGAGGCCAGAGAAACAGAGGGATTTGCAATCAGTTACCAAAGGGGGCCTTGAAGTCCAGCTCGCTTGCCCCCCGTGTGGGGTCTTTCCACTAAATGAAAAGGGGCCGTGGCCCTCGGCCTCCCACGGGGGCCCGTCCCCCTCACCAGTCCCTGCGTGGCACTGCACGGGCTCCCAGCTTCCAGAGGCCTTGCACTGGGGCACGTAGGGGCTGGGCCGCAGAGACGCTGGCGAGGAATCCCCAGGGGAGAGGCGGCGACTCTGGTAGAAGTCGAAGGCTGCAGGTGGAGACAGGGGAGCCGAGGTGGGTCCAGGTGCGCCCCTGACCTGGGAAAGCCCCGCAGTGCGGGCTCTGCCGCCGAAAAGAGCCACGCACGGCCCTGTGCCAACATCAGGAGCGGACAGACATTCCCACCCAAAAGGAGACAGCGGCTCCTCAACCAGTGGCTGGGCACTCACCAGGCTGTGCTTAAAAATATAAACATAGGCTGCAGTTTGAAGGAGTCTTTGTAGTCCTCTTGCCATCGCTTTCATATAAAGTTTCATATAACTTTCATTAGGTTAATGAAGCGTCTTCAATACATGAGACAACAGTGATAATGGGCACATGTCTTCAGCAGGCACCGTGTGCCAGGCACAGTCGACGTGCATGCTTTAATTAACTGAATCCTCACAACCACCCTCTCAGAGAGGAAATTTCATCCCATTTCATGGGTGAGAAAGCTGCGGCCCGGGCGGGCTGAGCAGCTCACCTGAGGTCTCGCCGCCCAGAGCGGGCAGGGCATGGGCCTAGAACACAGAAGCAGGTCTGTGCAAACCGCTCTCTTGCCTTCCTGCAACACTCTTCCAGTCTGGTTCTTGACCTGCCTCTGAGCCTGGTTCTCTGTGGAATCTTCTCTTCCCTTCACAACTCCATGAGGTCAGAACTTTCACCCCAATGTGAGGAGATGGGATCAATGAGGAAGCTCCATGATTTGCAGAGTCACCCTGCTAATCAAGCCGTCCCTGTCCCCGGCTCTCCGTGTCCCCCTGTCCTGCTGGCTTTCCCCATAGTATCTTCCATCAGGGACATACTAGACATTGTGCTTGTCATTTTGTTTAAGTCTGTCTCTCCCATGGCAGCCTTTACAACCTTTGGTGAAAAGATTCATGTCTATTTTGCACGTGGAGCAGTGTCTGCCTTGTGGTAGGCACTGCAGAAATATTTGGTGAGTGAAAAAAAGAAGAAATTCTTGCATGAGGTAGGGGAAAGGGGGAGGGAGAGGGGGAACGGCCAGTCCGGGGCAGCCCAGGGGGCAGGGGGAGCAGGAGGAGCCCTGCCTCACACTGGGGATGTTCACCCAACTCCCCCCGCTTCCAGCGATGAGCCTCGTGGCTCCCAGAGCAGAGAGCTCTCCATGCTCAGGACAGCACAAGCCCCAGCCACCGCCCATCGGAGGAGACCAGGACCCACTTGGGCCCAGCGGACAGGACTCAGGAGTCTCATAAGTTTCTCCCTGATTCCTGGCATGGCATCTATTGACTGTGTGATCGTGAGCAACTTGCCAACCTCTCTGAGCCTGAGTTTCCCCGTCTGTGAAGTAGATCTAACACTTAACAGGGTAAGTGTGATATTTGTATCCAAAAAGCTTAAGCACCAAGCTCATGCCAGGTACAGCTGTGGCCCTTTCTGCCCATACCACCCTCACCCGGGGACACTGCTACCATGTTCTGTTGGCCAAAGACGCTTTGTGGCCCTCAGTCCCTCCTTGTCCGGGTCTCCAGTCCTCAGACTCTCCGGGGCCTGGGGGTCTATACACTAAGCTCCCTCTCCCTGCATCGGAAGAGAGGCCTCTCCCCATCTTGAGGGATTCTGGGAAAACAAGCCACTCTGCCCCTTCTCAGCAGACACCTCCTCTTAACAGCACCACACACAGAAGCTCCAGGCATGCGGCTAAGTGGAGGGGAGTGGCCTTCTCCAGACTTCGGGAGAAAATGCCATCATTGCTACTCAATGAATAAATCTCTGTGGCACCAGCAGCTTCCCATTCCCTTCCCTACACATCCACGGCTAACCAAAGCAGTCCCAGCTCCCGGGCATAACCCCACGCTTTAATGACATCAAATCCTGTCTGCGCACCCAACGCTCAACAACTGGTTTGTTGCCCGAAGCAGAAGTCCTCGAGCCTCCAAGGAGAAGAGAAAGAAAGAAGGGAGGGCAGGAGCAGGAGAGATGGTGAAGCAACATTCACTGGGCTCCTACGATCTGCCAGGCACTGTGCCAGGCCCGGGATACAAGGATCAATAAGACAAAGGGCCAATCCCTTGTCCCCTAAAAGCGATGACAGATGAGAGAGGGAGCAGGACACAGAGCTGGGACATGGGAAGGGGTCACCTGAGGTGGGGTTAGAAGAACAAAGACAACAGACCCGCCCAGGTGGCAGCAGACATCCTAGCAATGGAAGCAGGGGGCTCTGGCCCATAGGAGTGGGCGTTCTCTGTTGGTTCCGATGGTGTCAGGGGGTGACCACTTTGCTGTCTGTCACCCAAGATCAGAAAACACCTGATGAGAAGTCAGCTGAGATTATTTGACAAGGGATGGGGAACTAAGGCAGGCTTGGAGGTGGGGATCTTTTGTCCCTCTCAAGTTGGCATGGAGTCAGCAAGGGAGCCGGGAGGGGCATGGGACTCCTGGCCAGAGCAGCTGCGGGCAGTGGAGCAAGAGCAGGGGCTCTGGGATGAGACAGGTCTGGGCTGGGCAGCGGCTGGACAGGGCACAGAGGCCCAGGGGCCAGACCGCGCCACACATCCGGGCTCTGCTAGTTCCTCACTGGGTCAACCTGGACCTGCGACTTAACCTGTTGGCGTGTTTTGAAAAGAATCACAGATGGTGATTATAGCATCGTTCTCATGAAACTGTGGAGGGTCAAGTGCTAAGGCTACTAATCCACTTAGCACAGTCAGTGCCTGGCCAGGGGTGAGTGTGTGCCCAGCAACCTTGAGCTGCGGCTGTGGGCGAGAGCGCTGCAGGCTCTGAGCTCCTTTCTCTGTCCTGTGCAGGGAACGGGCTTGTCTTTTGGAGCTGCTGTCAGGGTTAGATGAGCTCACAGGGGGAAGGCGCCCCAAACCACTAATGTTTTAGTAATGAGGGTTCTTCTTTCCCCCTTGGGGTGTTCCTAAATTCTTAGAAATGGAGGGAAGCTTTGTACTGGCTGGGAGTGGGGTATGAGCCTTGGGGGCTGAAACTCCTTCATGTGTCAATGAGAGTGTTTGGCTTCATGGGGCTTACAGGCCCCCCTGCAATGCAAAACACAGAGACTCTGGCAGAGGGTGGGGGGCATCCTGGAGAGCCATGCACGCCCCAGCTTGGACTGGACCACAAGCCCCTGCCTTTTCCTTCCTGGGAACCCATCAGCCTGGGGAAACCAAGGCAGCAAAGCCCTGAGGATGACTGAAGAGCAACCGCTCAAGCTCCTGCTTCCCAAAGAGACAGCTGGAAGGAGACACCGGAAGTGCGCGGCACTCACAGGACTGAGCCGCCAGACGAATGGCATTATCGCCCCCGCTCAGGAACTTTTCTGAGAACGTCTCTCGGGGTGGGGAGAGTGGGGGAAGGGCAAGCTCCTCGTTGGTCAGCCGGATGCCCTTGGCCGCAAGGAAGCTCTCTCCCAGAGGGAACCAAGAACTGTTGGAAGCCAAGACCATTTCTTCTGTTTCCTTAATGAACCGCAGGACACGAAGCTTCGCTTCCTCACAAGAGCCAGGACCTGGGGGGTAAAGACATTGCAGTTGGGTGCATCAGCACATGTGGAGGCACACATACATGCACATGTACATGGGCACACGGACATATTTTGCCTCAGCCATTTCCTTCTCACCAGCTCATTCCACAACCTGGAATGTTCTTTCTGTTTGGTCTCCACAATTCCATTCACTCAACATTAACAGAAGACCTACTATATAAGAAGACTAGTAACAGCGAATGTCTGTTCCACACCAGGCCCTGTACTAAGCGCATTTACTCAGACAACCTAATATAATCTAGGCAACCGTCGACATCTATGTGTTGACTTTGAGGGTTCGCCAATTCCTAGAACTTGACATATGAATGGGGAATCCAGGGGTGGAGTCTCTGGGCCATTCCAAATGCCCAGGGTATGACACCTCTTACTGCACATGCTTGTCACAAAATGTTCCAAAGACCCACAGGCTGTTGAAGCCTGAATTTCAGCTAATGCTGAAATAGTCTGATTAGTTTTAACAGTGTCCAGAAAGGTATGGGGAATGTTGAAGGCTGCCTCAAATGAATGGAGGGATTCCACTGGACCTGAGCAGCGATTACAACACCTGGAATATCAGCTGTGCTGGCTGGGGAGAGCCTGCTTGGGTAATAGCTGCGTTGAATCGGGCCGGTTGACGTGTGAAACTGCAGTGGGTGTGCCTATTGGGTAACAAGGCATCTCGATTTGATACAGTCAGCCTCATCCTGTCTATGCCTCATACACCTCAGCGGCTTACAAGTCCGCTGTCACGGACCTGAACTTGCCGACCTTGTTCAGCGGCTCTCTTGTCACTTTTTAAATTAAATTCCCTCAAGCAAAGTAAAGGTGATTAGAAGGCAGAGGCGCTTCCTGAGGCCCCGAGCACCGGGCAGCACCGGTGTCAGCAACTGGAGCACCGTTTAATTAAACCCTGCCCCTGACTGAGGGGAGAGACTAAAGCGTTAGCCGCAGAAGGTAAGAGCCGGGTCACATTCACTTCGGAGCCGTCCTTGGGCCTCAGCTAATGCTTTGTAAACAGAAGACATCCAGGTAACATTGGAGGCACCGGTGTAAATAATAATATGAAAATTTAAAAGTGGACATTAACTGTGCCAGCCCCTGACCAGGGGCACACACGGGGAAATCGCCTCCCTCCGTGTTGTGGACTGAAGGCTTGTGTCCCCCTAAAATGTACGTGCTGAAGCCCCAGCCCCCAGTGTCACAGTATCTGAGGGCCGGAGCTTTGAGAAGTGGTTAGGGTTAGATGAGGTCGCGCGGGTGGCGTATAGAAAGATGAAGGGACCAGAGCTCTTCCTCTCCCTGCCATGCGGATACACAGCAAGAAGGTAGCCACCTATAATCCAGGAAGAGGGCTCCCACCAGGAACCAAGTCTGCCAGCCCCGTGGTCTTGGACTCCCACCCTCCAGAACTGTGAGAAATAAATGCCTGTGGGTTAAGCCACAAGGTCCATGGTATTTGGTTTTAGCAGCCCAAGCTGTTGTGTACTTGGTTTCCTCAGCTGTACGTTGAAGGCATGAACTTGGCTACATCTAACCTCAATTCCGGCTTTGATGCTCGCTGCCCTCCCACCAGACACCCTTCCCTCAAAAGCACAGATTCAGTCCTGCACATGGTTTAACTCACATGCTGGGACTTTGCCTGGTTCCATCCGGGTTCCTGCCACTTCTTGACCAGCTTCATCCACACACCAGCAGGTCCGAAGGTCGAAGTGGGCCAAAGGGGCGCTGAAGTCTGAGTAGGGCCCTGGGTACCGGCTGAGCTGGCCACTGAGCATCTGCCAGAAGAGGTAGGGCTCCAGGAGCACACCCCCTCCAGGCTGCGTGCGGTTCCCTTCCAACACTGCCAGCGGGACATCTTGCAGAGAAGAGTATCTTGCCAACCCAGGGAAGACGCCTTGTTGGCCAGCCTCATACAGACTTTGGAGAAAGAGACGGAAGCTTCTGGAAGCTGCCTCTCTGTAGCTCATGATCTCCGTGAGCAGTTCGGTGGCGGTCAGCTCCTGGCCACCGCTGTCGTGAGCCCTCCACCGCTCATACCACTCGAAGGCCTGCTCCGGGGGCCCGTCGCATTGCACCTGACGCCACCGCCCACTGGTGCTGCACTGTGGGATGTAGACACCAAAGAGGGCGAGGGGCCTGCTGGAGTTGGAGGCCAGAGTCTGCACAGCCCGGAGGAAGGCTTGCTCAGCCTGCAGCTGGCAGGGCGTGGGGCCTAGGGAGGAGCAGAGAACACGTGCGTCAGGTTAGGGAGTTTAGAAGCACAGAAGACCAAGACGGAAGCTCCGGATGGCCCAAACTCAATCTGAGACCCTACGCAGCCATAGAGGCCTCCGCGTCTGCACGGGGAGCGTCCCTGTCACTAAGTGGGCGCTGCTGAGACCAGCTGTCAACGACACTGCAGTCATGCACATGGCAATTACTGGAGGCTAAATATACCTGCCTATTCATTCTTTAAAACGGTTAACATGATCAAGACTTCTCTGGACAATGTTTAAATTAACCAGGACATTCTGCCATTACAAGAAGTTTGGGATTCAGCTAGGACTGGGCTCTTTTTTTTCCTGTAATGCCTTGTTTCAGGGCCCCAAAAGAGGGTCGGAGTTAGTAGGCCGAATGCCCAGCGGACTCACACTGTGTGGGTTGGCCGGGCACACTCTGCGTTCCAGGGATGGCCTGGCCCTCAGCGTCAACACAGTAGCACATGGAGCTGAAGCACTGGACCGGCAAGAAGTGCCCCTGGCCAGTGCAAGAAGGCACAAACAGGCTGGCCCCTGCAGGCTGGCTGCCCGAGAGGCTTTGCATCCGAGCTCTTTGCTTCTCACACTCCGTGGGGCACCTGGGCCGCCCACCTCTGATCCTCGAGCCGGGCAGCTCCCTGCCCTGGGAGTCCACACACCAGCACTCCCCGGCAAAACATTGGACATCCTCGTAGCTCCCTTCTGCCGTGCAGGCCGGGACAAAAAGGCTGCCAGGCGTCTGCTCACAGCCCCGGGAGCTGAGCACCATTTCCACCACATCACCTAAATCCCCGGCGATATCTTCTGGCACAGAAATCGCATGTTGCAGGAACAGAAGGAATTCTGGGAGCTCCAGGAGAGAAGCGAGGGATTTCAGGGCATTTTGGTTCTCTTGGACGTTGACTTCAAAGCCAAAGCTGCCCACAACTGGCTTATTCATAGCACCACCCTTCTGAGTGGTTCCGGGTGTTTCCACAGCTGGATTCAAACCCAGGCCCACAGAGGGGGGCCTGGCCAGGTCCACAAGTCCTCCCCTGTTCTGGAAGCCTGGGAGACCAAGTTGCTGGAAAAACTGACTGAAGTTAAAGGTGCCTCTTGTGCCAACAGCTCCAGACAAGTTAAACTGGCCAACATTCACCAAAAATTCCCCTCCGAAGAGGTTTTGCTGGAGTCGCTTTGGGTTGCTGGTAAACTGCAGGGCAAGGCGAGCCAGCTCGCGGGAGGGAAAAAGCACCTGGACAGCTTCTTTGAGGAGGCTCCCTGAGGCCGAAAGCTGTGGATTCTGCCCTTCAGCCATGGGGCGGAGGACCCCAGAGTCCACAAAGAGCTCCTTGATCCAGGGCAGGCAGGACGTGGCCAGGCTGGACGTTCCCCAAGAAACCTGTCTTCCCTCGGGAGCCCCGGACAAGCCACGCTGGCCGACGTAGGCCAAGGGCCCGAAGCGGAGTCTGGACAGGGCCTGCCGCCTCTTAGAGATGCAAGACTGGCCCCCTGCTGCGCCAGACAGAACAAACAGGAAAAAGGGTGTTAGTTAGCCTTACAAGCAACCCTGCCACAGCCCCTCAGATCTCTCCGGTAGGGAGATGCCAACAAATTCTACCTTTCTTTCCTGTACCTTTTTATGTTCAGAACTTTCCCATGGAGCCGCGACCACGGAGACCACTCCGGAGCATGAGTTCTCCAGCGGACGTGACGTCCTCTCCTGGCTTTCACTAGCAGGGACCCTGTCTACGGCCACGCTCCTAGACATCGGCCCCTCTCTGAACACCGGACCACACACATGCCCCGACTACACTGGGTTGAATGCTGTCTCCCTCACCCCCACCTCTGCCCATTATTTATGTCCAGCTGGAACCTCAGGATGTGACCTTATTTGAAAATAGGGCCTTGGAAGATGTAATTAGTTGAGATGAGGTCCTACTGGATTCGAGTGGGCACTACATCCAATGACTGGTGTCCTGATTCGAGGGCCATGTGATGACACAGAGAGACACCCAGGGCAGAAGCCAGGAGGGGAGAGGCAAGAGGCTGGGGGATGCCGCTGGCAGAATTGCCAGGGACCACCGCAGCCGGGACGGGGCGAGGAAGGGTCTTCCCTGGAGCCGCTAGAGAGCGCGTGGCCCTGCCAATACCTTGATGTCGGACTTCTAGCCTCTCAAACTCGGAGAGAATACATTTCTGCTGTTTTAAGCCACCCAGCTTGTGGTCATCTGTTACCACAGTCCTAGGAAACTGGTGCACCAACCGTCCCGTTTCTGTGAGGCACTGTGGTTTTCCTGCATCCTCACGCTCGGATTCTCAATGGACCTGAATGCTTCATTATGTGCTCTTCGTGTGACTGCTGAACTCTTCTATGTGGGTAGTCCTGTCTCGGCTCACTACTTCATAGTCTCTTTGAGGATAAAAAGCATACTTTCAATGCTATTAGTATTTCCTATAATAAATGTTTTTCTATGCTATGACATGTAATATTATTATCTATCACAGGAAATGTGATATTTCCTATAATATAATATAACGTGCATTTGGCAGACACACTTAGCATATTCTTCTGGGCTTCTTGACCTTTCCTTGAAATTACTAATTAAATAGTGATCAACTGAGTCAACGCCATACATGGTCCGGTTATTCTATCCAAATATCCCCGGCTGACTGTAGTTACATGAAGAAAAATTATTTTAAATTCAAATTCCAGTGTCTCAGTTTCATAGGTGAAGGTAAATAAGCTCTATTTTTCTCCATGGAACCATAACTATTAGAGGTTTTCAACCGCCCACCACCCCACCTTCTTGGAATAACTTTCCCTCAGTTCACATGGATGCCAAACAGGAAGTCAGCCAACTTTCCTCTGTAACCAGGCAACAGAGAAAGAACGGGAACATGTGGTCAGAGAGAGAGAGAAAAGGCAACATCAAAACACATCACACACCCCTCGGTGAGGCAATACCTTCCAATAATGGCTAGTACATGAAGGTATGGAAGAAATAAAGGTTACTGTCTTCCAAATTCAGAGCGTATCCCTTCTATTCACATGAGGTGTTACTAAAGCAAAAAACTCAGCTGTGGGTTCCATGTGGCAGTGGTTTCCCCAGAAATAGGACTCATACACCAGAGAGAAAAAGTAGAAATGTATGATCTGTGCATTTGGGAGCACTCTTGGTTTTAATTTGGAAAACTCGCTCTTTGGGCCCACCTGAAAATTGGAGGGCACAATATTCTGTAGGTTTTAATAGAACTAAAATATAATTATAAATACCTTCAAGGCAGAACTTCACATTCTTCTTTTCCTATATCCTCACAGTTAGCAAGGAAAATACTAGCAAACACCTCGTAGAATACTCAACATGTTAAGTTGGAGAAATCAAATGACCTAAGGGCCTGTTGAATGAACATCAACACATACCTATTTTGAGGTTATAAAAGGGCCTCCATCCCTTAACGGTTTCAGATCTTGCTGCACCCACCCAGTTTGCCCCAGGAGGGGTCCTGTAAGTGCTCCTGGATTCCGTCCTGCAGAGGCTTCCTGGTAAGACAGCACCCAGTCTTGCTGAATGCCTAGCGCCAGGTCTCAAGCCCCATCCTGTCTCCCCAGCCCCCGGCTTCCTCTTTAACATTTGGTCCCTATGTTTGGTTGGAGAGTGCCTCCCCAAATTCCTGCCCTTCCTGAACCTCAGAATGTGATTTCATTTAGAAATGGGGTCATTGTAGAGGCAATTGGTTAAGATGAGCTCATGCGAGCATAGAATGGGCTCTTATCCATATAATTACTGCCATTGTAGGAAGAGAAGAGACGCAGAGGCAGACACAGGTGGCGGAAGCAGAGTTTGGAGGGATGCGGCCAAAAGCCAAGGAGTGTCCAAGATTGTCGGCAGCCACCACGAGCTGGGAAGCGGCCCAGAAGGAACCTCCCCTGGAGGCTTCGGAGGGAGCTGGCCCTGCTGACACCTTGATTTTGGAATTCTCAGCTCCAGGACACTGAGAGGATCCCTTTCTGCTGCCCTAAGCCACTCCCTCTGTGGAGCTTTATTGCGGAAGGGGAGTCACACAGTCCCTGAGCTCTCGGCAGGACACTGCCATGACCTCCAACACTCCTTTCAGTCTTCCCGCCAGGATGCCCGGGGATCCCTCTGACTCACGAGACCCGTCGCGGTACCTTCCGGCTTACATCCCCTCAACATCCTCACCAGCCTCCAGGATGAAGTCCCTCGGCCTCTGCTCTCACATGGGAGACCTCAGTGTCGTACCCTCCTCTTTCCCCCACGTCTTCCCGTTCAGAGCCCCACCCTGCTCACACCCCAACACTTTTCCTCTCTATTCTCCTCGCAGATCCCGTGGCCAATAGCGGATCAATGCCTATTATTTACATCCTGTAATTCTGCTTCTCCTGCTCTCTCTAGAGAGCTCACCTGTCCTTATTCTCCTCCTTCAGGAAACAGCTCTATTTTGGAACCCTAGGCAAGCATCACCTCCTCCATGAAGCCTTCCTGAATATTTCCTTTTCATATGCCCTGGGAGACAGAACCGACCCCCCAACCCCAAGCTTTGGGCTGCACTTCTCTCATGTCACATCAAAACTTAATTCTCCTTTCTTTGTCCTTACCTACAACGCCCTCAATATTCCCTGAGCTTCCTGAGGAAGAGACGGTGTGTGACACAGGACAAGACACACATTAGAAGTTAATGATGAAAGGTGCGTTTTCCGTCACAACGAGCCAGAAGAGCCTGTGGGGTATTCACGTTAACAGGGCCTGGCGTGAGAGCCCCCGAGAGAAAACCCACCGCAGGATGGCAGCTCGTCCCGCCGCCGCGTCCCAGCGACCTCCTTTCCCTGCGTGTCCACACACCAGCACGGCCCCGCCCCCTGGCACTGCACGGCCTGGTAGTCCCCACTCCGAAGGCAGCTGGGAATGTAGGGGTGGCCGAAGTTGGTCGCCGTGAACCGCTCCACTTCACATCTTGTGGGGCCTGGGAGGAATCCATGCAGCAAAGAGAAGACAGTCAACCACACCTGGTGTGCTTACAGCCCACACTCTGGTTGCTGGGAATGTTTATTTACGTCCCCGCCCCCACGTGACTGGAATAGCCACGTGGAAACTGTGGACCACGGCAACTCTAAAAACCCACTGCTTTCCTCCTGGCAGAGGCATGCACATGTGTTGTCGGCTTATTACTCACATCGGAACCTGCCAGAAAGAACTAGCTGAACTGCCAGGAACCGTCTCCGCAATATCCGGTACAGGGTGGTTTCCGCGAAGGTGGGAGCGAGGTCCAGGCTGGCGAAAATGGTGTCGTAAATTTCATCGAGCAACAGCTCCACACCTGAGCAAAGGCAGCAAAGCGTTTCAAGGTACGGCTTCGTTCCGAAAGGAAGTCCTGCTCTTGCCACTTAAACCGATACCAAGAGGGCCCGAACCTCCCACGGCAGCATCGCGCCTCGGGTCTGAACGAGGCTCGTGCGAGTTCCAAGTCGGGCTGCTGCCTATGCTGCGCAGGCTGCTTACAGCCCCAGAAGCAGCACACTGACGAGAGAGGCCGCAGGAATCCGTCCTGTCGGCCACCAGCCAGCTGAGCGCCGCGTCTGCCAGAGGGGGGCGCCTCTCTGCCCTGCGCTCAAAGGCGTCACGTGGGCCAGAGTGGCAATGTTCAAAGTGCCATGGATGGAAGCCGGCCAGCCCGGCCCCCAGCACACCCGCGGCAGCCTGGCTGGGGAGCAGGCTCACGCTGCTACTTCGGCTCGGAGGTGCCGCGGCTGAGGCTCGCAGGCCACGTGCAGGCCACTGCCACCCTCGGGCCGGGCTCACCTGTCTCAGCCAGTTCACGCCCTTGACTGTCGGCACAGTGACAATACCCAGACACCTCGGGGAACCTTCTCCGGAAGGCGCTGAATGTCACGAATGCGTCTGGAAACCTAAAAGGGGAGATTGATGGTTACCGTTTCATAACAGGCAACTCATCATGAATTCTTCCTGCAGAAATAAATTAACATGGCGTCATCTCCTCTGGGGAAAAGGAATGTCTGATTCTTAATCTCAGGCCATTCGCTACAGGCTTCCTGTGGTAAGTGTCTTTCTTTCCTAAATTGGCTTTAACTGGCCAGAGCGAGGCTGGCCCTGTTCAAATAAAGCTCTGTTTTGCTGCCCTCAACTAATTAGCTGTTTTCCTCGCTCATGGCCTTTGACTGATTTATACCCAAGCGTGTGTCTCATAGGATCAGGCAGAAAACAAGTAATGAACATCGCCTTCACCCATCCCCTTACTAGAATATAACTAGAGACTGAAGGCCAAGTTTGCCTTGCAAACATATGGTGCATGGCAGATGATGTCATTCGGGAGATCAAACAACTTCAGAGCCCTTTACGACTTTTCAAGAGCTTGAGAGGAGCCAGACTCCCCCACAGGAAATTCTTGAGCAGGACATTTCCCAGTTCCATGGTCTGAGAAAAACACAAAATCAGTATGACATGGCTCACAAGGGCCACACAGCCCCTTCTGAAAGTCGAGGCAAAGTGCACCTGACTCACACCTGGCCTGGCCACGGCCATCAGGAGCTGGCTGCCGGCTTCCCCACCCTGGAAGCACTGTGGCGCGAAGGCGATGTAAAGCCACAAGAAGGAGTTCTTCCCATGTGCAATGACTTAGCAACCAGAGAGGAGTTTTTCAGCTTTATATTTACAACACTGAGACGTTCGTTTTTACGAAGCCAGGTCATGAGACCCACGCCTAACTATGTCTTTACCTATATCTGGAAATATATCCCCAAACAACAAGTTAGAGAAGCGGCCGCTCCCTGCACAGAGGCGACTGGCGCTGCGGAATCCAGGCTAGCACACCATTGAAACAACATTTGTGTCCAACGATAGGAAGATTAAGAAGTAAATTACAGTACATCCCCTAAATGGATGTGTCCATAACATTAGGAATAAAGAGTAGAATGCAACATGGCCTGAACACATACTGCTGCAATTACTATGCAAATGAACCAGTTGGGAGGCAATATATTGTGCAGAAACTGCTCAAAGCCTGAACACGCAGTGCAACAAGTATTCATTAATTTGAATGCAAGTGAATATCAAAAAAAAAAAAAAAGCCTGGAAAAGTGCAACAGAATTATTAATTTTTTCCACGTTGTTGGTCTATTACTGTGTGTACGTGAGTTAAATACAAACAAATGTTATAGTAAGTGAGTTATGCTTAGTAGAAACTAAAATCTCACTTTGCTAAAGTTGCCATGGGTTGGAGGTAAATAATAAAAGCTCATTAATGGGAACCTGGGATAATTCTATTCTAAAAGTGCTTTTAATACTTGTTATAAGATTTACTTCCATTTACTCAGCCACTGCTTTGTAAAAGACACTGCAAAATGTTTAATATGCGTTGACTTGTTTAATTGAACCGAACAAAGGCAGGTGGTAGCTCTTGATCCCCATTCTAGCGGTCGTCCTGAAACGGAGGTGGGCTAGGGTTCACACCCTGGTCTCGGGCTCCAGGGGACACCCGTGTCTGCGGTAGCATTGCCCAGCATGTGCCTGGCTGCACCTGGCTCCTGCCCCATACCCCCTGTTCCGTTCTCACACTGACAGATGTCTGTGCCCGACACCTGGCTTTCCCTGGCACCCAGTGGATGAAGACATACATGCGGGATAAATGCACAGATGGGTCACCTTGCTGGCCCGAGGTTCTGAAACCCATTTCGGCATGAGGCACAGGATGTGTAAATCCCTCTAGTCCCGTGTGCTGCCGGCTCCACCCAAAGGCCCACCTCCACGTCCCGTCCCAGGGCCAACACGGCCAGCAGGGTCTCAAAGCATCTTCATCCTGTCTCCATGGGGCCAGCGTCCTTCTCTCTGGTGCCCGGTCTCATAAGCCGCCCTGCGCCGGGCCTGCCCTGTGCTTTTCTCAGGGGCCTCCCTGCGGGCATCTTCCTTCTTATGCACTGGAGAGCACCACGGCTTCAGCCAGAGGAAGGGTCGTCCCGCCCTCCCAGGAAGACCATCCGAAGGCCACCCGCTGCCGCCTGCCCTCTCCTCGGGCTGGCCTCCGCCCGCTCTGGGCCAGACCTCTGCGCCGCCATCTTTAGCGCCGCCCCCTCGCCACTCTGCGTGGTGAAGGGAGCCAAGACCCTGGAGCCAGACACGTTGGCATTCCAGCCCTGGCCTGGCCAGCCTGAGTTTAAGCTCAGCTCGTGGCCAGCCTGGAGGCAGAGAAGTCACGGCTGAGGCTCCTACAGCACACGGAATGTCAGGGCCAGCCAAAACTCTGGGCCTGCCCATCGGCTCAGGGAGCGGACACCCGCCCCTCCCCCACGGGGCCAGGGTCTCCTACTCCTCCCACAGAGAGCACCTCTAGAAATCTAACCATCATTTAACAAATTAGCAACATATTTGATTCCCCCCTGTACCGGGGCAGCTCTCCTTACGATAGGAGCGGTGACTGCGCACAGTGCCTGGTGTGCAGACCCTGCAGGTGTCTCGTGGGAGGGCCACCCGCCGGTCCATCTAGGAGGATCTCTCCACTCCGTCGCTCACATTCAGGGTATGACGCCTCTGTCCCTCCTCACTGAAGCATCTGGAGAGCACGGGTTGCCCAGGCAGTGAGGCGAGACTGGTTACCAGGGAAGTCTGAGTGAGCACAGGCGCTAAGGACAAGAGCTGACTTTTTTTCTTTTTTGAAAAAGCAATGAACTGAATTTAAACTCAGATCATGACGGCCTTGGTAATGGCACTAGCTCTTAACACCCTTACCTACCATCTGCTCAGCCAGAATGCATTTCCCTAATTTTAGCGTGTGCGCGAGGGCCTATGAAAGAGTCAGAAGAACTAGCAAAGCTTGTTCCCCGACACAACAAGGTGTTTTTAAAGTCACCAGACAAGTAGGTAGAGCTGGCAGTGGCTTTCTTCCAGTGGCCACAGGACCTGCTTCAAATAGGCAAACACCACGGCCAAGTTCCAATGCAAATCATCACCCACAACAGGTTGGCAGACGAGCTGCCCACAGGCTTCCACCTCCCCTGTGGGCCCGGGGCAGTAAGTCAGCTTCCTGACGCCACCTCTCCACTTGAATTTCCTCTCCAAATCCCCTCAGCTTCAATATTCCAAAATCAAATGTACGGCTTTTCCTTTCCAAACTCATCGTCGACCCCTCCTTCTAGAAACCAGGCCTCGGAGTCTCCGGGGCTCTTCCTCTCTCACACCCCCTTCTCTGCTCCCTTGCCAAGTTCTGTGGGTTTCACCCGGGAAACGTTCCTGCAAACTCACCCCCTCTCCCCACCCTCCCCTGTGTCACCCACACTAGTCCAAGTCATCCCCTCTCTCCCAGGCCAGCCCAGCACCTCCAAACACACAGTTGTCACCTCCCAGCACCCTCTGCTTTCCTCCAATCCCAGTCCATTCATTATCAAATCTAAGCATGAGGATGATTAAGATTTTCCCAACGCCCACTCCAGGCCTAAGACTCTCGGTGCAATCATGGGGCAAGGCACACTTGTACTAAAGAAATTACTCCTTGCTTATCTGAATTCAGACATAACTGGCCACCCTGTGTGTTTTTTTTTTTTAATCTGGCAACCATAGGTGCTAAGTCTAGACTTCCCACGTGGCCTCCAAGTCTCCCGCCACGGTGCCTCACACGGCCCACGTCTGCGTATCAGAAAATTCCTGAATATGGCCAGGCTTCCAGGAACCAGCTATCTGACCCTTCCCAGGACCTTCCTAAATCAAAACTCACCCTCAGACATGCTGGCTTACCAAAAAGGAAAGGATCCCATTTCAGGAGTAAATCTTTTTGTTGGTCTCAAACAATGGATGCTCAGTCCTGAACTTTTGCATTTAACTCGACTGCCCTCTTGTGGAAGGACCTGGGAATTGTGTCTCAAACTGGCACCTGCAAAGTTCTTCAATTCATGCATTGCAAGCATTAACTGTAGGCCAACTCTGTGCAAGGCTCTGTGCTATGCACTGCAGGGAAAAGAGATGACCCCAGGTTGTGCAGGACAGGAAAAGAGGCCAAACAGCTCCAGCACCCGCTGAGAGCCCTTCTTAGGGTGGGTTTCTTAAGCTCTGGTGTTTCAGATTCCTCATCTGTATGCTAAAGACCGTAATTATCCACCCAGTTATTTTTGTAAGTATTAACATGTGCTGCAGGATGTCAAATTCCCTGCCTGGAGAAGCACTCGATTGAACGTAAATTGAGCATCGATGAGCGCCCGTTAATCAGACTATCTGGAGATTTGTATGAACTCGCAGACAGGCCATTTTCGGGGCCTGGGGGCGGGGGAGGGGGGAATCTACTCTACATTTGCTGAAGCTGGATTATGCCTAATAATTCCCTACAGATACATAACCATTCACCGTTGTCACAGTGGTTTCTAGACGAGATTTCATCAGATCTTTATTGTGCCCTAATGAGCAGGGAGTTGTCTGCACTTTACAGACGGGGAGGCTGAGGCCCAGAGAGGGTCAGTGACGAGGTCATTTTGCCAAGTGTCAGAGTCCAAATGACAGTCACAGCAGCCAATGCTTCGGGACCGGGCAGGTAGTACAGATGGGTGGAGCAGGTCGGACTAACGCAGCAACAGGACCTGGGGGGACCCAGAGCCCTGGAGGGTGCTCAGTCAGCCTCCCGCCTTGCTCTTTCAAATCGGGGACTGAGTTTTGCACATTGGGTCGAACAGATGAAACCGCCGCCGCTCCCAGCCCTAAAAACCTCCCTCTCACACGGGGAAGCCGGCCATGCAAAGGCTCGGGTTCCCCCGGAGAATTCCTGTCAGTGCTCTCAGCCTAACAGCCTCATTCATTTCTGTCATAGTCCCCGCTTATCCTTGGGGGCCACGTTCCGAGACCCCCCGGGGATGCCTGAAACCATGGAGACTGGCAAACCCTATTTAGATACATTGTTTTTGTCCTACATATACGTACCTATGGTAAAGTTTAAGTTATAAAGTAAGCACAGTAAGAGAGTAACAACAATAACTAAGCAAATATAACAATTATGGTACGCTGTAATAAAAGTTATGTGAATGTAGTGTCTCTCTCTCTATATATATACATCTTACTATCGTGTTCTCACCTTTTCACTTACAGGAAACGCTTTACAACCTCCCCATCACATACCTGAACTGCCAGTGCCGCTATTCATGCGATTTTTGACCATAGTACATAAAATCAGGGAGGCTTGAGCGCAAGCACTGCCACGCTGCAACAGAGTGTGGATGCGGTCACCCAGGCGACTCCTACATGACCACAGATGAAGCGGCCACAGAGCGGAGGGGTGGAGTCACTGGACCAAGGGAGGATCCCGTCCAAGCGGAACTCGCGAGATGTCACCACGCAACTCAGAACACCGCGCAATTTAAAACTTAATTAATTGTTGACTTACGGAATTTTGCATTGAATACTGTGGGACTGAGGGGAGCTTGGGTCACAGAACCCACAGAAGGCGGAACTGCGGATAAGAGGGACGGCCGTGCTCCGGAGGTCTCCGGCCTCCCTGCCGTCCCGGGGGGCCCTTTGCAGTACCAACGCAGCCATCCTGAATAGCCAGGTCCCTCAGTCGCATCACTTGGGCCGAGATCCATCCTGCATCTCCCTTTTGATCCTTGTTATTTAAATCTTTAAACTTATTTCTAAGTGCATGCATACACACACTTTACAGGGGGGAAAAGCGTATATAGGACCATAGCCATGCTTTTTACAGCACCGTTCTTTCCTTTTCTGCCGACTTCCTTCTCCACAGCAGCCCCGACCCGCCGGCGCTGTGATGGCCGCCCAACCTGTGCTACTCGCATCCTCTTCATGCTCACCTAGCGCTGCACAGACGCACGCATAGTCGTATACTCAGATATGCACAGAAAAGGATCCATTGGCCTGTTTCCTAAAATTTAAATCACACCCTATTATCTGTACCATGCATCTTACATTACATTATCTTACTATGCTGCAGAGCCCTCTCCCAGTCCACTGGTGGGGTTCTACTGCATTCTGTTTAACGCTGCACGGATATTTACAGTGAATACCTCGGGCTGCTCCGTCACTTTGTCCCCAGCTTTCGGCTACCACGAAAACCAATGCGGTCAACATCCTAGTGCATGTGCCCTCACATTCTGGTGTTTTTCCGTCCACGGGCTGGCTGGGCCTGAGGGCTCATGTGTTTGTAGTTCGCATAGCTGTTGCCAGCTTGTTTTGTTAAAAATGCTGTCACCCTTCGGCAGCTTATGGGAGTCAGGCCTCTGTCAATTTCCTCCCCACCAGACCGCGAGAATGACACGTCCCAGCACCCAGCCCCAAGGTGGGCACAAGCTCTGGCTGGAGATAGGGAAGGACAGGCCAGTGGCAGGCACGCCCCAAGGCCAGCTCGCCTCACCTGCTGTAGCTGTGGACCAGGTCGAAAATCATCATGTCCGTTGTGTTGACAAACTTGCACTGGACGGGCAGAAACCCGCCATCTGGAGAACACTGGGGTGGCGACTTGTCCCCCACCCCGTGGAGAAGGCGGCGGTTTCTTATCTCACAGCTTCTTGGACCTAAACATTTCCAAGGAAAAACACTCACTTCTCGTGCCTGAACAGGCGTGTGTGCTTCTGCGGTCTACAGACATGTGTTCAGCCTGCACACGTGACAGCTGGAGAGCCAAACAGGGACTAGGGTCATCGATCCTGCTTGTGCGTCTAAGGATCAGCCGGCGAACGGTGCTCTGCCGCCCGACGGAAATGTTGCCAGCGCTAAGGTCTCCCTTCCAGGCTCTGATTCCCGCACCGCGGCCAGGTCCTCCGCCCCACGGCCGTGGCGGGGAACACGGCACGCCCCTCCACCCCGGGGAGCTGCTGCCCTGTGACACTTACATCTCGTGGGCCTCCCCAGCTGGCGGGTCCCGTACACCTCCATCCCTTCCGCGTCCACACACCAGCACTGCTCCCGCCGCACGTCACACTGCACGGGCGCATACTCCCCCGAATCCTGACACTGAGGCAGGTAGGAGGCGGCCGTGCTGCGGAGGTAGCCACTCAGCAAGATCTGCTGCTTCTGGAGCTGGCAGAAGGACAGACCTAAGGGCGTGGGCAGCCGCGTCAGGTCTCAGCCCAGGAGCGCTCACGCCGCCTCCCTGCACGGGGGCGGGGTGGGGGAGGTGGCTCTCCCCCAGCGGAGAGTTACCACCAGGCCACGGACGCTCAGCGAGCCGGGGACAGGCTCAGGACCAGCCTTCCCACTGACCGTCCCCCTTTATCCCAGGAAGGACGGGTTTCATCCCGCCCCGCCGGCCTCCGGGACACCCCACTGCCTCACTGCTGCAGAGGTGGGTGTAGGCCTGGCTGCCAACAGAGCTTATCTGAGTCCGAATTTCCCCCACGTGCTTGCTGGGCAACCTTGGCGAAGTTGCTTCACCACTCTGGGCTTCACTCTCTTCCTCTGAAGGACTGAAAATACAACTGCCTGCTTCAGCTACAGGAGGGTTAGTGACATTCACGATTACTGTCCCTGTTGAACTGCCACTGTGTGCCTGGTGTTTTACATGTGTGTTAGGCCCTCACACACCCTGTGAGGCCTATGTTCCTGTCGCAGACGGGGAACACGGCGCAGTGAGGGCAGGTGCGCTGGCCAGTGTCTGCCAGCGGAGTGCTGGGCGCCGCAAGCACGCTGGCCGGGAAAAACCAGAGCCCAGACGGCGCCTTTCCCCATTGAAGGCTAGCACAGCTCTAGGCTCAATTCACCATTCCAAGGTCTGCCAGCTTCAGTGGACCTTTGTTTTAGGCTTAACTATGACGTGCTCTCAGCGGGAACTGTGTTCCTTTGACTACTCATCATAATCGTTATTTTAACAGGACAGTTTTAAATCTCAGGATGACGCCGGGGAGAACACACCTGGTGTGTACCTGGCGTCTCCCTGGTCCAGACGCCTTTGACGCCTGCTCACCGTGATGTCCTCAGGACCAGGCCCAGCCCCCGGCATGTAGGGGACTCAGCAGCTATTTGCGGAACAAGTGACTTGATTGTCCCATTTGATTTTACAGGAGTCCTGCAGGACAGTCGGTCTAACGCAGAGGAAGAACCAGCAGCCCAGAGGGGCACGTGCCTGGTAACGTGCCAAGCCCAGCGCTCTTTCCCAGATGCACAGGGTCCTAGCAAGGTCCCCCCATCCCATGGGACACCCGTCACCCCCTCTCACACTTACATGCCACGGGCCGCCCAGGCTGCCGGCTACCAGGCACCTCCCTGCCGTCAGCGCCCACACACCAGCAGGAGCGGCCGTCGTTCCGGCACTGGACCGTCCTGTGAGAGACACAGCATGGGACACGGCTATGGCCTCCCAGAGCCACAATCCAGGCTGCCTTGCCTCTGCCCTTCCAATCCTCCACGTTCTGACTCATGTAAATCAGAGAAAGGTTGGAGTGGAGGGAGCGGGTGACTTGGGAAAGGAAAAGCACTTCTTTCTGTCCTGCTGACCCCTACAGCCTCGGTCATTCGCTCCCCAGCCCCATCCGCAAGCCGTGTAACGAACGCCTGTCCTGGCGTGTTATGCTTCAGCCACACTGAGGCTGCAGGAGGTAAGGGCAGGGCCCTCCTTTGTGGCCCAGAGGTGGGGACACCTCATGGGGGGCCAGAGAGCAGGGCTTCGGTTACGGTGAGCCAGGGAAGCACCTGCCTGGGGATTCCCAGAGGGGTTCCCAGCAGCAGCGACGGCTGCGCTGAGCCAGCAGGATAATCAGGAGCTGTAAGAGGAGTCTCGGGGAAAGGGAAGAGGGTGGGCTTGAAACTTAAACAAGGCCATGGGAAGGGGAGCCGTCCTGACTGTTCCACTGTCCCAGAATCCCCGGGGATCCAAGCAGGCCCTGGACCAGAAGCATCGCTTGCATCTGGGGAGCATGTGAGAGTGTTGATAGGCGCGTTAGGGTGCGTATAAAACGGGAGCAGGGAGGGCTGTTCCACAGTGTGTCCCAGATGACAGTCCTATAGAGGGAGCACCAAGTTCAAGGTGACGGGAAGAGCCTGGGAAGATTGACTGTATTGCAGACAAAGGGTTCCCGTGTACTCCGCAGCGGTGGAAGTGGGTGCTGGTGTTTGGATTGTCGCTCCACTCCACAGGGAGAGAGTCCGGGACCCAAGCTCATGATAGGGCAGCTGGAAAGCCCTCACAGGAGGGAGCTCACTGGGGCCCAGCAGCCACCGACCTGAAGTCCAGGCTGCTTCTGCTCCCTCCACCTCTGGCTTCTCAAAAGATGCGAGGAGGAGGGGAGGCAGCCAAGTATGAACCATTTGCTCCCTCCCACCTTCTAGGAAAGGAATTACAGTAAAAGTTTTGGTAGAAAAAGAAGCGATGCCCTGCTCCTGGCTGGGAGGAAGCACGGACAGAGGCGCTCTGGGTCAGCCCCTCCAGGGCTGACGGACCCCGGGAGCCGAGAGGCGGGCCCCCCGCCAATGACTGTGGCCACGTCTCAGCACAGGGAGGGGAGCAAAGGGCATAGCGCTGGGACAGGGGAAACGACATGCTCTTATAAGGCTCCTTAGGACGCTGGGAGCCCACGTGGCCGAGGCAACCCTTACTGGAAGCTGCCGTCTTCGGCGCACTGGGGAACGTAGTCTGCTCGCTTCTGGAAGGCCCTTTCCCGCTGCAGCTCGCAGGGGCGAAGGGGCTGGGCGTCCACCTGGTATTCTACAAAGAGAAAAGGGACTCATCAGAGAGGAGTGTGGCCCGGACTCCAGGAACAAAGATGGGGTCCCTCAGCACACTCTTCGGGCACTTATTTCTAGCACCTTCACCAACCATTGGGTTCCCGCCTGCGTTTCTGCAACTATTCACACTTTTCCCAGTAGGACATTAGCTCATTTCATTCTCAGCACATCCTCGGGTTGGGGCAGAGGGGGTGGCGGCATTTTTCCATGTGACATTGAGGCGGGGGCAGTGAAAGTAACCTGCTCAAGGTCACACAGCAAGCAATAGAAGGGTCCAGAACAAACCCCTGGGCAGCACGTGCCCCCGCCCCCAACCGCGGTTGGGTGAGATCAGAACGCCTTCATAAAGGGTTGTTCTCGAAGTTTTCAAGCCCTCCATGCAGACAGAGCACCTTCCTGGCACAGAGTAGAAATACAAATTAATTAGTGAGTCTCACGTGTCTTATTTTCATTGAGAACGTGTGAAACATGCTGGGCTCACTCAGAAATCGCAACCATATGAGGTTCGCATCATCCACTTCCCTTTCCAGTGAGGAAACTGAAGCTTAGATGTGTCCAAAGTCACACAGTATCTGGCTGAGTGGCAGAGCCACACCAGAACATAGGTGCACAGGTAGGTTTGCTACCAGTCAAATGCCTCTCATGGGTGACCCAGGCTTGAGATAGCTAGGGAAATTTTTTTAAAAAGTTAATGTCAAAAATTTGCTAACAGTATGGGGTGTGAGGAGTTCGAATTAAATGAAGAAGATCTAATTCCCCATCTTCTGCCCACCAACCACTAGCTCTGTGACCTCAGACAATTGAGCCTCTTCCTCAGTAAAGAAAAGAGCAAAGCGCCACCCTGGGGGCATCGCAGGGATTAGATGAGATCGCAGGTGTTCGCAGGCCTGGGGCGCAGCCTTGGCGGACGGACATGGGAGCTGGGAGCTCCCTCCTGCCCGCTCCATGGCCCCGGGCTGAGAACTCACCGAAGATGTTGGCAGACACCGCGCAGGCCGAGCCCAGCAGACCGAAGACCCACAGGGCCAGCGCCATGCTTCCGGGCCCCTCGGCGGGTGGAGGGGTGGACGCTCTCCTGCCTGGCTCTGGCCAGGGAGCCTTTATGGAGCTGCCTGCCCACACCCCTCCCCACCCTGGGCTCTTGGGGAAGTAGCACCGCCCTGTTTTCTCTGCTGGTCCCAAGGGCCCCTCCACCTGAGCCTGCTCCCTGAGGACACTCATGTGGCCAGTGGGGGGTGAAAATCTTGCCGAAGAGATGAGGGAGCAGAACTGGGTTGAGCGGCTTCAAAATTCATCTTTACGCAAAAAAGCCAAAGCTGAGGCTTTGCGGGCAGCAGGTTCAGGCCGCTGGGAGAAACGCATCCCTCCTCGCCTCCCTGCGCCCTTCCGTCCCTCCGTCCTTCCCTTCCTTCCTTCCATTCTTCCTTCCCTGCCTCCTTCCCTCTTTCCTTCCACCAGTATTTTTTTTTTTAGAGCCCAATAGTAGCAAACACTCTGCTAGGCAACGAGGATGTGGCAGAGAACAAAACAGGGAAAATCAGTAACACAGAATGGAATGCTATGCAGCAGAAAGAAGGAAGCCCTTTCTTTGGTGACAGCAGGGATGGAACTGGAGGTGGCTATGCTAAGGGAAACAAGCCAGGCGGCAAAAGGCAGATGCCGTATGACCGCACTTACAACTGGAATCTAACAAATAAACTAGTGAGAAAACTAGAGCCAGGTGAACGCAGACCAGACTGATGGCTGCAGGGGGAGTGGGGGAGGGGAGAGTGGTAAAAGGAAGGGGAAGGGACGAGTCAAGGAACTCGTAAGAATGGCCCATGGACATGAACAATGGAGGGGGACGTAGTGTGGGTGAGAGGCGGGCTGGGTGAAGGGGGCAAAACGGGAAAAAGAAACTGGGACAATGCAATAGAAGGAACAGTGAAAAAATGTAGGTTTTTCTAATTGGAAAAAAAACACAGAATGTAAGAATTTTAGTAAGGGGAGCCAAGTGCACACATTCATGTTCCTATTCCCCCTCCTGCGTCCTCTGCCCAGGACTTCAGACGTCCCCGACCTGAGGGGCAGAGGAGCTGTGTCTCCTGCACAAAGCCTGGGCGCGCGTGTTTCCTCTGAGCGGAGCCAGCTTCCTTCCCTCACTCCTGTCCCTGCGTGACCTGGCAAGATGGCCTGATCCCCCTGAGCCCCAGCCTCCTTCTCAAGAAAACAGAGATAAAAGGTGAACAATAATGTATATGTACCCACTTGCTAGGGAGGCCACCAGGGAATGAATGAGATATTGATGAGTACGTGCCCAAGAAATGCTAGTTGTTATATTGATTTTCTCATTTGCAAATGACCCTGTGCCAGGGAATGACAGGTACTCAGAAGAACCCAGCAGGTGAGAGGCGAGGGATGGGTCGGGACAGGCGGGGCGGGGGGGGGTCCCAGCAAAGAGGATATGGCACGTGAGCAGAGACAAAGGGCAAGAGAGAAGCTGGAGAGACATCGTTGAAGGGAGAGGGGAGGGCAGGAGGACCGGCGGGAGAGGAGGGGGGTGGGCTCTGCTCCAGGGAGGAAAATGAAGGAAATGCAACTGCGGGACAGCGGACTGCACCATGTGAGGGGGCTGCCGTAGGTGTTGCCCGAGCTAACGCTGGTAGGTGCTCAAAGCAGTATCGTATGTAAGTGTGCAGTATTGGTTACTATCTCATTTGTGTGTTCGTGATACAAATTACAGAAAGTAAAACTCAATGGTTATTTTAACCAACAGGTATAGGATTAAAATCAGGTGAGAAACCCTGCTCTGCACACTCTTCCTGAGGATCGCACCAGCCCGCGGCACCAACATCTCCTGCTCCGGCTCCGGCAGCAGCTCCAGCTCGACTTCTCAACCTGTGTGCTTCACAGACGTTTCAAATTCAATGCGTCCCAAGAGGAACTTCCCAACACATGTAACGCTGCCCCTGAACATGTCATCGCCCTCTCTGACGGAAAACCGGACTCTGCACCCTAGACCTCTGCCCCCCATCTCACCAGCTTCCAAATCCCACCGGCAAGCCCTCCCGCCCATGCCTGGGGCACGGCCCCTCCTCTGCGCCCACACGCACGGCCCCTGCCTCCTTCAGGCCCGGGCTCCAGACGAGCTGCCACGCACAGCCTCCTCCCCACCGCGCGCCCTCGCCCTTCCCGGGCTGCTTCTCCAGCTGTAGGGGTGGGGGATGGAGGAAGCGTGGGCAGGTCTTGGCGACACGTAGCCGTGGGGAGCAGGCGTAACTAAGAATGAGATGATTTGAGAAGGGGTATTGGCATGTGCTGATGAAGACAACGCAAAGGGAAGAGCTCGCCTCGCCCAGCCCTGGCGCCCCAGGTGCACAGGCCAAGTAACAGCCCGGCAATGGAGAGCCAGCAGCCTATCTTCACTGTAAGGGTCGTAGGCTACCTGACAAGCCCCCGCAAAGGGCATGCGCAGAGCTGGCGCAGGTCAGCCTGTGCTGAGTCACCCTCCCTGGCCCAGGCACCCACAGAATGACATCAGCAGCTCCGCCCCGCTGCGCCAGGGGTGGGGGGCTCTGCTCCACTGGGTTCGGGGCTTTGCGGACACTGGAATTCATAGCCCTGGCACAAAGAGTGCTGTGTGGTCAAGGAACTGCAGAGGGTGCGCCGTCCCCCCTTCAGGCCCCACTGGAGGAGGGCGGCGCCCGGCCGCCGGGGCAGCGAGCGCGCTCAGTGGGCCAGAACAGCGGCGGACGCTGCGAAGAGCCCCCAGACCCCCTGGGAGAGGTGCTTCTCTTCGGGCAAGCGACAGAGCGGTGAGCTCAGAGAGCACAGGGCCTCCTCATGACCAACCTGTTCTCTCATCATGACTCAGCTGCCTGCTCGCACCTTATCACCGCTGAGCCGGGGCGCCCTGCGGGCTCCCCCGGTAATTCTGGGCAGCAATGCACTGGCCGGGTCTTCGCCGGCCGGCTCCTGGCCCAGGCCTCTAGGACTCCGCCCGGCTCCTCCTCACCGGCCGCCACATCCCCCGTCTCCTAGGCCCCAAACACAATCGGGTAACCCCCGCCTCCAGCCCCTCCCTTCTCTAAGACCAGTGTGCCATGTATAGCGAGCACTCACTGAAGGTTTGGGGGAATGGAGAGTAATGGATTACAGGGGAGGAAATTGCTTCAAAACACCATGTTTCTGGGTTTCTGGTGTCTGTCCGCTGCTGCTCACTAGAGGGACTCACCTCTGCCCTAGCCCAGCCTTGCCGCTGTGGGACGGCTTCCCGTTCCCCACCAGGGACTCGAAGCCACACTCCTCTTTCCCTGGGTTGCCAGAAGAATCATCCAAATTTCTGGTACTTGACTTCTGCTTCCAGAGGTTGGAACAGGCATACTGTCCCTCTTCCTCCTGCTAAGCCCAGCCAACACCCTGGACGTTACAGAGAACACAAACGGAACACACTGGAAGGTGGACGGAGGGAGGCCGCCAGCCAGCAACCTTGGGACCAGAAGAACAATGTGGTAGTAAGTTCCCTGGACTTGATTTTGCCTTGTGTGGATCAGACTAGGCGTTGGGGAAGCAGCAATCTAGAAAGTTCCATAAAGCTCAGATACCCCCTGCAAAGCCCCTGGAGCCAAATGTCCAGGAAAGGGGCAGCGACCCCCTCCCCCCCCCCCGACATAACTCACTCCCTCCTTATTAGCAGGTGTGGACAGAGGGGGCGGGGGTGGGGTGCTGCTCCACCCTTGGCAGGCCATGGGGAGGAGGCTCCGCCAGGCCCCGGCCAGGGACACACTCAAGGAGCCAGGACCCTCACAGCGGCAGGCATTAAGGAGCCCCTCTTGCTGGGGGGGTCGTTGGGGAGCCTGAACTTCTGTCCCCACGCAGGGGTGACCTCCCTCCCAGCGGCCGGTGTCAGAGGGGCCGGCAGAGGCAGCCTGTCACCGCTGCCCAGTAGCTGCAAAGCCGTGTCCTGGAGGAGTCCCTGAGGCCACTCAGGGAGCAATAGTGAGGAACTGCACCCCCTCCTGCCTGCAAAGGCCTGGCGGGAAGCCTACAGCCCCATCCCGACCAGCGGGAGCCAGGAGAAGCGTGTCCCCTGCCAGGTGTCAGCAATGGCAGGGCAAGAACCTGGATTTCTGTCCCCCACCTGGCGGCAGAGGCAGCGTCCCTCTGTCCCCACCACAGTGAAGTCAGTCGAGCTCTCAACGGGATCTAGAATTTCTTACCCAACACCCAGCTGTCCTGGCTCTGCCCAGAAATCACCCATCACACCAGGAACCAGGAAAACACCAGCTGGAAGGACGGACTCAATCAGAGACCGCGGGCGACAGGCACTCTACCGGGCGCCGAGCCGGCTCCCAGGCCGTGAGCCCTCTGGCTGGGCAGGGGCCGTCTGGATGAATTAGGATGAACACAAGGGTAGAAATCCAGGAGTGATACCTCCACACCTCGATCTTTATGAAAGCGACAGACTACCAGCAAGGGAGAAGCAGGAAGGGGACAGGGTCCATTTTGAGGGCCCGGCCCATGGACTGAGTGGAGAGGCGGGAAGTCGGCGGGGTTCAGGGTGCGCTTTTGGAGTGATGTTGTCTGCAGACAGGGAGGGCCCAGGACACCCGGGGGACTGGAGGGGCAACAGGGGCTCGTTTTGAACATGTGGAGTATGAACATCTGAGAGGAAGCCAGTCAGTGGAAATCGGTGTTAGGAGAGGGGGCTGAAATGATGAGAATAATCTAACGTTCCCTAAAAGAGGGCATCACCCTTGAGTTTGAAAATAACAACTCAGTAGACCCACATGTAAGTATGAGGAAGTGCACATTGTATTTATCTATAACACACCAAGAACAATCATTCCCCACCAACATTCATTCTGTTCTGTCTGGGCAGCAATAGTTCTCTTTTCAAGAAACACCCTCTTCTGGTTTATTGTTTATATTGAAATATATATCCTTGTGGGTTTTTAAAAAAACTTTTTATTTGTTAATCCTCATCCGAAGATATAGTGATTGATTTGAGAGGGAGAACATCAATGTGAGAAACATCAATTGGTTTCCTCCTGTACCCACCCACCCCAACCAGGCATGGAACCAGCAACCTAGGTATGCGCCCTGGGTGGGGAAGGAAGCCACCGCCTTTTGGCTAAGGGACAGCGCTCCAACCAACCGAGCCATTCGGCCAGGGCACTTGTGGCTATTTAAAGTAAGACTAAGCAGAAAGAAAAGCAGCTCATCCGAAACCTCTCATAATAATAGACTTACACTCTCTTAAATAGATAAGGAACGCTTAGCCCACTAGTTGCTAAAAGGCTTCAATCCTTGATACATTCTGTATTCAATGGATATATACAAACAAATAATTTGACTTAGGTTTACTTTAAAAATCGCAATTTAAGAACTCAGACTTCTAGTTCACGTACATAGAAGCAGAGTAGAAATCTTAGCGATCTAATCCTCTGGAGATTCCAGTTTGCCAGCTGCTAACAAGTAAGGTGACGTAACTGGAAGACACCAGAAGAGCAAATGCACAGCAATCCAGCCACGGTCACCAGGGGCTGAGAGGGTGAGCGCTCCTAGGTACAAAGGGGCTGCTTCGGAGGTGACAAGAACCTAGGCACTACCACTATTAGGTTACGAATTCAATGTCTAGAATATAACCACGATAGGGAAAAAGAGTAGACCTATTATTTTACAACACAAATGAAAGATACGGTATCAATCTTGAAATACAGACATTAGCAAATTTACTCCACACATGGAATATAGGCACTCTTTATACTTTAATATGAAAATTTAAGCAACTATCCCAAAATATCACCTCTACTAAAGCTTTTCATTTCTCAGTAAGATCTTTGACAAAGGTAATGTATCACAAGTAAATACACAGGACTGTATTCTATGTCTATTGCTCTTTGGCACATTTGTCAAATTGAAGAATCTCAAAAGGCAAGAAAAAGTTCTAATGACTGTTTTGCACATTCTTTTAATCATCTTTACATCAAAATATAAGGCCGCAAAAAGGCAAGCTGAAATTTTAAGATTATGTGGAATAGTTTTAATAAAGAGTTTTACATACAGTACCTTACATATAGAACAGTGTGTTTGCAAATTTAAATAATATCTGAATGTACAGTGGCATGTATTCTTATCAAAGATAAATCCGTATTTACTGTCTATCAGTTCTCAAATGCATTTATACAGACTGCTAGAGCTGATACACAGAACAAGGCATAAAATATTCAAGTGGTATGCCATCAAACAGCCTCTTCTTAAGTCTTTTTCCCCTTTTTAAAAGAGTTTCAAAACCTGTACATACATTATTAATTTTTAAAAACAGTCTGTTAAAAGGTAACATTTCATGTTAACCACCAATTCTTATAGTCTGTAGTAATAAAACTAGATATGTGCAGATATAAATATGTGAAGGCTAAGTACATATGCACGCTGAGTGTTGGTTTCGAACACGCACCCGCACTGTCGCATCCCTGCCTGCGGAGTGCCAGGCGCGCACGCCGCACGGAGCCCAGCGACCGCAGGGCCTGGGCTTCGAGTCCAGCAAGAGCTAACGCAGCAACTTAGTTGCCTTTGGTTTCAGAAATGTGTCCATTTGTGATCAAAGCTAAAAGTTTTGAGTGTGCATGTATTTTTTAAAAATAAAATTCATCTTCAGAAATGAAGCTTTTCCAGTATTCCACTACCAGCAGTTTAAAAATCCACCACCACAAATCATTTTGATAGTTCTGTCACTCCTCATCCCAGCTGAGGTTCTTTACAATGTTTTTCTCAAGGCAAACACTAAGCATACTCAGGATCAAGCGGCCCACTGAAGCCTGAATCCTGCAACCAGCTCTACATGTTACACGCAGCATCTGCGACATCCAGGCTTCTGAGGGACTGATGGCATTACGTAAGACCAGGGCGGGGGGAGAACCCACCAGTACCTAAAGCCCCCTTCCCGGCTGCATCGTCCTCATTTGGCACACTGAGCCTTCTGTAACCCATTCTGTTTTCAATGAGCTGAATGCCCACAATAAATTACAACTGCCTGGTGCTCGTTTTTAGAACATATTCATAGTGAAGTAAGAATGCCAACGCCGTTCCCCCGGAAGCGAGACTGCTACTGTCAGTTTTCTGATTAAGGACATTCATGACCTAAGAAACAGCTGCTCATGATCCTGGGCAAGTTGCAACCCCTGCATTGCCACGCAGCTGCACCAGCTGCAGGAAGGCAGGTCTGACAGCCACCTACAGCCTCTCCAGACGTCAGCTTTCCTCTACCATTTTGTGTTTGGCCAAATGCTGGTGTATAAACAAGGATCTTCCTATTAAAAACTACATAAATATACTGTGTTTCTTTCTGCAGGGGTCTCGAGCTTCACATAATCAACTGCTCAAAAACCCTGCCAACTCAATTCCCTTAGCATAGATTATAGTCTACTTTCAGCGATCCTTGGCATATAATACAATATCATTTGTAGCTTGCTCATAAATTCTTTTTCCTATTCGCTTCTTTGATAAAGCTGTTCTTCACTTTAAAGTTGTTTTCAAGGTACCGACCTACTGATGTCCCAAGTCAGTAGGTGACCAAACAGCACAATGCTCTCTAACGATCCACCCAGCAGGCGCAGGCGCGTGGGTACAGCAGCCGTGCGGCTGCAGAGCGAGCCCTTCTCCGCAGGCGTCCGCGGCTGTCATGCAGAGCAGAGAGTCGCTATCCGCTGCACTTTGCCCATGTCCATCAGAAGCTGCTTGATGTGGCGTTTCAGCTGCGGCAACCTCGCGAGAGGGTCAGGCGGCTCCAGCTCCCCTGTGAAATCCAGCCAGCTCTCCAGAACTAAAAGAGAACACACACATTGAAACAGACACTAGAGGAACAGTCACAAAACGGCATAATTAGAACGTTGGAGAAGCGATGGAGACAGAGTTCCCTTCCCATTTTCTAGAGGCCAACACACATGGCCATTAACCTCCTTTATATCTTATCCCACAGGGTTCTAATCCTTCTTGGTAGCCTTAATCTGTTATTATTTTAGACAATTTTCCCTTTGTTAAGTATTTGAATTAACTTCATTTTGAATGTCTTCTCTTACTCTCTTCTGGAATAGAAAACCACAGTGCCTTGCACCTGCTCAAGCTTTCTACTAGTTTAGGCTTAAACTATCTCTACTTCATTTTAAATGAAACTTAGCTACTCGACCATTTTTATTCTCAATCCAGAAGTTTGTTTTTAACAGAGGAAAGGAGGTGGCAATTTCTCGGTGTCCTTTTCGAGTCTATATTACATGACTTTTTTTAAAACATGCAAGCATATTAGAAGTCGAGGCAGAATGCAATGAATTTGCATTCTACACTTTTTATTAATGATAGGGGATCCGGCCAGGTTGCATTTTTTTTCTTTACAAATCTACTCAAAACATTACACTAATTCTACAGTTAGCTTATAACCTCATGGAAGATGCTTCTGAAGTGAGTTTCCATTTCCTCTTTTCTCAGGAAAAACAAAGCAGCAGGAGCTCTTAGAAGGTGAAGATATCGCATCCTTTTGCAAATCAAAAAAGGGGAGGGGGGTGCAGCCTATGAGACTGGGAGGAAAAAGGGGTCAGAAAGCACAGGGAGAACCTGGGTAGGAATCGGGTCATCTAAGGTACTCTACTCTCTCAATTACCAAGTGGGGACACTATCGTTCCTGTCTACTTCTCAGGGCTCTGGTGTGATAGTTAAAAATATATGTTTTTTAAAAAAACTACTTGAAAATTTATATGCAAACTTAGGTTTACCTACTTAACCTTGCAGTTTTTTGTTGTCATTATTTTTATCTAACACATGTGACCACTGTGAAAAAAAAAGTTCAAAATGCTTTCCCCCAGATTTCAAATATGCTTGAAGTCCTTAGTTTGACACAACAAACATATCCCATATGTGCTCTCTATTGAGCCTGGCTGATAGGCAATATTTAATAAATGTCCACCTTAAAAAGAAAACAAAAACCTAAGGTCATCCAGTCCCAGGGTCACGAGCTCGGGGGGCGCCCCCGGCAGTTGCGTGGCGAGTGCCGAGCAGAGGGGCCTCTGCAGCTTCCATCCCGCAGTTTAAAAGCCATAAGCCACTGTACAGCGTAGAGCAATTGCATTTTAGTTCTTTCGTAAATTACCGTCCACTTCTTTTTCTATTAGGTCCATCCTGCTGGTGACTTCATTCTGCACATTCTCTATATGTGTAAGGAGGTTGAGCTGCCACTGAAGGTGCGAGTCTCCAGGGTCTTCAGTGCCCTTTCTATCGTTATACACAAATACGGCGCTCTTTTCGGGCGGATCCTTCTCCAAGAAGCCATGGGAAAAAAACAAAGAGTTGGGTGAACCGTGCCGTCATAAAGAAAAAGATACATAAAAAACTCATCAGCTGCAAAGATCAGGGGAATCCAATCAAACTCCTAGCATATTTTTAAAGGAAGTTTATCCCGTAATTGATTGACCTCTGATGGTGCTCACGAGCCAATGGCCCCGCTCTGTCCCCCCGCAATGCCTAGCAGCAAAGTGCACGCAGGGCAAAGGCAACGACTAAAACGTGCTTAGTAAATGAAGTCCCTAATGATGTTCTACAATTAGAACGCCCAATAATTCAGACTGACCCCTTCCTCAAGTAATCTAAACTGGCGACACACGCAGATGATAGGCAAAGACAACGATGGAAAAAAATCAAGAAAGTCGGCAAAGACAGTATGAAGTCTGATTAACAGCAGACCGGACCACACTGACGTGGTTAAATCAGTGAGGCAAGAGGAAGGTTAAAATCTTTTACAAGTGTAAAAAGTGTGAACTGCTTAATGCACACACACCAAATCTGAATTCAGAAATAACCCATTTCATAAAGGAGATATTAATTGACAATATCATTTATCACAAGTTTTAGTAAATACAAGCTTCCCAAATTCGGTCAAATTTTTATTTATGGTGATTACTTGATAAAGGAAACCAGACAAATAAATAACTAATTTTAAAGCAGCACAGTTAACTGAAACTTAATTTTAAAAAATGAAGGCATAACATCTTTAAGACAATCAGTGAGCAGGAAACAAGTTTATAAATATTCATTGTACACAGAGCTCTACGAATTCAACTTACTGCATAATGGGATTGATATGTGTATACAACTATGCTAATATTTTATAAAAGGACTACAGTGCCACCCTTTATCTAAAATACATAAATAAAAAAAAGGCAATTATATTAAAATGTATACACACCCACATGCGCGTTCATGTTCTCACAGACATTTTCCTGCGGAATAAAATGTGGCTCATGTTTTTTTGGGGCCTCTAGGTGTGCTTATAAAATTAAAATTTCTCTTAGGACCAAAGTTTACTCAATTACTACAATTCTGAATTAGGGAATTATTAAATGTCCAAATTGCCAGTGTTTTCTTGTGGAGAAAGCAAAAAAACGTGTTTACCCTAACAAGGTCCTTGTGAACTTGGAAACAGAAGAAAGATCTGGTGCCTCAGTATGTGTTAATTCTATCAGATTTTCCTTTGCTGATCTATCGTATTTCCCAAACAAAGACAAATAACGCAGTTGTACCTTTGTAGGCATTCCATCTTCTTTTACCAAGTACCGTACACGGTTTTTCTCTCTCATGTGGAACTCCTGCTCTTCTTCAAAACTACTAACATCATCCTCATCTGAGCTCCCGGGGTCTGCAAAAGGTTTGCAGTCTTGACCAAAACTTTGTGGCTTTTGATAGCTGTGCTCACTTGTTATATAGGTTCCTTCCATTTTCAGGGGCACACGAGGAGCTTCCTTATGATTTTGCACATGACGCTTCCTTTCTTCAAGGCTGACTGTGTCTTGCACTGTTATTTTTTTCTCTCCCTCAGCAACAATCTGACCTGGGTCTTCTCGCCTCCCAGAACAGGCCCAGAGATGGAGGTCAGGATGGTGTTTATTCCTTGAAACAAAGTTGGAGAAACAGCAATTCAAAACACCCCACAATATCTAGCAACGAGTTTACTACCATAATGAGTTTCACAATGTAAGCTTCTGCAGTTAGCCCCTGGCTCTGCCGGCCTGTCGGGTCACTGCGTGGGCCTGGCTCAGGCCGACCGGCCCTGACTCTCCAGCGAAGACCGAGCCCAGTTAGGAGGAGAGCAGAGACTCGAGACAAAAGTAAATACAGTTCTTAGGTTGTCTCAGAATTTCACTCAAAATTCAAATTCTCATAATTTTATAAAAATAGTTCTCAGAGGGAAAAGCAATAATGAATTTAATTCTGTTGATATTTTTCATTATTTGATATATGCGCTTCTTTTTCTACTAAATTTTCATGGTATTTTTAAATTGTACAACATGAAAAACCTTTATGTGGGCATATTTTTAAATCTTTATTTAATAAAAAAGCAATACTTGCTCATGACAAAAAATTCCAACTACAGTATGTACAAAGTAAAAACCTCTCAGCCATTGGCAATCCTAAATTGCTGAGTATGATCTTCAAGACTTTCTTACACACATAAAATTCTTTTTAAAATGGGCAGGCTTTCACCTTTTCTTTTCACACAAATGGGTTCTCATAGGCGTTCTTCAGGTGTCACACGTATGGGCATCTAGCCACGTCAGTGCTATAGCAACAGATTTCCTTACTTCTAGTCCAGTAGCAAGGAGTATTAACACTCCACAGTCTAATCATCCAATTTCCCACTGATAGATGTGTGCATCTTTGCACACAAGTGAGAATAAGTCAGATAAATTTCTAACACAGAAGTGCCGAGTACAACAGACACTTGTCTTTTGACAGGTAGTGCCGGAGCGACCTCCATGAAGGCTATTCTGGGTGTGAACGAAGGCCCGAAGCTAAGGGGTTACGGTTTGGCTGAGCTGGACCTTCCGGGGGAAAGGCAGGAGAGGAAACACATGGCAGTGAAATGGCAGACAGGACAGGTGTCCCGGAAGGACTCGGAGCGCATGCTGAAGGGCTTTGACTTCGTTCACAGAGCCCCAGGAAGACACCACAGTATCTTTAGCTTGAAAGAGACAAGCTCCTATGTGTCTTTTACTGAGACCGCAGTGGCCATAGTAAGAAAAATGGACCGAAGGAGGCCAGGGCTGGAGGCGCAGCGAGTGCCAGAGGGAGGGCAGCTGGTGGGGGGGAGGCGGGGCCGGTGGGGCGGGGCCAAGCACATCGGGCACCAAGTCCATGTGGGACACCAGGAGGGGGAACGGAGAACAGCAAAGAGAAGATGGGCAAGTGGGTCCACGGCAAAAAAAATCTTGTGAAAACCAGAGATTCATCGTGCATGCGTGTGAGAGAGAGAGAGAGAGAGAATTCTAGCCAGGTACTGGAGGAACTGAAAACGAGGACATCAAGAACATTCTGATATACTGCTTAGGGAGGCAAACGTGTTTTTTATGGGAAAATTGTCTGGGATGACAATACATTTGGTGCACAGTGTAGGGATGGAGTACATGATCCATCAGCAACCTTCAAAGTCAATCTTAAGGCAATTGAAAAATATATTGCGGACTCTATTTCATCTTGACCAGATTCCAGAACAACATGAAACACAGGGTTCACAGCAGCAAATGCATGTGATTTTGTGCAAGTGTGACACACGACGCATGGGGCCAGGGACTACCATCTGCTAAAATGCTAGAGGCTGCTTCTACCTTCAGCCTCACTCATCTGCTTTAGGCATGAGGCAGCTGGTCATCCAAGAAGTTATTACTCTTTCCTCTTTTAAGTTAAAATTTATTCAACTAACTACTCTGCCTTCCCACCTGCGAGTCTCAATCTGCCAAAGGCCAACGGCCTGGCCTGCATGCAGACCTGGGCTGAAGTGGACGGCCCGCGGGCAGCCCGACTTACTTGAGGATGCCGATCTTCAGCTGTAAGCCGTGCAGAACTTCAGTGACGCCATAGACGTCGGCCAGCAGGTGATGTGTGGAAACGATCTTTTTGGCATTTAGGTGAGAATAATTCTCTTTTAAAAATGATAACCCACACATTCTCCCATTATTCAACCAGTCCTTATCATAGCGGTATTTTGCACTCCACCTCTGACCTGGGGAGGAAGTTGACAGGAAAGTCACAAAGAAGCCTCCTCATCCAGGACACCTTTCAGCGGCTCCCCTCCTAACAGTTTTCAGGAAGCAAGGCGCCCCCATGCGAAGACCAGCTCTACAGAAGGGCAAGGCAGCTTCGGAGGAGCTGGCACTGGGAGAGGACTTCCTGCCCCTGGAGGACAGGCTCTGTGACGGACTGGCAGCCACAGATGCGCCTGTGGAGGAAACCTTGAGTGGGTTACTTTCCGTTTTTCATGTATCTGTTATCTGTCCTCCAAAAGGGCTGAAAGGGCTGGGCAGACACTTGACAGAGACAGCTGCTTCTCTGGCTGACCTTTGTTTGGAACTGGATGACCCAGAGTTCTAGAAGTGACAAGGGCCCCTCCCCCACAGCTGAGATCTCACAGCATCCTAGGTAATCCTGGAGCTTCGATGTCAGTAGTCACTATACCCTCGCGTGACTGCTGTTTATGTGTCTGTGTCCCCTACTGCAAGACAGTGGAGGGTTAGCAAACAGAAGGCACCCATAAATGCTGCTGAACGAACAATGTCCATGTTCATACAGAGCTGAATAATGCCCCTGCTTCTAATGGCATTTCAGATTTTTTTTTATCCTCACCCGAGGACATGTTCACTTTTTTTTTTTCTTTTTGGGTATAGAGGGGAAGGGAGAGAGAGAGGAAGAGAAACACTGATCAGCTGCCTCCTGCACACACCCTGACCGAGGATCAAACCCACAACCTAGGGGTGTGCCCTGACCAGGGATCAAACCGGCCACCTTTCACTTTGCAGGATGGGCTACTTCAGTTTTTTGGTAGGCATGAGAACAATTCATTGGGCTTCTATTTGAAATATCTCGTTATTTTCCGCCTCCGAAACTGAAAGTACGTACGGCCTACAGGACCTACCCCTCTGAGCACCTCTAACGGAGGACGGCACGGGCGCCCAGCACAACGAGCGGGGAGCCCAAAGGTGTGCGTATCCGTCGCGGTCCTGCCGCGCCTGCTACTGTCCCTGCGCACAAGGTACTCGGCCTTCTGGGCCCGAGCTGCCTCATCAGTGAAATAAAGGAACCATATGTGATAACCTGAGACCCTCTCTGCTCTAAAATGTGTTGGATATACAGCACTATCAGAAACTTGATAAAACCATGTCAGGAGTGCAACTTCAAAATAGGGCTCCATTCAAACAGCCCTGCATGAACCTATTTAGAAATCAGTGCACAGGAGTCTACTAAGGGGCTAATTCTTGCCCAGGAAAAAGCCTTAACTCTGTCCGTCCAGTGAGGGAGTAACGATGTTGATGAACTTACAGTAATGTTTTTGCCTAAGTTATTAGTATGAAGAATGAAACTGTACCCGTGGAAAATGCTTGAAAATGTTAGCCTGGAAGCAGGGTCTAACTGGCAGGGACAGAGCAGCTCCCAGGCAGCTGCCGCCCGCGGGCCGCGGGGGGCCTTACCGGGCGGGTCTCGGCAGACGTAGCAGGTGTACTGCTCCGGGATGCTCTCCTCCAGCAGCCCCAGGCACACGCTGTGCTGCCAGCACAGGCACTCGTCACACTGCGGAGACAGGGGCCCACAGTCACCGACGACTTGCTGCAGGCGCACAGGGCGCGCATGCCCCCTCCCTCCACCTCACGCCACACAACAAAAGCCAGTGCTGAGTGAAGACGAAGCTTATTTTTGAAACACTCAACTATTTTGAGCTTCGTCTTGTTGCACCTATTAAAATGTGCTTTGATAAATTACTTGATTCATAAAAAAGTCACAAAACTATTTCTCTCATCTATTTCCCACTAATTTTTTAAGTTATTACATATTTAAAAGTCTTCAATAAAATAGCGTAGTAAAGTGTGCAGAAATTTTTTTTAAAAAGGCAAGTTTGTAGCAGTACCTGTAACAACAATCTCTTAAATTTGTAGTTCCCTTATTTGAGAAAACTACTAAAAAAGGAGAGAAAAAAGGATATTACTATTTTTTCATTCCTATACCTAACATTTCCAAATCTTCCAAATATCATCACAAAGTATGTGTTATACTTCCATTTTTTCTTAAAAATTTTCTAGAGGGAGAGGTTGTTTGCAATGACTAACTCTTGCAACAAAGCTTCCCTTTACTCTTTGAGAACAGCGGGAACTTCCACGTTTCCACAGCGGCCTGCTGAAGGGTGGCTATACAGTGTGTTCTAACAACAGGAACCCAGGCCCGGAAGACAAGGGCAATGGTCCGCCCATCAGCTTGGATGCCTGCCCATCTTAATGGCTCTCTAAACGAATTGCAACTTGACGTCCTCAAACTAAACATCCAAGCAAAGGGAGAGTGCTCTTCAAACAAGGAAGTTCTGCTATTTCAATGAAGAGATTTCCCAGTTGAGTACTACTGGCCTTGCAGACGTTATAATCCGTTAGAAACCTCCATCTTCAATAGGACAGTGAGTGAAAAAAGACAACAGAAGGCTGGGTGCACCTGCCGAGTGCCCCAAATCATTAAGTCTGTACCGCGGGAAGGGAGCGCACCTGGATCATGAAGCCGTTCTCCTCGTCCATTTCACAGATGCATCGCACAATTTCATTAAGAGCATCATCTTCATCCTGAGATTCCTCAAAATTTGTTGAATCAAAATCCTGATTGTACTCATCCCCACTTAGAAGCAAACTTTCTGTTGAAGAATCATCTAGGAATTCCACATCTGTTAAGTCTAGAATATACATTAAAAGTACACTCAGCATATTTTTCCACTTTTATGGAAAGTGATTATAAGCTATTGCATATTTAGCAACTGAGGGAAAACAAACAGGAATAGGTTCTTTATCTCTGGACAAAGAACCTAATGATTTTTAAAGTTCAGGTAATTACAACTGCTTTACATCTTAATGTATACACTATTACAGGTAACTCAGAAAGTATCCCCTGGTCTTGGAGTTTAGAGGTTATAGCTAAGGTTGACATTGGGTTGGCCAAAAAGTTTGTTTGGTTTTTTCCCATAAGATGGCTGTAAGTAGCACTTTGTTGTTAACTTCATTCAAAACAATTTTGTTAGACTGCATTGTGAGAGCTGTCCTATCAGCATGCATTTAAAAAAAACTTATCAAAATTGGTGAGTTTTTGTGTAGCCATTTTAATATTGAAGATGGAAGAAAATACACATTTTCAGCATATTATGCTTTACTATTTCAAGGAAGGTAAAAACACAACTGGAATGCAAGATAAAGATTTGTGCAGCATATGGAGAAGGTGCTGTGACTGATTGAACGTGTCAAAAATAGTCTGCAAAGTTTCATGCTGGAGGTTTCTCCCTGGACAATGCTCCATGGTCGGGTAGACCAGTTGACGTTGACAGCGATCAAATCAAGACATTAACTTAGAACAATCAATGTTCTACCATGAGGGAGAGAGCTAACATATCCAAAGCAACAAAATTATTGGTGAAAGTGAAAAATGCATCCTTCACTTTATGGAAAAAACCAGACAGACTCACTGGCTAACCCAGTGCCACTCTTATTTAAGTGTGCATAGGCTCCGAGTGCTTTCGCCACGTTACCCCTTTGGTCCTCACTGTGAAGAGGACAGGTTTCCCGTCTGTGCCGCCGCGGCACTTCAGAGAGGGGAAGGAGCTCACTCACTGTGGGGCTACCACCAGTATTCTTCTCCTGACAGTGTCATTATCACCAACTACCGTCGCACTCATTGTGCGCCATGTACAGTACTAAACACTGTAACTGTAAGATACATAACTTGCTCAAGCAAAGCAGCCAGCTGGGGACAAAGCCGACTGAACACCCGGCCTGCCTGCCTCTGCAGCCTGTGCTCTTAACGGTCCCCCAGCAGTTCTGACGCTGGGGTCAGGAGTTCCCCTGGGAATTTAAACTCTGCAGTTTGATAATAATCTTTAAAAAATTAATAAGTATATGCTAGACATCAGATTACATAGAGGGCCAATATATATAACTTGATTTAAATGTCAGGTTTCAGGTTTGTATTTATAAATGGGAAAAGGTGGGAAGGGGGCACGACTTTTTCCTAATCCTCCTCTTTCCTTTTTTTGTTTTAAATTAAAAATCTCAAAAGTGCTATGTGCTTATTTCAGGGTAAAGGAGAGAACATGCTTTTCTCCATAGTGTGCGAGAGAGGAGTTAGTCCTGGAAGAGCGCAGGCAGTAAGTGTGCAGAAGACAAACCCCTCAGTCCCTACCCTGGGGGCACTCAGGCGGCAGAGACAGGCAGCGCTCTGAGCTCCCTGGGGCTTCCCGTACAGTGAAGACCCTTCCCTCGCCCCGCACTCCCTGACTCCAGTTCCTGTGCTGCTGGAGCTCGAGCCTTGAGCCACAGCCATCAAGGCCTGGAGCTGGGAGACTTTGTCCTCCTGCACGGAGAACACTGGGAGGTGAGAGTCTCAACATCACCCGCTGCCAGGACTCACAGGAAAACCCGAGAGTCCGGCTGCAAGGCTCCTGTCCCCTCCCGAGGTGGCCTTCTGCCTACGTAAGGGTGCCCGGCACCTGACTGTGCTCAAGTCATTGCTCTGACCGCATTCCCAGACCTTTGGTTACGGATATATCTGTGATCAAGAATTCAAAGTCCATTTTTAATACTAAGATAAATATTTGGATAAAAAGCATTATCTTTGGAGTTAAGATCAACCTTGGTTTGAGTTTTAACTCTAACACTAACTAGCCCTGAAAGTTACTTAACTAATAATTCTCTAATTGTTTATCTATGCAATGTGGATAAGAACATCTAATTTATAAGCTGGTAGTGAAGAATATGAAAATATATGCAAAAATACCTATGGAAAACCAGAATATGGTAGAAACCAATAGTTTCTTCCTACCATCTGTCCTATAAGTATAAAGCCAATTTTACTTCATATAAATTAAAAAGTAACTAAAAGTTCTGATGTTGACATTTCCCTGTTAGTTTATAAAATAACTTTTCAAATTGCCCTGTCCTCAATAAAGTATGATCTATCCTTAGCTCTACATTTAAGAGTCTTAAGACTTGTTTTAAGCGTTATATGGTCACACATACTTTCACCACTAAGATCAACTGACAAAATTGCCCTTGGGTACTGATACGTTGTATTTTTCTCCGTAAACATGCTTCGCAGAGCCAGAGAACTCCCAGAAGATCGAGTTAGTGGAGAACAGCACCTTTCCAAAAAGTCTAAGGAACTGTCTTCATAGTCTGAATAGTCTGCAATATAAGACATATAAAGAAGTATTAATAGTCAGGTAATCATGAAGAGTGACTATAAAAATAGTAAAAAAGTCAGTTTTAGGATACACAAAATAAGCATGCCACCACTTTCTCTGGCCACCCATGAACAGCTGGGTAACTACGCATCTGAGCCATTGGGTTTGGCAGAGCACAGAGACATACAGCCCAGCCAGCACACACATAGCAGGGATCACAGTTCTAACGGGTCTCATTCGTTCTCACTGAGTAGTCCCGAGTGAGCAATGACTATGTTAGCCTGTAGGAGGACAAAGGGAAATTAAGGTCGCAGACAGTATTAAATTGCTGATTAGCTGACCTTCCAATAGGGAGATTATCCTGGATTATCTAGGTGGGCCCAGTGTAATCACAAGGGTCCCAAAGTGCAAGACAGAGGCCTAAGAGTGATGTGAAGTGAGAAGGACCTGTGCAGCCATCGCTGGCTTTGACGATGACAGGGGAAACAGCCGAGACGTGCAGCAGCCTCGGGAAGCTGGACAAGGCAAAATGGATTCTCTCCCAGAGGCCCCAGAAAGAAATGCAGACCAGCTGACACCTCGACTTTAGCCCAGTGAGATCTGGTTTAGGCTGCTGACCAGCAGGACTTTAAGGTGATAAATGTGTGTTGTTTCAGCTCACTGATGGGTGGTGTTTTGTGTCAGCAGCCACTAATACAGTGGTCATCCTCAAAGAGGGCGCAGCAGAGTCCTCACTGGTGAACGGCTCTCTGGGTGCCAAGCATGACTCCAAGCGCTTTAAGTGTATTAACTCTCTTAATCCTCGCAATCAACCAAGAAGGGAGCTACAACTGCTGGAGCTACCTTACAAATGACAGAACAGAGAAGGAAAAATTAAATAAATTGCCCCAAAATACACAGCTATTAATGGCAAAGCCAACATTTATACCTGACTACAGAAGCTTTATTCTTAACCAAAAAGTGTTATCAGTGGATTTTAATATTTAAAGCGACACAAACTGGAGAGCTCGTTAAAACAGATCCCTGGGCCTCGCTACCCCCACTGCCCCCCAGGTCAGGAGCGGGGGCCCTCTCTGAGGATGCCCACGCTGTCAGACTACAGAGCGACACTGGGGTCACGCTGTGCTCTCCTCCCACGGCCCCGCAGTGACTGCCCAGGTGGCCGACGCCGCGGTACGCAGGCACAGGCATGGCAAGGGCGCTCACTAAAGGCCAGCTAGTGCTGTGCTCGCTGCTTTACAGCAGTTACCATCCTCAATCTTCACAATAACTCTATGAGACAGAAACTAGCAATACCATTTTGGAAGTGAGAAAACCGAGCTTTACAGAACTTAACGTGTCCAAGATCACCCACCTTTTAAGTGAACTCACATACTCCGCTTTCAACGCTGCCTTGGTTAGTATTTGCTCACCTCACCTTTTTCTACACTTTTATTTTCAACATTCCCCTGTCCTCTCTATCCTTATGTTTAGATTTGCCTCTTAAAAACAACATATAACTGGATTTTTAAAAAACATATTATGCTAATGTACAATTATAGGTATTATTACGGATCTATTTGGATTGTTTTCAAATGTCATTTTGTAATTTCTATTGTTTTTCTTTTCTGTTTTTCTTATTGTCTTCTTTTGGATTTTTTTTCATTACATCCCCCCCTGGGAAATTATACCCTATGTTTCTACTCTTTCAGTGTTCTTGTTAGAAATTCTAAAATGTAGATTTAACTTATTTAGCAATAAATTTCTTTTACTCTTCCAAAACAATAAAAATGTTGAAATACAAGTACACATATCTCAATTCATGGGCCATCATTATTGTTACATAGTTCTGTTCTCTATCACTGGTCTGTCTTCCCCACAGAACGTATCCCTGTATCCCTGTGGGTGCGCAGATGCACCCACAGACTCATACTCTCTGCTCATTATTTATTCTGGCATCTTACCCCCCTTCGCCATCATGCTCCTCGTGCCTTCAAGCACAGGAGTAGAGTACCCCTTAGAGGTCTGGTATCCAACAGGCCATACTTCATTTTCCCAAGTTTTCCTGAAAGCACTACAAAATTCTAGATTGAGAAAAATCCCTTCAGTTCACTGAAAGGTGCTTGGTCCGAGAATGCAGTCCACCACGAGGATGGAAAAGAAAGCCTCCAATCGTCACAAAGATTCACTTACAGGCCACTTAATTTATAGACCTGGTAAAACAGTCCTCTATTTTCACAATCAGCAAGACAAAGGAAAGCTACAGGAACTTCTCAGTTCTCATCAATGTGGGGATCCTGTCCTACCTCCTTTTTGGTAAATGATGAGAGGAAAGTTGAAATAATCTTACAATTTTTAAAAAGCGGGAATCATCGTTTTACCATACTTACCATGCTGCTTAGATTTCTTTTTCTTTTTCTTCTTCTTCTTCTGTTTTGGTTTGTAGTGATCCTTGTCTCTCTTCTCTTTTCTTTCTTTATCCTTTTCTTTTCTCTTACCTAAATGACAAAAATAAGTCAGTCAGTCATTGTGATTGATCCTCAGTCATTCCTTTGTGGTTAACCTAAAAGCAGCATTTACGTTTTAATCAGCTATTCCAGTCACCTGCCCAGAGTGGATGGATTCAATTAAACTGTTCCTGTCATGAGTCTGGAACTCCTGCTTAGCTTATTGGACTATAAGAGGGGATCTTCATTAGCAGTGTTGAGAAATCCCAACTCCTGACACCTTGAAGTTAACACAGACAGTAGTTAAAATCTTTAAATGAGTAATAGAACTCAGCTTCCTGATATGGCAAGAAATAAGCTCCACAATTTAAGACCTGCCTGAGGAGGCTCAGCATTTATTTCCACAGTAAATTTAATAAAAATATATTAGAAGATTTTTTTAAAAAAAGAACTTAATCTTTCTTCTTTGGAAAAATAAAAGAGAGTAAACCAACCCATAAATAATTCTTTCAGTCTTCCAATACTCTCCCAGTGTGTACAAGAATGAAGACTAAAAACACAATGGAAAAACTTATTTCATTAAACGTATTTTTCCCAAAATTTTAGAATATCCCTTTTTCCCCAATCATAATGTACTTTAAAGAAAATAAATGGATGTTAAAGCAGTATCCTAGGATATTTTATTTTAAATTAATCCATCACATATATTCAACAATTGTTCCAACTCAGAATGGGTTACCCTACAATTTATCACCCATATTGAATCAATTCTCAATACCCAAGCCCCAGTAAGCTGATCTGTAGAAAATTTAATGCTATCATCCATCATTCAAAAATGGTTAGGTGTAATAGCACAGAAACTAGAAAAAAATAGCAGAAAACTTAGTAACTTTTTTATATGCTGGTTAAAGAAGATAGTCTGAAAAAAATGACTATTTCAATTTATCATCCATTCTCAAAGTTCCAACAATATTAAATGGCAGCTTATTTTTAAATAGCCATAATTTTAAAGACATTTAAAAACACACAGCTCTCAGAGAAAGCCTTAAACTCCATTAGCAAAAATACAAGTAACACTCTAAGATGCAAGTCACAGAAACCACAGGTCTGGAGGTGAGTAACACCACGGCTCACAGCTTCGGGGCACTACCAGGTAAAACGCACGGGACAGACCAAGTCCCCCCACTGCCAAGCCATCTACTGTCTTTGCTTAAAGATTACTTTCTGTTCATACCAAATGCTGTTGAGCTTTTTTCTTCCAATTTCACTTTTTTTTCTGTTTTCGATATTCCTGCAGATTTAGGGGGAAAATATGTAAGTTTAGTCAGAAAGGGTTAAAAGTATAGAACAATGTTTTTTTACATTATAATTGATCACATAACTTTACAGAAGACTCTTCCCTCCTCCCCAACCCCTGAAGGTCTCCTTATTTTATTGCCTGAACTAGTAACAAAGACATGGGACTTCTGACTTCAGAAAGCTGATAGGTTCGGGATGGTTTTTGTTCCTTCAGGTTGCCAGAGAAGGATCCACCGTAATTAGCCGTGCAGCCTTGAGTGATTCATCAAATCTCTGAGCCCAGTTTCCTTATCTGCCAGACAGGGACGAGAATATCTGCCTTGTGTTTGTTACCAGGACTCTATCCTGGTTTGTTACAGGACTTGGACAGACTTGTGTCTGAGTCTGTAAAATGTTTAGACCAGTGTCTGATAAATAGTAAGTGCTTTTTTTCACTTTCTCCTTTGTGGAGGGGCAGTAACTTGAGACTCAATCGTTTCTAGAACATGCTACGGGTCTAGACACAGAATGGAGCGCTGAGCTGCACGCACTCAGCAACCGCTGAGGATCCACACAGGCATGCAGCTGTGGCCAACCCAGGAGATGCTGACACGCACCTGGGCGCCTGGTCCGAGTGACATGCCAGCTTCTATGACAGTTACAACATGAAAGCTATTCTGGTCATCCAAATAGGTATTAAACTTCCTATTAAAGTGGACTGGTTTTCAAAGACCTGTAAAAAATTTCTGAACTAATATTTAATCTCTGTTGCCTAAAACAAATGTGTAGTACCTTTGAATGCCACCATGAATATGGTATTACATAAATGATAAAAGCCAGACTAGAATTATTTTACACATTTTTGGTCTTTATCTAAATGTAGAATACAAAGGTTTATTTACACATAAAAATATTCAACCTTAATGACATTTAGGTGTTACTATTTAATTGTCCAAAATTCATTTTTAAACCAAGAGTACACCTCAATAATTGTGCAGCTGACACAAGATACATTTAACAAAGCTTCTCAACTCATATTCAACTATTCCCAATGCTAATATCTTACTTGTGTCTAGGATTAACATAAGAAGAAACACTATAATACATTTAAAATACAATTTCAGTCTACTAAATTATGCTTTAGTATGACCATTTATGAGTTCTTTGATTTTTAAGTAATTTCAGTACAGTACCAAAAAAGCTACCATTTTATCATTTGCAAATATTTTATATAACTTAAATACAATAAAAATATAAAAATACCACTCAACTTGAATTAAGCTATTAAGCTCCAATAAGTTTCATATTATTAAGAATATTGATAATCTCTATTAAAAAAAGGACATCAGAGCAAAGAGAAGTACAATTAAATTTCTTTACCAAGACTGTTGAACAAATGTATCACTTCCCTTTACTAATTAATTACTGCTTACTGACCACTAATAAGTGCACCATGAAAATTCTACAACTCTGATGCAGTTTTCGTGAAGATCACAAGCACTCACAGCGCAAACCATGAGAACTGGGCTTTCTAAACCCCCAGGGATCACACTGATACATCCCTAAGCGGCACTCGACTGCGCTCAGTGCCTGGCAGGCCCCGGATTCTCGGAAGCTCTGACTCCCCCGACTCTCCCGGGACGGGGTGGGGAGGGGGGCAGGGCTGGGATGGCCTGGGCGCTTCTAGGGAAGGGAGCTGCCTCTGAGGACTGCGGAGCGTGGAACCCCCCAGTGCTGGGAAGACAGACAAGGCAGTCAGGAACCACGGGCACCGCAGAGCAGAGACAGTCGTCCCCAGGCGCTGTCGGTTCCAGGCCTGGTCTCCCCAGACCTCTTTATTTCTGGATAAGACTGCAGAAGTATAAGTGGGGGACTGACTGAGGAAGGGCTGTCCACATTTTATGCAAATATGGGTCTTAAAATAAATATTCATATATACGACCATGGTAGGACTTTATAAAACACTCATGCCCAAATATAAAAACAAAACGGACCTATTCAAGAATTCAACAAAAAATAAATTTAGTTTTATGAGAGGTTCACAACATTGTCCTCATTTCACCACGTGGCAGAATTAGGGAACCAACATCTTCATTTATGACAGAGTGATTTTTAAATTAAATTGTATCGACAGGACATTTAAAAAAAATTATATGACATCCACTACATAATACAAAAAAAACAAAAAAATGAACAACAGACTCAAAAAAAGGAGCTATTTACATTAGAGTAAGAGAGGTAGATCTCTGAACCGCACTTGCCTGCACTCTCTTTAAAACCCAGAATGCAGTGGTGGTGTCTCAAGCCCCTTTCTGGGTGCCAAATCTCTGATTCTTCCGGCTAAAAATGAGGCTATCCCCGAGACTCCATGGAAACCCCGGGCTCTGTACAAGCCAGAACATTTGGTGTGGGGGTGGAGGTACACTAGAGAGTCTTTGATCACAGTTTTGTTTTGTTTGGTACATCTGGGGGGAAAAATTGGAAAGCACTTTAAAACAAAAAGGTTTTTAAAAAGTGACTGAAAGTCATCTATTTGAAGTTCTAGCGCTATGCGGGGCAACAGCCCAGCAGCTCACCAGTCAGAGCCTCTGCGATTCCTGGCTCGCCCTTTCATACACTGAGCTTCCTATCCTTTAAACTCCCTCAAGAGCCTTGAGTGGTTCAGTGTCTGTTACACATATATTCAGTAGGAAAATAAGACTAGGCAACATTCCCGCATAACAACAGGATTCCACCTTAAAACTAATAGTAACAGAACTGAGGCCCTCTCCTCACCTAAGGCTAGCTGGCTCTGTTAAATACAGCATTCTGGCAATACAACAAAAACAAAGATGTCAAGCTTTATGAGGACAGCAATGACGTATGGGTAATGTGGTCAGCAACAACCTTCTTAACTTTGGTTAGTCACAATGTGGTTTGCAGTACAAGCTCAGTATCTCTACTGGAAAAACAAATAAAAGCAAATCTTACCCTGTTAAGAGGTGTATATAATTTGCATAATCTCATCAATCTTTTACCATAACATCTAAACTCAGGCACATATCCTTCACAGAAAAAAACAGTAATCCAACTCTGTTAAACTATTTCACAGTTAATTACTAACATCCTCCTCATTCCAAAATACAAGAGTTTCAATTTTACGAAAATACCCCAGAAAATGTCTTTGATACCAGTTCCAGTAAGTAATAAATAATTCTTTGTACAAAAGTTTTAAAATTCATCCATAACAAAATTCACTTTTATCACTAAGATGGAAAACCAGGCTAGCATGCAATCAAACACATTTAGAAAAGAAGAAGAAACAGAAACGAAACAAAACACCTGGAACTTTGACTCTAGACTGAAGACAATTTGGGAGCAAAGAGAAATCCGACATATACCGCAAACCAGTTAAGAAAGGAAAGCACGTAGACCATTGAGGTTTTGAGGCCAGTCACACGGGTTCACAAGGTTTTGAATCAAAAGGAGTCCATTTAGAGTATGACCTGAATTCTATTACTTCCATCAAAAAATAAAAATTGAAAGGAGTAATAAAAATAAGTTAGAATTCCTCCCACCTTGCAAACACTGTGACTGTGTTCAACCCTCTAAAAAACAAACTTTCAATTAACTAATATTTATAACCATGCATTTCCTTGATTTGAACAATTAAATCGCCAGCCATCCCCATACCTAGATGACCCTGACTCCACGAATCCATCATATTACAAACCTACACTCCTCTCTACCTTTCACCTTTCTAGAAAACTGTCTTACTACTGGGACTTTCTCAAATAGTTGCTTATAATACTTAAAAAGGAAAAGTTACCATGCCTTTCCTCTACCGCAGCACATTTTAACCATTAGAGAAACAAGAACCACATTCCAATGATAATTAGCCATATTTCCATAAATATGCAAGAAATTCTGAAAAACAGACTAGGCTAATACTCTGATTAGAAGCAAAATCATCTAAATCAAGGATATCTATGCACAATCACTACTTTGACATGTTAGGATATATAAGCTGGCTAACATAACTCTTTAGTTATTATATAGCTATTTATATGGGCATTTCAGTCTTGTCACTAGTATTTATATGCATAAAGAAAATAAAGATATTTTCAAATGCAAATCTAAAAATAATCTCCCCAGAGGACAAAGAGCATTACAACTTTAACACATTTTTCATATATTTCATATATTCAGCAACAAATTCCAGACTCGGAAAGAACACTAGAAGACCTTCATCAGGAAAAATATCTCAGAGTCAATGGTAATTCAGAAATCTTGTGGGAAAAGGGGAAAGCAAAATTAACTACCCTAGCATAGAAGGGGCTTAGAAAAAGGATGAAAAGGCTGTGGATCAGATTTGGAAAACAACAAGTAATGTTTCAAAACCTATAAATCTTTAGATGTAGGTACTAATTTTTTAAAAATAAAGTATGGTGACACTATTAATCATTATTAATAATATGGAATTGTAGGAAACTGTATAGTTAATATTAATTACATTTTTATTTTGAAAGAAGAAATAAGAACGTAAAGGCAGTAATCTAAAAAATGTATTTTTTATTTTAATATATACCACCATCAGAAACATGCACGCTCTACTTTATGCTTCATCCAAGGAGCTGATAAAGTGATTTCAGGGAAGATGCTAGGTGAAGCAATTATCCTCACTTGGTTACAAACCTTTGTTTTTTTCCATTTCAATCTAGACCTCCTTCATCCATCTAACAAGTTAATAATTTACTGGAGAGGCATTTGAAATTAGTATTTGCCTTCTTTTTATTACATGTGCTCTTTAGTTGATATAAAAAAATTCAATAAAATTTCTAAATAAAACAATGTAAATTTATAAATGAAATATAAACTAATATTCTAGTAGATTGAAATATCAGCTTGATAAAACACCCCTGAATGGTTTCAGATTACAATACCATAAAATCATCCCCAAAATGTGTTCAGCATGGCTGATTTTACGTATAAGATTCCAAAGTAATGGTATAACAAATTACATTTAAATTTGAGAGAATCTGCCCCAAAATACGGCATTATATTTATGATACAGGTAAATAGTTAAATTTAAGGTGTTTCTTAAGTATTAAATCCTATTAAAACCCTTAAACCTAATTACTGATCCCATTAAGCATTTTCTGGCTTCAAAACCAAAACCTTTTGTGATTCTATTTAGCTCTAATAATTCCTATTTTGTAAAAACAGGATGTGATGAAGAAGCAGGAAGGGGACTTCTGGTTACGATGGCAAATAGGAAAAAACACTGCACTAACCTCCTCCCAAGACCACTGCGAAATTAGAGAACGACCGCATTTGAGGGTTACATTATAACCAAACAGACGTCCTATAATAAGGCTATAAAGACGATGCCACATGGAAACTGGTAGGAGGGGCAGAGATGCAGAAGGTGCTGGTCCCACACCCTTGAGTGGCGTTAAAAATCGGGAGGGGTTTCTGGAATGCAGAAGTCCCCGCTGAGGAACCTGGGTTCCCAGACCCACACCAAGCTCCCCAGTGCTGGGAAGTCCCCACGGTATCTGGCTATAAGCAGCAGTGGGGATTCCATCTAGGATGACAGAGGGCTGCTAGTGTCCCAGGCGTTGCTCTTAAAGGGTTCACCCTAGACTAACTGGCTGAAAAGACGCACCCAGTGTGGGTTCCAGCACTGGATAGCAGCTGGAAAAACGCCAGGGATACGTGGATGAGAACTGACCTTTCTGGCTTCAGGGCAGGGAGGGAGGGACGGCTTTCTCCACCATTTTCTTCTTTTGCTGAGCCCTCCCCTAACTCAGTTGTCAGGCACAGGGAGCCAGATCTGAGTCTCCATCAAACTCACCCACCCTGGAGATTCCCCGAGAACCCACGCCACCGAGCTCGCTCAGAGGCCGGAACCTCCTTCAGTGGCTGTCAGAATCAGGCCGCTGGCTTTGGCCTGTGCTCTGGACTTCCTTAAACCCTCTTAAAGGTCCACAAATCCCAAACAAACAGCAGCTGGCCTCGGCATGCCCTGTATTTCTTGCTAAGCGGTCGCATGCCGGACATTAGTAACAGCTGGCCTTGGTTCACAGCACAGCCTCTCCCAGGCGCCTCCAAGCCCAGTACAGGACAGGCAGCAACCCACCTCGGACCACTGTGTAGCTCCTACCAGGTGGCCTGGGCTGAGCACAGGCAGCAGCTGACCTGCACCTGCACCAGAGCCCCACCCAAAACCCACACACCCATCTTGGGGCTTTAGAACACTGCCCATTTAGTTCCACAAAGGACATGCAAAGGGTGGACCGGCTGGCACCAGATTCCTGCTAAGGTGAGTCTGCTTCATGGACTCAGCGCTGGCACACCAGCTGGTTTGACTGTAGTCATGACCAGTTCTCACAGTCAGCCTGCCTGGGGGTCCATCCCTCCCACTGACATGCCAACAGCAGTCAAGGCTCAGGACAGCAGGAGGGCACACAAAGCAAGCACAAGGAACACCCAGGGGCACCGAGCTCAGGTGGCCAGGGAGTCTAGTCTGCACCACTGAACCCAAAGAGGCCCACACCAAAACACATCATCATTGAACTGCCACAAGTTAAAGACAAAGCTGCAAGAGAAAAGCAGTTAGTTATGGACAAGGGGGTTCCCCGAAGACTGTCAACTGATTTCTCAGCAGAAATGTTGCAGGTAGAAGGGACTGGCAAGAAATATTCACAGAGATGAAAAGCGAGGACCTACAACCAAGATTACTCTTCTCATCAAAGCTATGCTTTAGAATTGAAGGGAAAAAAAGATTCCCAGACAAGAAAAAACTAATGAAGTACATTACCACCAAACCAGTATTACAGGATTTCTTTAAGAAAAAATTAAAAATATAAAATTGAAAAAAACTACATACCTATCAGGAATTACTTTAAATGTAAATGGATTAAATGCTATAACCAAAAGACACTGATTGGTTGGCTGAATGGATAAGAAAACAAGACCCAAGTGCCCACTGACAGATGACTGCGTAAAGACAATATGGCCCGTGCAGAGAAAAATAAAATCCTACTGCTTGAAACAACATGAACAGACCTAGAGGGCATTATGCTAAGTAAAATAAATCAGACAAGGACAAATACCATATGATTTCACTTATATGTGGAAATCTCAAACAACAAAATAAATGAACAAATAAAACAGAAACAAACCCTGGTGGTAGGGGGCTTGGAGGTGGGATGAAAAAAATGAAGGGGTTAAGAAGGACAAGGTGGCTATTACGAAACAGTCACGGGGTGTGACGGGCAGGACAGGGGCAGAGTCGGTATCGCAGTAACAACTATGCGTGGCGCCGGGGGGCGCTAGACCTGCGGGGGCACCTCTTCGTGAGTTACAGAAATGCCTAGGAGCACTCTGCACCTGAGACTAACACAACACTGAACATCAACTGTGCTTAAATTTTATTCGTAATTTAAAAAATTAGAGGGGGAGAGAGAGAGAGAAATAGAGAAGAAAGAGGCAGGGAGAATCAGACTAAAGTGACAGAGAAGTATGTCCAGCCATATCCTATGATAGCGAATGAAGGCACAACAGAACTTGAAGCAAACAGAGCAACACTATCTCCCACAGATGTTACATAAAAGTATTTCTGAAGAGAAATTACATATTCAAATAATGTAGTCATACATCAAAATGTTTGCAGCCTACACATGCAAGCTCGGCTACTTGTACCATCACTCTTTTTTACCTGATGCTGTTGGAGCGCCCCTCCCGTCAGTCAGTGCCTTGGAAGAAGGACTGGCGAGCATCTGCGTGTCGTCCTTTCCTGCCCTGGCACACTCACTGCGGTGAGAGGGGTCTGGGGCTAGCGGCGCTGTGCCTTCCAAACCACGGCTTAGGTCCAGAGGGAGACAGGGTCCCAGCTTCTCGAGTGACAAATGTGCAACATCAGGCACTGCACAAAATAAAGAATGTAATATAATATTAACACAGATAAACGGGCTCAGTTAACATCCGTGTGGATTTCAATGTTGTATAAACTAAACAGTGCCTGGCACAAAGAAACAGTCAGTAACTATGTGTAAAATAAATGAGTGCTTTTCAGTCTAAAAGATGTAAGATGGAAAAAGCAGAAATTCCTTAACGTTTTAATAGTCTTTGTCTCTTAGTATTTTCTTTATCTTCTCTTATGTTTGGTTCTATAGGAAATCAATATACATTACCCTCTGGTCCTGAAGACTCTTGCTGACTTTGAGAACTGATGGAGAATATTTTCCCATCAGTGGCTGGAGAGGGAGGAGTAACCTTTTCTACAGAATCATCAGGCATGGGCAAGGTGGCTAAACGCTGGGATCTTCTTCTCCGCTCGCTATGCTTGAAAGGTCTAGGGGGGTTCACAGGCTGTGGAGGACCTAGAAAAAGATCTTCAATGTTCACGAAGCAGATACATTCTGGGATCATCTTATAATATTTAAGGAGATAAACGGGAAAAATGATTTAAATACTGCCCTCTGAACTGGTAAGGTATCCACAAGGAATGGCATGTTCCAAAAGTAATCAAAGGCAAAAATTGCCCTCATTCACAAAAAGTTAACCAAAACTTCTAAAATCAAAGCCTACTAGAATCAAAAGAAAATATCATGGAACATTAATTTCAGGTAGTTTCCCCACGTGACAGACTACTACAGTTAATTCTCAAATTGCAAATTGTTGTGTTAGTTGCCATTTTTCCTTTGGGAAAATAGTCTCCGCATAGCCAAAGGTTAAAATAGATATAAATATAGTCCCTTTTGCTACATTACCAATCTAGAAACTCTAAGGCCGGGGGCGGGGGGAGGCAGGGGCACAGGTGACAAAAATCTGACATGCATTGTAGAGTTAGTGCTTTAGTTGCCAAAGTAAAATAAATGTAAATAATTTTATCCCACCCTCATTCCCCTGCATGGATTTTTAGAAGCATATGTTTTGGGCCTGATTCATTAAAAAAAATTGAACATAGCTTTAAGTACCTCTTATGGGCAAGTAGTCAGGGTCTTAGAAGGGAATGACACTGTTCTTGCCCGCATGTGTTTTGTGTTTAATAACTTGGTGGGTCATTTAAGCATCTTCTGGTTATGTAACACAAAGTTTGAAAATTCTTGTTTTCTTTAATCCCTTAGTTTTCTGCTTCCTGCACAGCATGCAAATGTTTGATTATTTAGGACAGGCAGGATTACATTAAGGCCCATATGGTCATATCAATTTAGGAGGAGGATATTTATAGTAATTTTACAAAAATCAATAAAAAAAATGGTGATAATTTTAAATAATAAAGACTGTAATTCAATTGCTGCAACACTGTGGTTATACCACCAAAATATAAAACAATTTAAAAATAATGTCGTGACTTTGTTGTGACTACAGCATTATTTCATGATAAATGCCATGAGGAAATATTTGAGTTTTTCTGTTCCTATCCTTTCTATCCATTTATTAAAAAGAATAAAACCAAAATAAAAAAGCACCAACACCTAATAAAAAATTGATAAATATGGCTTAGTAGTTATGACGACTGAATGGAAGGGGAGATTAATACATTTGAATGAAAAAAGTCTTCTCAATGCCAACTTTTTTAATTGCCGTGGAAGATGTGCTGTAGACGAATTCATAAGGAAATGTGTTATGTTTATTACTAATCAGGGTACTAATTCATATGTTGTATAAACAGCAAAAGAAAAGTAGCTTTTACCAAGTGACTGTACAGGTTGTTTTTCATATTTTCCTAACTTAAGACTACTAAACTAATATGAGAAATACAGAGTCAATACAGACCTTGTGTTTATATATATCTCTACACCCATGTTGAAAGGCTGTTTTTAAAAAGACTAAATTAACTCTCGAACAATTAGTGGTATGCTAACTGTAAAATCTTTTAAAATAGATCAAAAAAGCATTCTTCTTCTTTCATTAATTGATCAGATTAACTGAAGTTTGCACTCTAAATTCCAGAACATGAATGAGTAAAAGGAACTGCAGAAGGGAGTAAGAAAATGTGAGTAACACAGGCACCTATCCACAATAGTCTTAGGACTTGAGGAAAAATATTCATCACAGGTCTTGTTTAAATATATATCTTTATATATATATATGTATTTTTTTGTAATGAATCAGGCCTCTCATTGTGCTTGGATTATTAGTTGAGGAGAATCAAACTACAGTGGACCTTGCGGTATCACACGATAAGGTTTCTCACCAGCAGTACAGTCTCCACACAATACATCAGTCAGAAAGGTATGAGTTTTGCCCCTGAAATAGTTGCAAGCCTTCCCTGTCATAGCCACTTAAGTTTGAATTTTTAAAAAGCAACTTCATAAAAATACAATATAACTACAATCATACTGTTTTTCAAAAATGTATCTTATAGGATAAGTAACTATTTTTTAAAAATCTGTGCTCACTAGTTTTATTTATCACTGAAGAAGAAAGCTGAGATACAAGCGTCAAATCCTCGGCTTGTATTAATTCTGGGGGAAGTGGTGATTTAGGGGGTTTTATACACCCAGAAGAATCTCCAGATTCATGTTTGCATTTCTTGCTGCGAGCCTTCCCTGAAGACAAAGTTGAGGATAACAGTGCAGGTTTCTGAGTGTTGGCAGAACTGCTAATGTCAGCTTCATTTTTTTTCTGACTTTGAGGTTTAGGTGAAATCGCCTGAATAAATAATAAAAAATTGATATTTTTATTTTGGTTTCTTCATTTTTGTTCTTGTATTCTATTTTGACTGTTAAGCAACTTTAGTATCCAAAAACATTGTTAAGCAACATATAACATTTCTATTACAAATGAAAAACCAAAAAGAACCCCACAGATTATTAACTAAAAGTTGAAGAGGCCGTCTTTAAAGGGATGCTGTCAACTATGTCCCAACCTGGCTTTTAAAAAGGTATTTATTCATAACATTCTCATAACATAAAATGTTCTCTTACTGAACAAATTTTTTTCAGTATTAAATTGAAATACGCCTCTTTTGAAGCCATAATTATCAATGACATTAAAAATAATTAGGTAAATAAACAGCATTCTCATGTTTTCGCGCATTAAGGAGTTACATTTAAACCTTTGAGTTTCAGATGTTTTCTTATAAAATAATCTCCTTTATCAAGTTGAATGTAGACGTCTAAGTAGACAGTTCCCCTTTAAAGAAAGATCTTAACAGGAAAACAATGATCAAATTAACAAAACATTATCTTTAACTCATTTTAGTGCTGAAAGCTAGAGTTTCATAAGCATAATGCATCATGAAATCAAGCCACCAGCAGTACAGAGTTAAAAGAATAAAAAAACAAAACAAAACAAGCAACAACAACAAAAAAGAAAAAAAACCAAGGAGTAAAACCAAGTGTAAGTTAAAAACATTGGATTTAAAAACAAAATACGTCGCATTCTTAGATGAGAATTTTTACCTTCTTCTTGCCAACTGATACTTTTAAAAAAAAATTAGAACTTTGTCAGTTCTTTATTTGGCGACAAAATTTCCTACATGTGTAAAAATGTTATGTGAATGTGTCCAAAGACAACAGAAAATAGCCACATTGGATAGATTTGTAATCTATGGTGTTAGGATGCCTATACTGTATTTTTTCTGAGAATATCCTTATGAGAATATAAGATACACTTTTTTGTTTTACAACTCTACTAGATAGGCCTCCACAGAGAGTTGCATCGCTAGCCCCCTGCACGGCACGCTCGCCCCAGGCACCCTTTGACTCCCGTGTCTTCTGCGGGGGTGGCGGCCGGCCTGCAACCTGTGGTTCTCTAGAGCACGAAAGATCATCACTGGGGACCGCACAGCTTTCTGTTCCCAAGAGAGGACTAGGCACTCGAATTTGGACAGAAAATTTTTAAAAAGGATATATTTGGTATTAAAAGTAGGGTAGCTTTGAATGCTCTACAGAGGCATGCTGGACATACCACATAAAAGGGCTGGTGTCAAGTGTCCCATTTATTTGTCATCATTTCTACTCCTGAATTTACTCATTACACACACGTGTTTAAGTGCAGTTTAGTCATTTGAAAAAGTACTCCATAAATGGAAAGGATTCCTAATCTTATCATAAAAGGTGTTGCCAGAAAAGTAATTAGAGCCATTACTTGTAAATAAACAATTTTATTGTTCATCTTCACATATGTGAGAGACATCACTACAGCATCCATTACTCTTGAGTTACAAAGTTATAAAACAAGATTTTAAAACTTAAATTAATATCTTGATAAGGTGCTTAACTTCTAAACAAGGACAAATTAACATTTTTAAAAACTTACTGAATTATGCATCTAATGCAGGTTTTATCCAAAAGTAAATATAACATAACAATTCCCTAATACAATTAAGTAACCTATAATTGATAATCTGAGAACTGGGGTTCAAGACCACAGAGTCTGAATTTTTTTGATGTAAATAAAATAAATCCATTTTTAACACAGTAAATTAAATTTTGGATATAGGCCTATTAAAAGTCTCTGTCATGAGTGACATTTCTTTACTCATTAGAACAACAGAGGTTAATGACAATCAACACCTCTCCTTTGAGTCTACTGTTGATACCAATTAAGACGTTATTAAGAGTTTTATAACTCGGCTTTTTAACTCTGAAGCAGGGCAAACAGCATAAAAATTAAGAATTTGGTTTCAAAACATTTTTACATTGAAATCAAACTGAATGACAAAAAAGGAGGGAACAGCATTACGTTCCTTAAAAATCCTGAAACAATTTACAACATTTTCATTAATGATTATTGGACTCTGTTACAAAACTGGCAAGGACTCTCGAAAATGTTTTAAGTTACGCAAATAGAAACAGCCGAGTTACTCGATTTTTCTTTTTTTAAACTCAATTCCAAACTGATTCCTGATCTTCTCTCTGAAACGGACACTGCCCTCTACACTAACCTCCATGTACAGTAAGTGATTTCCATATCCACCTCAGCAGAACTGTGCGTAATGAAAGATTGACATTGTAATGAATTTTCCAGAAACATTTTATTACCCATGTCCCTGATTTATTGCATTCTAAGAATACCAAAAACAGTGGTGAAAATACAAAATAATGTTATATCTGGGACGTTGAATATAGTAATACACAGTAAAAAAAAGTCACTTAAAATCTGGTTGATATGCTGACAATAACGGCAAAGACTTAACCGTTTGATGATCACAGAGAATCAGAAGGTATGATTTGCCGACATATGAATCAATTTAAAAGACCGTTGATTTAATACAACATAATGGAGGCACCAAAGCAATGCACTGTTATCAAATCAGGCCTAAAATAACCCTGAAAAACTCAATACAATATCAATTAAATTTGGAGTATTTTTTAAACGCATATAGGTTAAGAGCAAAAGGTACTCATTTAAAGCCTTCTTTATTAGGCTCCTAATAAAGAAAATTAAAATAATACAAAAAGCATATATTAAAACTACATTAAGGCTCAGATTTTAAAACAGGAGAACCAAGGAAACCCAGTTATGGCTATTACTGTGTTCTTATAGTCTTACAGTGCCCAAGAAGTTAAGCCCTTAGAGAATGTAAAAGCATGCACGGTTCATTATGTACAGGTATTGTGGGAATCTGAAGGCAGCCAAGGCGAAACCTAGCAACTGCAACCTTCATTTTTAAATTCCTCTATTAGGTGGTTTAAAGACAGACCCTTAATAGTTTTTTAAAATTTTTTTGTAGTTATTAAAATATACATCCTAGCAAAAAATGTATGGCTCATTGATCAATTCATAAAACACATAGTCAGTCTACCAACACCAATTGTTACAATATAAAAGAAACTTCTTACAAAAGAAGCCTTATTAGATGTCAAAAACCCTGTTTTAACTCACAAATGAAAAGTATTTGTGTAAGGGTCTTTCATAAGCTAGTTAAGGGTGATCCAGCGGGAAGCTTATACCCTGGGAGGCCTGTCTCCAGGACTTCCAATGTTGGAGGCAAAGGCTTTATTGCCAGTCTGTTGAAAACAAACATGAATGAAGTCTGTAGTTTGTATACCTTAGAGAAGGCAGAGTTAAAAATATATCATCAATTAATTAGCTTCCTATTCCCATATCTGACCAAAGGGCAATTTCAATTACGTGGATATTATAGCTCCGTGACCATTCCAGTTGGGAACCTTGAAAAATATCAAATGCTACCATTCCATACCTGCTCCAGCATTGGAGCCGTTTCATTGTGGTCTTCCTTTTTTTCAGCACCATCCACCCCAACAGCTTTGGATGCCAACAAACCTTGAGAAAAATTGTACAGAAATTGCTTATTAGAAAAAATGTTGACTTTCACCTAAATAACTTCACAAAAATTTTAGCAGTTGAAATCCCCCCTACTTTTTTAATATATAGAAGTAAATATTCTCAAAAGTTTACTTGTCAAAAATGCAAGCGCCCTTAATGATGATTCAAGGAAATGAACCAGAATTTGAAAGCTGCTTACATAATTAGTTTTAAATATTACTTGCAAAGATACTCTTAAAACACTATGTACATACACATTTAATCTGTAAAGATTTAAAGCTCTATAGCTTAACATCCGAAACCTGACAGTCCTTAGAGATTGTTAGTATTCTTAATTATGGGCTTTGTTTATACAACCAAAATAAAACATAAAATTTAGATATGAGAAACCATTCCAAATATCTAGAACATAAAAATTCTTTTGTTGTTGTTCTATTATCAGCTACAAAAAAACCCCAAAACCTCCCATTTTTTATTTCACCTGGATCCTTTAACCTAAGCTTGACATATTTAGCTCTACTCAGCTATATAGTTTATCATCTTACAAAAGTGCTGAAAACACCCATGGATCCATTTTTTGTTAATGTGAAAAAAGTGTGGCTACTTCTTATAATACTTGAAAACTTAATATTATAGCCCCTATAGGTGATGAAATATTTTGGGAATTCCAGTTTTCTCCAAAGTATACCACTAATTCTCAATTTTAGAAGACAGTATTTTATCTGGAATAAATATAATTAACTTTACAAGACATTAAAACTCTGCTTTTATGTATAAGTTAAAGGCATTTACTTGACAAGTACCTTCAATGAAGCCAAGTTTATAAGGCTTGTATAACAACAAGTATTTGTTTTTGCTTACAGCCACCGGATACATAAAAGGTCACCAAAAATCATTTTTGTGTCATTTCAAAGTTAACCACACAAAACCTTTGCTTCAAAGGATGCTTAACCATTAAAAACATAATAGTAACTTACTTTAGCAATTATACCAGATATTACAGACGCTGTCTACAGCATATTTAACAGGAAGAAAAAAGTGCCCCTCTTCAAAATCATGTAACTTCAAGCTAGCCACAAGGCAACATCTCTTCACTTTCTCAGGTAACTATGTCAAAATGTTAAGTAATCTAACTAGGAATTCAAATATTAACATTGTATACTTAAAGTAATACTTGCAATCAAATGTTAAACTGGGCAAAAGGCACTTATCCTTCATTGGAAAGCTGAGTGTCTAACAGTCTAACACCTAGAATTGTAATTTAAAATAAAAAAGGTGAAATGTAAAAAAAAAAAAAAAAGTGGATACATCAATGATGGGTGTAAACACTGGTATTTAATCCAGTTTGAAATAACAATCCATACATAGTTTGTTCAAGTCTCATGCAATATGAAGTGTAGATTTAAATAGAGAAAAATGTAATATATAAATCATTTAAAACTGCATTCGCTAGGTTTTTATTCTGTAGTTAATATTTTTGAGAATCAGTACTACTAAAATAAAAAGAAAAAATAATTAGAGAATCAAGTTCTTTTGTAGGGAACTGAGTAGAGAGATTCTGCTTCCAAGGGCTAGTGAAATAGGAAAGATTTTTGCTACTCAATGTATTAAATATATCTCACATTTTGTTCCCTTTATGTATGTGGTGGAAATGCTTTCCTAAATCTCATCAATTGATGGACTAGATCTCAAACTACACATTTGCAAATAAGGTACTACACGTTTAAAAAATAATTCAGTCATACTTCGTGAATTTAAGTTAGGATATTATAGACCCAATTAATTAAAAGCAATTCCCACTTAATGATTTGTGAAGGAAAAATAAAGCTTTATAATGTTCTTATAAAAAGCAATGGGGCATTTAATAAGAACTACCTAAAATTAGATTAGAAAATACAATACTTGGTAGGTAGTGAATTCAAAAGCCTCAAATATGATCAATAAAAAGCTTTTCATATTCAGATGCACACCATCGTACAAGAGTTAAAAATATAAACAAGACAGAGGCAGTCCAAAACCTGTTATCCCGACCTGTTGATGTTCTGGGGAGAAATGCAATATACTCAGAAAATGAGAATTGGAAGAAAATAGACAGAAATGAAATTAACTTCAGTTATTTGTGAATATGTATTATCAGCATATTACCAACAGGTCCTCCTCCAGAAGAATGTAGCTATAGAATTTCTTAACCAAATGCATTTGTAAGGAATTAATTAAATATCGAGAAGCAGAATATCAAATATTTATGAATCCTGCGCACAAAGTTATTATTTCAATTCTCTACACTTTGGCTATAAAATACATAGTTGGCCTCTCACTGCTACTAGGAATCAGCAGCCCAGAGACCAGAACACCCTGGAATATAGCAAAGGGGGGGAAGGCAAGTAAAGTGCTTGCATTTGTGACCCGCTTTGCATCCAGGGATTCCAAAATCAATACTCTTCCTGGGATTAACATCAAGCATTCTTGATATTATTACTAATAACGCATTGCTGGCCAATTCAAACTTCTTGGTTTTTAAAAATTATTTTTAAAATTCCTTCAACTTCACAAACAAATTTAAGCTGGCCAATCTTGTAAGAACTCCTAGAACTATCAGAAACAAACCATGCACCAACTGCTGCCATTTCTTCTACTCCCTTGACGTGTATTTTAAATTTATTCAAATTTGCTTGCAGTTTGCTTGCAACTTTGTCCCAAAATATGGACTCCTGATTCTCTCTGTAAAATTGTCTATTCTAAATCATTATGCATAAAGTCCCTAACTATTCATACAGTACATTACATAAAGAAAAATAAGATTCTAGAAGAACATATACATACTGTGCAACTGTAATTCCAATGTCTACTTATTTGGAAACTTACGATAAAAGCCACCCTATACCATTCCCTATATAAAAATCAGGTTTAGAGTCTCTGTAGGGTGTGTATATGGGGAAGAACAAGAGTGAATAAATACATGAATTCAATTTATCCAGTGGCTGGTCCACTTAATTCCAGCTTGAACTATTTAAAAAAGAGTGCAGGGAAACCCTCGAAGCAGGCTGGGCTGCTGCCGTAGTCGCAGCCCTCTACCTCTCAGCAGCAAAGGGACAGAAGGACGAGTATAAATGAGCTTGGTAAATTTAAAATACAGCATAATTCCATTAAAAACATCACTATCTTTGTATTAGTTTTCATGTTTTTACAGTCTACAAACAAAATTGACTGTACAGAGGCAAGCTTGAGTTTTACTCATCGAAGACAGTATTGTAATGTCTACTGTCTTCTTGCATGATATAACTGTAACATGAAATCAGAAATAGATGCAGAGAGATGAACTATTAAAAGGGCTGTCATACACTTCCACCTTCTAATTAAAATGAGAAAATGACACTGGTTTCACATTCTAAAATCTCATGCTTTTCTACCGCTGCCAAACTCTCAGGCTTCATCCGGATTCCCAAGGGGACGAGAAAACGGAGGCCCCCGCAGAAGGCACGGGTGTCACTATACAACCGGTGTCAGCGTTTCCTCGAGGCACATGCTAAAACGGCTCCTGCCCCGGCCCCGCTGTCCTTTCAAGGCCGTGTGGAAATAATGTGTGATCGCGGAGCAAGCTGTTTTTCTTTGTTCGTGTCTCGAAGCGGTGAGCTTGGACTTCTCAGCAAGGCACGTGGATGAGCGTGCTGACTGAAACTAACAGCAGGCTCCCTGGGTGGGAGGAACGCAGGGTGCTGGGGAGCCTGCGGCGCCTCAGGGAGGTCACCCTCCAGCTTCCCCGACGCGGGCCCATCCGACAGCGCCGCTTCCCTCTTGGCGTCCTGGGAGCCGGAAGAGCTGTCCACCTGCCGCCGCGAGCAGCGCTAGGATCCGTTCCCCCTAACGCAGAGCGAGAGTCTCAGGCTGCCGCCATGACAGTCCCCTGGATAACATTTTGCCTTTCTCCAAAGCTAACGGTTTCTAAGGAAAAGGTGGAATGAATGAGTTGATTTTTAAATATTTCCTGCCCTGGAACCAAACATATCCTTTATCAGAGAAAGGCACAAAAATAATATTAACAAATGGAAAGACCAACAAGTCTCACCTGTTGAAACCAATTATAATCACTGAAATACAACAATAAAACGGTGGTTCTGAAGAACGCTCAGCCCCAGAGCCATCTTTCAGAGGCCTTCCACTCTTCGGGAAATGGACAAAACGTTTCATTTACATTTATTCTTGAACTGACAAGGAAACCAGGCTTCTTCAAATTACTCAAAAGAATGCCAACAAAGGTTTATATAGCTTTATTAAGCCAAAGGCACTAAAAACCATTCTGTCCTTAAAATAAGAACATATGACTAAATAATTAAAGTGTTTTAACTGCCCTTTTAACATATGCTCACAGAAATTATACGTGTTCACAATTTCTTTTAAAGGCTAGACTCATTAGGTTGAATAGGCCTAGGGAGCGATGGGGCCTCCATCCTAATACTAGAATCCCTCCTGCGAACACTAACCAGGCCAGGGTTTTCAGCATTCTTCACCATCCTGCCACTCTACCTCCTGCATTACAACACAGCACCGAGAAAGAACACCAGTTTCTAGAGATCAACCTGAGGACAAGGATGGAAATTTTAAACACGTATAGAAGTACTTGTATACCGGGAATTAGCAGCTTCACTGGTCGTCTTTCCAACCCTCCTTAATGAGACTGATCAAGAGTAATAGGAACATACACTTAGAACCTCAGATGTTATGTCACCCCAGGCTGAGAAAAGCAGAAGATTCAGTTCCCATGGAAGCGGCCCCTACCACCGCGGCGATCTGAAGACTACAGAGTTTTATAACTGTTGATCCCATCGATCCCCACAACAGCCCTGTGAGGTAGGTAGAAGACGCGTGATAGGTGTCACGTCGCACAACACCAAAAGCTGACCGTTTTAAACGCTGTTGACCTTGGAGACCCATAAAGAAATTGTCTTTCTAATTAACCAGTTATACGACCCCAAAGACACGTGGCTTTATTAAAAACAAACTACTCTAAAAGCAAACCCTCCATTCCCCCCCAAAAGAATCATTGTAGTTTACCAGTAATCTTGTTAAGTCGAGCTCTCTTTGCCTGAAATGAGTTGCCTTGATTATTTTTCCTCTTGTTTGATAATGTGCTCTCTGGCTGTGGAAAGATCATCTTTGGAACGTTCTCTACATGAAGTCCTACTTTTAATAGAACACATATATGAGAGTTTATACAGACTCCAAAGTTAAAATACACGATTTCTTTAAAACAGTAAAATTACTTTATCTAGTGCTTGACAGAGAACTTTAAAATAACACAAATCTCTCCAGACTGATATATTATTGTAGAAATAAAAACTACAGAGCACTTATTCTTCAGGAACAAAAAGCAGGAAGAGAATGACTTACTGCTTTTTCCATATTATGTATTATATATTGAAATACATGCAGAAGCCTTTAAAAGGTTTTAAAAAAACATAAACAAAACCCAAACACCTCCTACCAGTAAGTTACAGATCACACTCTCTCTCAACTTATGTCTATTCAAAACTATTGAGGGCATCCATTATCAAGTGCCCACATTAGACCATTAACCTTCAGATCTGTAAAATGCTAAATGTTAACCATCATTTACATTAGGGAAAAAGCCTAGTAATTTAACTCTATGTTCAAATACAGGTAGCCAAGGGTTCTAGCTTGCTCGCTATCTACTGTGTGAGTTTACCACTGCCACGGGAATGAACATAAGAACATTTAGTACCAAATGTATCACTAGATGTGGGCAGATCTTCCTTCTTCTCAACTTCCGGCGTGGTTGTAGAAGCTGAAGTTTCTTCCTTCTTTGAAGGTACTTTAAACCATTTCCTCTCATCTTTCTCTTTGTCTTTATTGCTGTTAGCACTGGTTCGAGGTTTGCTCCCTGTTTTATTCTTGGCTGCAGCTGCAGCAGCTGCTTTGACTAAAGCTATCCAATCCTCCAAAGGAAAAACACAAAACATGTGAAGCATTAAAAGTTAATCACAATTGAATTATACTAATGAGTAAAAACATGAATCACATTTTCAAAGCTACTTTCACACACACAAATTTAAAAGTCGAATTAACTACATTTGCAAGGTACATCATCAACATGGTAGATTACCAAATTTAATAATCTAATGGATTAGTCAGATATATAACCTTACATAAAACAGAAAAATATTCAGTAACAAATAAATGTTCCTTTGGTATATTTTCCAGGAATAACGAGAAACCTATGGCAAATATGGAATATTACATGACATTCTGACTTATTATGTTAGGGTTTATATGAGGAATTGCAGTTCTTTTCTGTAATACAAAAGAACATAAAAGAAATAAGAGAAAAATGTTTATGCTGCAATTCGGCAAACACTAAGAGAAATGTATTACATTGAGTAAATTACTCTTCCTTAATAGGAAGACTGTACCAAAGTATGGACAATTTCATAGAAATCAAGGTGTGATTTGACTGGTTTTAAAGCTGTTAGGGTTCAGATACCCATTTATGACAACAGCTTCGTATTACTCAAGGAATAAGAGAAGAGCGGCTTGACCTGACCGCAGCAAGGCACATGCCACCAGGCTCCAGGCTCATTTCCCTCCCTCTGCAGCCTCCGGGGGCGTGCGTTAGCTGCTCTTCTTCTGAGATGCAAATATTTATTTTCCTGTATTATTTTTGTTTGTTGCTAAATTTTACTTTCATTTTTAACTAAAAATGCTTATAATAAAAAATGGAAAAATGTAAAGAAGTGGTGTTAACATTTAAATTTTCACAACTGGAGATTTAAAAAAACACACACAACCATTTGTAGTATCTCAGGAGAGTTTCCCCTTCCTCTCAGGCCACTAAGCTGTCGAATAAGCTATCCATTCAGATTCAACCAAAAGGGGCAATCCATTAAATTCTTAGTCTGAGCAACTAAAAACAACTTCATAGCATCAAATGCATTTAATTCATGACCCACGTTAACAAAATGGATCATTAAATAAGGACTACAAGTTGATGGCTGCTCAGTCTTGAAAATATATGGTGAGGACAATAAGCCATTTAAAAAAAAAAATCTATGTCCCTCGCTCTCCCGCCTGACTGAAATGAACTGAACACAGACTGTGACTGGAGCTGATACATTCATTTGCCAGTTTTTTATTGAATGCCCCACCCCATGTGCCAGGAAGCAGGCTAAGCATTCCTGAGACAACAGCTGATAAAAGCTGCTTCCCTGAAAGCCCCAGGAATGCATCCATCCTGGCGGGAGCCCATCTTTGCTCTCAACTGGAGAACACCCAGCATGCATCTAACTTTCCCAGTATTTTGAACTGCGTCTCAATACATGTCTTACTAGAAAGTGAATTCTGACAAAGGTGTGAAATAAAGGCTTACATTTCTAGTTTGTAAAGGAAAAACAAACAAAAAAAGATGTACCAGTGTTGCCCAACCTCGGTTTTACTTACAACCACCTGCTATTTATTCCACCATTCCAGCCCGTAAGAAATTGACAGGTGAATAAAATGAACTGTAAGGCAATGTGACGGGAAAGATAGTAGTGGAATAAACAAAATACCATGGGAGAAAAAAGGGAAGATGAGTTCTGACTGAAGAGGAAGACTGGTGGAAGGCTTCAGGGAAAATGCCGCCCGGCCGGAACCCTGAGGTGCGTGTGAGGGGTAAAGGGGCAGAGGGAGAAGAAAATGGCGCCCCGAGCAAAAGGAAAGCCGCTGGACAAGAACATGGCCGTCAGAGCGCACAGGGACAGGACCGAGGGTCCGAGGGCCAGTCTGTTGGCTCAGGCCTGACAGCTCGGGTCTGAGCCTTGAGAGTGACACTGGAGCAGGAGAGGAAAAACACCCCCAGTGCAAAAGGCTGGAAGGGAGCGGCCACGCTGCAGAGGAAGAAAGGAGGGTTCAGCGGGACGGGACAAAGGAAACCGAGGCGCTGACCTGGCAGACTTACTAAGAGCAGAGCATTTAATTTCGGGCTTCATACTATGGGGAAAATTGTAAATTGTTAGAAAAATGCTGAAAAATGCCAGGGATAAATTCCATCTCCAGTGGTTTCCCATCTTCAATTAAGAGAAAACTAGGAGAAACGGAGATTCAAGCTGTACCTTTTAAAACCGAAAGCAGATATAAAAAGTAGTGTTTGATCACACGACTTGTTAATCGTGGGATCATGGCGGTGGTGTGACTAAAGATCTCTCCCTTTAGTCTGCTGTTCTGTTTTTAAATAGGAAAGATTCACTACCAAAACACGTGGTGCGATCATCCCCCGAGTTAGAACCAAAACGCTCTGCAGTTTCCTGCGGACGCCCTCACGCGCCGGAATGGGCTCCGTCCGAAATTACCCCAATTTGGAGTTCCTCTGCCCGTTATGGCTGAATAAAACTTCAAGTCAGTCACTCGGTTCTCTAAATTCTGAATTGCTCAAATGTGAAATAGAAATTTCAGCCACACCTATGTCAAAGAATTTGCTCCGACAATCCAAAAAAACAAAGTATGCAAGATATGCTTTACAAGTAGTAAAAGGACCTTATGAGCCAATCTGTAACGTTACTCAGTAACAATATAAAAATTTTTATCAGCATACAAGAAGAAAAAAGAACAAGAGAGAAAAACCCATAAGGGCACTTCCACAGTGCATTTATTTGCTAATTTAGTGCAAGAAATTTTATAGTGTACTTATTGAGAAATTCTCAAAGTACTCAAGATATAGAAGAGAACATGAAAACTGGATTCCCTTCAGCATTGCCCAAACAACATGGTATGCTCCCTAGATGAAAGCAAAAACTTGTTGGATAAAAGACTCATAAAATGAGATAATTTTATTAAAAACAATTCTATAAATATTATAATGTGCTTGCAATTTAAAATTTTGAAGAAAAATGTAAAATTAAAAATTACTGCCACCAATACTGTATTTCAGTAGTTTGTATTTTGGCAATGATTTTAATTTAACTTACATCATGATGTGACTAAAATACTTATTAAAAGTAAAGTATCTAATAAATTAATTTTTACAATTTGTAATTTTACCGCAAACTAAATTGGCTCAACGTCTTGACTTAGAAAATAAAGCAAGTTGTAGGGCCAGGGCCTCTCACAAACATCTGAATAACCAGGACAGCAAAACAGTAGTTTTCAAGGGGGGAGAGAGAAAGAGGGAGGGAGGGAGGGAGGGAATTTTGTTTAATTACATGGGTTTATATTAAACTAAGTTCGCAATGTTTTACTCAATGTTTTTATGCAGTAACCAAGAAATCACACCACTGAATGCTTAAAAGAACATTTTATTTATACATACAAGGAGAAAAACACAGAGCAATTTACTGATTAAAAGCATTTCCATTTTAAATTACATTTCTTATTAATTGGAGGGAAGAAAACTCTGCTAGCTGATCATTTCAAAAGTAAATTTCTGAAAACCAGGTGATTTAAAACACACTTCTCTGAAGAGATCCAAAATCATTTTTTTTTTTTTAATGCAATAGTCTACATTTCCAGATTACTAAAATAACCATTTTGTGGAGCTGACCAGGTTTTTCAACACATTTCAGGATGACATTTTTCACTGCATGGTATGGAACAAATATGTAGCATATTTCCACATTAGACATTTTTACAGCTTACTTTCAATTTCTTAAAATTAATTGTAGGTCCAGGTGCTGAAAATCCCAAATAACAGCAGAACATATAAGGAAATATTTTAAATTTCTACTGGCACCTTTTCTTTCCAGTATTTCAGGAAACGTAATCAACCAATGGAATCATGGTTTTAACTTCATCCCAGATTTTCCTTCAAAGGCTTACCGTTCATTCTTGCTTTGAGCAGTGCCAAGCCATATAATACACTGCTTCCGTCATATGACTCAGAGAGCCCTACCACAAACAGCCTACAGGGCGTCAGGTAAGCGCCTTTTAAAGAACCTTAATGACTATGATTTACAGAAGGAAAGAGGAAGAAACGAAACTCAATATAAAATTTAATTATTAAAAATTAACTTTCTAAATGATACTATATACCAGGAAAAAATGAAACGAAATTAAAAAAAAAGGCACTTACCTCACTTCCCATAGGCTGGTTACACGATCCAGCTGGGTCGATAGGACAACACCAGCTTAGTGGATGCTGGGATTTCACCTGGAACAGAAACTAGTGACCTATAACTTTAGCAGGTCTAGAGCCAGAGAAGCAAAAATCAAGTGTATAATTTACATTCTAAGCTTCCTTTTCTTGCTGCTATTTGGGGCTATCAGCACATAATCCTACAATTAGTTCACTTTATAAATATACATGTACGTTTTGATCGGTCACCGTTCAAGAAGACACCCCTTTGGCAGCTAGGAATGCTGCGCACTCTTACCTGCCCCTTAGCATCCTCGGGCATGGCTTTAATGTGCATTCTTTTTAAACAACGAATTACTCCATCATAAAACTGAACTGTGAATGTTCCTGAAAGAGGAGCAAGTCAGAATCATTAGAAAATATAATTCAATCTTACGCAACACTTGAAATCTAACAAGTAATGCCCTGACGGATATCAGTATGTGTTTTTACAATAACTGCAAACATACAATCTTGTTCAGGACTCGGGCAAATTTATCGTTTACGTTCTTTTCCCTCTAAAAAGTACACAAATTAAATCCTGATAAGTTAGTCGCATGTAATTCGGATTTTTATTGAATATTTTAAAATTTATTTTGTAATAATTTAAATATGTTCAAATAATATGTCAAGAATGTTATATTACACCTGGACAAAACTAAAATTATTTACAAAAATGTATATTTCTATAAAAGTGTGTTCCCTTTCAAACACTCTCCCTAATTAACACAAAGATCTGATAAAGGAAAAAAACATTTTCTCAGGAAAGAATAATTTCTTTGGCAACAATGAACTAGCAAATAAGAATTAGAGGTTCACGGGCATTAAAGCTAGAAAATATGTCACAGACAATCAGATAAAAGCCCAAGGAGGCCACCGCTCACCCGGCGACAGCCCTGTAACCAGCAGCGCGGCCGCCAGCACCCCGGTCCCCGCCCCTCCCGCTGCCCCATCCTTTTCCACGGCCTCTAGGTCCCTCTGCACGCCTCTCAGAAAGCACACTGCCTTTCCCGTAACAGGCTGCATGCCGGCAAGTCAGTAAATGGGTGCTATTAGAAAATATAAATTATGTAAATTTTATACTTATGGAAATTCCAGTGTTTTTCTATCATTTCCTGTACAGATGAGAGTAGAGTGCCACTTTAAGTAAACAGACACCTGACCTTTACAAAAGGAAAACAAACAATAACTGTGATAACTGGCATTACTGGCTTTGAAGCCGGCACAAAGGCAATGACATAGAAGTACAAAGATTTTTTTATAATATGAATTTCCTATCTTCCCATAATTAGTGTAATACACAATATTACAGATAGAAAGATGTAAACCCAAGTTATGGAAAAAATGGATCAGTTGCATAGCGAGGAGAGAAAGACACAGGGTGACTGGAGAGCACGCCACGCCGCACGCACACCTTACGCCACCATCGTCCCTGCAGCTGTCCTCTTGCTTCTTCAGCACGCTCCCGGACCCCGGACGAGAGCAGGCTCCTCAGTGCACAGGACTGTGCGCCCCCTCCCCGTCCCGCCCCATTACTTGAACTGGCTCATCTGTGCCAAGGCCGCCCTCCTTTCCTGCTCCCAGCCCACTGCTCATGGAGCAGCGCCCCAAATCCCGCCCGCCACGTGGATGCCCTGACTGCCGCGGTGACACCTCTCTAAGGCACAGTGCAAACACCTAAAAAGCTCATGTGTGTTTGGTTCCGTCAAACTTGCAGTGAATAGAGGGCTTCCTTCGCCTTTTGCCCTTTGCCCCTTCCTGGGGCGTGAGGGGCAGGCTCCTCCATCAGGTGGGGAATACAGAAATCACAAAATGCGTCCTGGCAGAGGGGATTTTCAAAAAGCAAAGGGTCTCTGCTGTTGTTCCTCTACGGGCTGTCACTTAAACTGCTCCTACAGCGGCAGAGGCTGCCATCAGTACCATCGCTCCTCCTCTAGTGCACACTCGGTGTTCTGCACCACAGGCCGTGGACGGCGGGCCAGGGCGAAGAACGGGCCGGTCTCATTTCTGCATTGGACAGGCACACTCCTGAGGCACTGTAAGCATGGAAGGGAAGTTCTGGGCTCATCATACTTGAAGAAACTGCTCTTAATTAAAATGGCATTGTTTGAATTTGCTATGTTTTGTGTTGTTTTGGGTGGATGTTATCATCCAACAGAACTGATGCACGGCTCCTTCCTTCCCTTCCACAAGTGGTCACTGACCTTCTGCTCTGTGCTGGGTTCTGGACCCGACGCTGGGGGAGCCCAGGTGTGTAAGACACGGGAACGGGAGCTCCACAGCAGAGCTCTCTGAGACCTCAGTGCACGGTGAGACCAAGGCCCCACCTGAGAAGGAGAAGTAACCGTCTAAACTGAGATGTCGCTCCCTGTAGTAAGGTAATTGGTGGTGCTAAAATCATAGCCATATCTGCTATTTTAATTCATTAAAACAATAAATTGGAATAAGACCTTTGTAAAGTTATAACCCCAATTTCCAGCTAGATGACTATGACTTCCTTTTTCACACCTAATATTAATATACCTCTTTTTAAATGTTCTTCTAACTTCTTACCTATTTTTTCTCAAGTTTGTTGTAAGTTTAAAACTTCAGCTTAAATCTCTTCCATGGTTCCCTTCACCTCCAAACAAAACTCAAAATCTTTTTTTTTTTTTTAATCTCACCTGAGGACATTTTTTCATTGCTTTGAGAGAGCGAGGAAGACAGGGAGAATGAGAGAAACACTGGCTGACTGTCTCCCATATGCGCCCTGACAGGGGACTGAACCCATAACCTCTGTGTGTGTCCTGACAGCGGATCAGGCTCGCAAGTTTTCGGTTTAGGAAAGGCCGCTCCAACCAACTGAGCCACACCAGCCAGGACTAAATTTCAAATTCTTTAGCAAGGTTATAATACTCTTATACCTATCCTTGCTTCTCTCTGCAACCTCTTCTCTTGCTATTCTACTCCCTTTAAAGGAATCCTTCACTCCAGTCACACCAGAGACAGCAGTTCCTAGCACGTAGCACACCTCTCTTCTTTAGCATACACCATTTCTTCACCAGAAAGGCGTTTTTATTCCCTCTGTGTCTAGCTCACTTGTTTGCCTTTCAAGATCAGTTTAAAGGAAGTGTCTCCTCACTTAAGATTAAATGCCCTTCTTGCAAAGAGGCTGTCATTCAGTGTGCTTCTCTAGCATTGCAAAAAAAGTAAATGAGTGGTCAAGAAATGAGTGGTCAAAGAAATAATTTCATAGAAAAACAAATGTTTTACTGACTTGAAAAATATATTTACAATTATTTGACAACTGTCTTAAAGGTTATTTTAAATAATAAATTTAAAAAATAAGTATCTTTCCAATAACAACAAATAATTTTTCCTATACTTTTCCAAATTAACCATTCTATAAGTTGCTTTTTAAATTCATTACCTGTATAGTTGATTTATTGGTCTTATGCCTCACTAACACACCTGATTTCTGTGTTATTTTCAACAGTTCTAATCAGCTCAGTAACTTTTGCTCAGTATCAATATTAGATACCACAAAAGGTTATGAGAAAAAATTAATCCACAGTTATCTACAGAAATTAAGAAAAAAGTGCAGGGAAAAGATGCAATAAAGGAAACACTCAAATGAATGAAGTTCCATACTCTTTCCTCAGAAAATAGTCCACAGTATTTCACTTCCAGGGAAAACTAATCTGAATTTCCCTCTGCCTTTAACCTTTCCTCACACCTTGGTTGAGATGAGCATCTAAAACCAGCTTAGACAACAAACTGGAAACAGAGAAGTAGAAATAACAACCACACAACATAAGTCCATGAACTGAAAACTGAAGAAATTTAACCAACTATTTACCTCTACTAATTTAAACAGCTTATTTAGGCATTGATTAAAATGAGAAATACAGTTAAAATTTTATTATTAACCCCATTTTGAATCTCCGATCACTCATTTACATACCTTCTTTGTTGATTGCTTCAATCTTGGCAGGGTAATAGCGACAGTCTGTCCAACGAGCCAGAACTTCTTCTCCAGCTTTAAAATCCTAGTTTAAACAACTTTCAAGATCAATACCATGTATAATAAATACGCATTTCCTTAATAAAAACAAGCTTTTGTAAACTTCAGCAGAATCTCTTTTAAAATACATCGTTACACATTTAGCAAAGGAGAAAAGCTTGCTACTTACGAAGAAATCCTCCTCGTCTTTTAGACCCTCCTTTCGTAACGCGGGCCTCTCCAGGGGTCGCAGTCTGCTGCTGTCCCAGTAAATCCACTCGTCGTAACGATGACTCCAGCGCTCAAAATGGACCAACATTTTGCCTTCCTCATAGTCGATTTTTTCAATTCGTGATGGATACCTCAAAAATAAAGAGCTTTCTATCAAGAGAAAGTTCTCACTTCTCTTTACACAAAGTGTTAAAAAGAACTATTGCTTACTGTCAAAACCACAAACAAAACAATACGGGTCCATGATACTTTTTTTAAAATATGGGTTTTTTAAAAAGATTTTATTTATTTATTTTTAGAGAGAGGGGAAAGGAGGGACAAAGAGAGGGAGGGAAACATCTATGTGTGGTTGCCTCTCACGCGCCCCCTCCTGGGGACCTGGCCAGCAACCCAAATATGTTCCCTGACCGGGAATTGAACCGGCGACCCTTTGCTCCGCAGTCTGGCGCTCAATCCACTGAGCCACATCAGCCAGGGTTGTGTCCAAATTTTTAAACTATTCAGTCAACAAAGTCTGCTTTCTTATTTTTGTTCTTTTTTTTAAATGATCGTTTTCAATACCTGATCAAAGAAACACTTGGATAAACTCCCAGTAGAAATAATTATTGCACAAGAATCTTGAACATATTCCTACTTTTGACCCAATTAATTCCAATTCTAGAACTACTTATACAAAACATTAATAACAAAAAAAATAGAAACCATCTAAAAATATGGTTAAAAAACTGAAGACTCTGGCTATACAAACAGTATATCCACTAAATGGAATATTATTTTTTTCTTTTTCTTTTTTGCTTTTGTTGTTGTTGTTGTTGACACTATTACCAATGCCGCTCCCGCCTTGCCCACTTCCATGAATGGAATATTATAGTATATAAATGTGGTGTTTACAAATCATTTTTCCATATATTCCAATATTTTATAACTAGGATCAATGGTGGTAGAGAAAGCTCAATTAAACCTTACATTTAAAAATATAAAAATGACATCATATTGTTCTGTCTTCATGTGTGATTATCTTACAATTAATTTGAAAATATGATAGTTAACTCTAAACTTTTAAAAAAGCAAATTGCCTCACCATTCTTTTCCTTTCCTGTAAAATTATATTTTACCAGGCTATTACACTTGTCCCAACTGTTCCCCCCTTCTGCCCCCCTCCCCTGCGGGCCCCCCCCCCGGCCCTCGGGCAACCCCCACGCCGCTGTAAACGCCCACGGGCCACACGTAAGTTCCTCGGCCACTCTATTTCCTAAGCTGCACTTTCCATCCCATGGCTACTCTGTAAGTGCCAGTTTGTACTTCTTAATCCCTTCACCTTTTTTACCCATCCCCCAATTCCCTCTCATCTGACAACCATCACAACGTTCTCTGTATCTGATTCTCTTTGTTCTGCTTGTTTTTTAGATTCAATTGTTGATATGTATTTATGCCATTTTATTGTTCATATTTTTGATCTTCTCCTTTAACATTTCATGTAATACTGGTTTGAACTCCTTTAGCTTTTTCTTGTCTGGGAAGCTCTTTATCTGTCCTTTGATTCTAAATGATAGCTTTGCTGGGTAATCTCAGATGTAGGCCCTTGCTTTTCACCATCTTGAATATTTCTTGCCTATCCCTTCTAGCCTGCAAAGTTTCTTTGGAGAAATCAGCTGACAGTCTTATGGGAAGTCCTTTGTAGGCAACTGCTTTTCTCTTGCATTCCTTATGTACTATATTAAATGTTCGCAAATTACTCATTTCTTTTTTAAACGTAAGAACTCAGTAGCAGCACATGGTAGATGATTGTGCCTTAACAGTTTATCTCATATTTTTGCTCGTTTTTGATGAATCTGAAATTTTCTGTTTCCCTGTGGAAAATTGGCTTTGACTATATAACAACGATAGACCTTACTTAATTGAAATTTAGAACGTGACTGCTGCCTGCTTTATAGAGCAGTCATGCTATTCGAGGCTTCTTACACATTCAAGGGCCCTGCATCGCGCTCTGGTGTAGCTTCTTCCCCCACCACGGTCTAATAATCCTGACTACATGGAGTTTCCCCGAGACACGCCACACTCTGTTAAGCACTGGTGCTTTCGTGCATCATTTTCTCTGCCTCGCCCTAAGCTGCCTTCCCTTCCTTCGTACACTCATCATTCCAAACCTGGATTAACGTGTAATCACTAGTGTGAAGGCTTCCCTGACTCCCCTCCTGGGTGCTGACTACACCCATCTTGTCACAATCATCTGTGTGTAGCTTCCTAAACCGCGTGCTGTGCCGCATTTACAGTCCTGAGCTGTCAATATGGGCACCACAAAAAACGGGTCCCAGGGTCCAATAAGCTAAGGAAATACTGGATTTGAAAGAATGAAACCACTTTCTTTAGTGAAAGACTTCCTAGTCCCATCAACAAGATGGAGATAAAGCATTCACTATTACCAAACTTTAAGGAGCATGGGACCTTCTGCCACAGAATACTTATGAACGTTTCTTGGGATGGGGTGCTCTAGGAAACGTGAAGCAAGCTCTGGGAAATGGGTCACACCCATCGTACCCCCCCAACATCTAGCACAGTGACAGACATACACCGGCCACTCAGGAAGTGCAGGACACGAGCAGGAAAAGGTAATCTGCACATTTCTCCAGAACCAAGAAGGCTATCGACCCAATTACAGCAGTAAGTTAGATCTTACCCTCAGTCTTTCGGGGAGTGGGTGAAGGTGAGGAAGATTTTGTTAAAGAAAAGCATAAAAATGAGAACACTGCGGAGACTGGCACGTTCCCCAGGTGGACCCACTGAGCGCGTCCACTCAGAACCAGCGCTGTAATGCTTGTCTGTGGCAGTGCTGCTCAGGTTTGTTTTTGCTGCTCTGGTTTTTTAAAACATAAAACTGTCAACAGCATTAAAGGAAGCCTAGGAATAAGGCTTTCACTTATTTTTCAACATTCCCTAGCCACTTAACTACAATAAAGGGACTTTCTGTCAGTTATAAAAGTTGACAAATTTCTCCCAAAACATAAAAGCCTTCTAATTTCACATATTTTCACATCTTTTAAATTCTGAATAAAAAATAAGGAGTTTATTCTTAAGTTCCTTCACATTCTAAATATACCCAACCCTATATACTTGAAATACTTCTCAAAGTGAGAATAGTCACAGAAACAGAGTTAGACATTATCTGTTTTCACAATATGATTCAATTCAGTAAAAAAATCATAATATAAGTTCAAGTCATTTAAATCTCACTAGACTTTTGAGTAACTTATAGTTTTCCTAAAATATTTCAATTTCTGTTGGCCAAAAGGATGCCAGAGGCAACCAGGCTAAAAAATACATTTCGGGAACTTCTTCAGGATAATTTACAGCATGTTACACTCTTTACATAAACATCTAGCAATATGAAAACTTTGGCTGAAGGTCAAGAATTAAGTAACACAAATACCCAAAACGATCAATTTTAATTTTTACAATGTTTACTAGCCTAATTTTGAATCTTAAAGAAAAACTGCCATTAATATTATCAAGAATGTCCAAATTTGTTCATTCATCCATTCAACATAAATCTGGACACCTATTAAGATGAAGGCACTTGCTAGGCCCTGCCGGTAGGGGAAGGGAACCTCATCGCCTCCTGCCGTGCAGGGCTCAGCTCAGAGCCGGATGAGGGACAGAGGGGACAGGCCGAGTCAGACGCGCGTCAGGTTCTACGTTTTTCACAGCGGTGCCGACGGCTCTTCACACACCTTCTCCCTCTGGGTCCTGGGGGCCGTCCAAGGTGTAGGTATCGCAGTCCCCACGCAACATGATGATAAAGACTGCCCACAAATACCCGTGGTAGAGTATTCAGAGCCCAACTAATTGGCATGAAAGCCTACAGAAAAAATGGGGTAAGGCCTATATCAAGTTAGTATATCATAAGTGGTAAACTGGACCCTAAGTATATACAAAAATTTTACATAAGATGCTATTATTAATAGTTCAGAGAAATAGCTGGAAAGGTTGCTAAAGGTTTATGTTGGTCTTGCTGGGGGACTTGTAGGACTTACACTTAACGAACACTGTGCAAACACAGGTAGAGTGCATGCACACGGCGTACCTCATTCACTCCGTGCTCATTCACTTTAAATCACCATGTGACTCAGGGTTGGGCAGTAGGCCAAGACAATGAGGAATCAGAGACAAGTCCAAATCTCAAGGACCTCAAGATCAGAGATTGAAGGGGCACATCAAAAAAACTGTAAAATGAATAAAGGACAATTGCGGGACTCATATTGGACTGGTTAACTAGGTTCCAACGAGAGGGCTCTGAAATAGCAAACTATTAAGATGATACTTTATTCTACAAACAGCAGGGAATTCCATAAATTTTGCGCTTCATTTGGTTATCAGTTATACCCTAGGAAAAAATCCTACCATCAAGATCTTTGCTATACATGTTAAGATGCACAAAATAGCAGTTTAACATATAGCTTTACACAGTGAAGAGATTTCTCTGTTCTAGCATATGGCCATAGTAATAATGCTTTGATACACAAAGTGAATGAAAGATACTGTTGAACAAATGTATCCACAAATGCCTCTCCATCTTGAATTACAGCATTATTTTGATGCACTATTTATGTTTTACAATAATTTTAATGTCAATGGAACGTTATATTTTTTCATACTGAATTTGGAAGATATAGTGATAATGTTTCTAGTTTGTCATTTTTTAAAAGACTGAATCATAGAAAGCTGTTCAAGAACAGTGATTAGGCTGAGTCCCAGACATTTATGAAAGATCTGAGAAGTGAAAGAATGGGTTTTAGGGTTAAAACAATTAGTGATATGAAAAAAAGAAAATACCATGGTTGACATTTCTCAAGAGCTCAAAAGTAAGGGATGGAGAGAAGGTAACCTCATTAGCAATATGATTCATCAATGCCAAAAGTCTATATATAGCTCTAAACTCTAATTATCCATTACTGCAAAATACCACAAAATTCCACTACCTTCCCTATTACAATTCCACTTTGAAATGCATGCATTGCTTAAATAATATTCACTTGTGTCAAAAATAAGGGACTGCCTCCATTGCTCTGGGTCTGCCTTACTCATACATGTCTTTTGCACTCAAATCCTAGAGAACAGAATTCACTCTGAGCAC